TAGGTATATAATATGTTTGTCTTCAAGTGTAGACAGTGTTATCAGTTTGGTGATAATCAAGTACAATTGTACCTAATACAGTGCAGTAAATCAGCAAGGTCTGTAGTATACAATCCACTAGACATAAGCAATTAAACTTATATATATATATAGGTAGGCCTACTTGAAAATTTTTATTAAATGTATGAAGGTAGTGAAAAAAATGGAAAAAAATAGGTAATAATTTAAGATATTCTGTTTCTTGGTTATATTTGCTTTTGATAAAGTGACCTTATGACTCACATCTGTCTTAACCTGTCATGTATTTAACACATTTTGATGATTCGACTTGTACGTATGTTTTGACATGGGCTGATCATGAGCTGATCACATGACCGGTTCATGATTAGTAAGTTCACATGTGACTGGGGAAACTTGCTGTCAAGGCCACTTTTAGTCAGTCTAACCCTGTCAGGGCAGCCTGTACTAGTCTAGTGAATGTAGTCAGCATGAGAGGACCGTCGGTAATCTACATGACAACATGGCCTGGTAAGCTAGGTTTAAGTACTGTGTGTGTGATCCTTCCGTGATCACTGATCCAAGTGTTTGATAACTAGTTATGTAATAGGACTGCTTACACTGGTATTTAAAATTCTATGGAATATGTAACACTAAAACAGTTTGTTTATAAAACCAGGAATCATGGAACAACACAAAACAAGGTAATTATTTACAAACTTTGGAATGATGCAACACCACAAACAAGGTAATTATTTACAAAGTTTGGAATGATGAAACAACACGAAACAAGGTCATTATATACAAACTTAAGTCGCAAACTACAGAATGATGCAATACCACAAACAAGGTAATTATTTACAAACTTTGGAATGATGAAACAACACAAACCAAGATATTTTTATACAAAATAAAGTTGCAAACTACAGAATGATGCAACACCACAAACAAGGTAATTATTTACAAACTTTGGAATGATGAAACAACACAAACCAAGATATTTTTATACAAAATAAAGTTGCAAACTACAGAATGATGAAACAACACAAAACAAGGTCATTATATACAGAACAAAGTCACAAACTACAGAATGATGAAACAACACAAAACAAGGTCATTATATACAGAACAAAGTCACAAACTACAGAATGATGAAACAACACAAAACAAGGTCATTATATACAGAAGAATGTCACAAACTACAGAATGATGAAACAACACAAAACAAGGTCATTATATACAGAACAAAGTCACAAACTACAGAATGATGAAACAACACAAAACAAGGTCATTATATACAGAACAAAGTCACAAACTACAGAATGATGAAACAACACATAACAAGGTCATTATATACAGAACAAAGTCACAAACTACAGAATGATGAAACAACACAAAACAAGGTCATTATATACAGAACAAAGTCACAAACTACAGAATGATGAAACAACACATAACAAGGTCATTATATACAAAACAAAGTCACAAACTACAGAATGATGAAACAACACAAAACAAGGTCATTATATACAGAAGAATGTCACAAACTACAGAATGATGAAACAACACAAAACAAGGTCATTATATACAGAAGAATGTCACAAACTACAGAATGATGAAACAACACAAAACAAGGTCATTATATACAGAACAAAGTCACAAACTACAGAATGAAGCAACAACACAAAACAAGGTCATTATATACAGAACAAAGTCACAAACTACAGAATGATGAAATAACACATAACAAGGTCATTATATACAGAACAAAGTCACAAACTACGGTCATTATATACAGAACAAAGTCACAAACTACGGAATGATGAAATAACACATAACAAGGTCATTATATACAGAACAAAGTCACAAACTACAGAATGAAGCAACAACACAAAACAAGGTCATTATATACAGAACAAAGTCACAAACTACAGAATGATGAAATAACACATAACAAGGTCATTATATACAGAACAAAGTCACAAACTACAGAATGATGAAACACCACAAAACAAGGTCATTATATACAGAACAAAGTCACAAACTACAGAATGATGAAACAACACAAAACAAGGTCATTATATACAGAACAAAGTCACAAACTACAGAATGATGAAACAACACATAACAAGGTCATTATATACAGAACAAAGTCACAAACTACAGAATGATGAAACAACACATAACAAGGTCATTATATACAGAACAAAGTCACAAACTACAGAATGATGAAACAACACATAACAATCATTATATACAGAACAAAGTCACAAACTACAGAATGATGATAAAACAACACATAACAAGGTCATTATATACAGAACAAAGTCACAAACTACAGAATGATGAAACAACACAAAACAAGGTCATTATATACAAAGTCACAAACTACAGAATGATCAACAACACTAACAAGGTCATTATATACAGAACAAAGTCACAAACTACAGAATGAAACACCACAAAACAAGGTCATTATATACAGAACAAAGTCACAAACTACAGAATGATGAAACACCACAAAACAAGGTCATTATATACAGACTATAGTCACAAACTACAGAATGATAAAACAACACATAACAAGGTCATTATATACAGAACAAAGTCACAAACTACAGAATGATGAAACAACACAAAACAAGGTCATTATATACAGAACAAAGTCACAAACTACAGAAACAACAACACATAACAAGGTCATTATATACAGAACAAAGTCACAAACTACAGAATGATGAAACACCACAAAACAAGGTCATTATATACAGAACAAAGTCACAAACTACAGAATGATGAAACAACACATAACAAGGTCATTATATACAGAAGAATGTCACAAACTACAGAATGATGCAACAACACATAACAAGGTCATTATATACAGAACAAAGTCACAAACTACAAAATGATGAAACAACACATAACAAGGTCATTATATACAGAACAAAGTCACAAACTACAGAATGATGAAACACCACAAACAAGGTCATTATATACAGAACAAAGTCACAAGCTACAGAATGATGAAACAACACATAACAAGGTCATTATATACAAACTATAGTCACAAACTACAGAATGATACCAAGCTTATTATTTACAAACTACAGGAATTATAGATTTATACAAACCTAAGAAATATTGAAAAGGAGAAATCAAGATAGTTTTGTAACCAAAGTACTGTGGTTTAGTTAAAAACAATGGTAAAGTCTATTAGTAATGAGGATAGGAGGAAGCAAAATAATTATGGTCAAACATAGATATTACCTTATAATAAGGATACTGTGAACCCACCTATTATTCTTTTATTTTAGCACCTTTCACATGAAAAATACAACATTGAAATACCATTACACTGACATTTTCCCTTCTGTAAGTCGTCAATAAAGCAATTATTGCAAATGTGCAAATTCATCCTTGAGCAAATGTTTTCAAAATTGATATTGCACTGAAATTTGGTTATGCTCAAATAAGTACGTTCAATGTATACAGGAGACTACTGTTAATAAGTGGTCTGCTCTGTTAAACACAAACCTGGAAATAGATGAAGAAAGCAAGATAAAAGTATGCTGTTGAATGTATGAATATGGAAACAGGAAAGCTTTATAGGAAGATAGAACAGTTTACATATAGTATGTATAATACCCACACAAAAATGTCATGCATGGTCACACCAGAAGCCAGAGGAAACTGAAACTTGATAAGTAGGCATAGATAGATGGAGATAACAAACAATAATTTGTATGTTTCCTTGGTAACACCGTATTCTACTCTGAGGAAGAGGGCTTCTCTTTACCTTGAACTGCATCAGTTTTGAAGACTAAAAATACAGTTCTCTTGGCTTCAATTCCAAGTGGTGACATTGTGATAAATAACCCCCGTGGTAAGGGAAAATTGGTAACAAATTGTGATAAGGGAACAGATATATTGTATAGTTGTTAGGACAGACGACCTTAAGCCATTGTGCTTCGCCTGCATAAACATTTAAAAGTTCCTCCAATGGGATTGAGCTCAAAGTTGTATGGAATGATACCAATATGGTCCTGACCAAGTGTTGATATTTTTCAGGCATTCTGAAATTCAAGATGGCCACTGTCCTGAAAAACTTATTTTAAACTTCTCCTCCAGTTCCACTGGATAGGATGTGATGAGCCATTCACCGTTTAACATTTTTAATTGGACTGCATTGACCTTCTGTCTACTCGAGAATGTTTTTATCGTAACAAGACATGTCTTAAAACCCTTTTTGAAACTGTTGAGAATTGTAAAATTCTACATTACCTGAAAGATGTTGGTCTATATAATAGATTTTGATGTACCATTTTAATCTTTTGTGTTAATACAACCATTTGAGATTTCTAGCATTTGTCTTTTACCTTTTGGTTTGTTTGATATTTCCTTTTGGATCGCTGAATGTTTTACCGGTTGATGGCCCTAATGACCTTTTATGTGTTGATGGGCTGTAAAGAATGCAATAATAATAATAATGATAATAAAAGTTCCACTTATGCCACTGAGCTAAAACAAATTGGTGGAAATGTTAAGGAATGGTAGCCAATAAAGTGTTGTTATTTTTCTACTTCGTCAAAACTTTGACATTGCAGCCAGGGAGGCCAGTTTGTAACATGATTGCGCAATCATGGTTATCATGTGCATCACCTATTTCAAACTTCATCTCAATTTTCACCAGTGGGATCGATCTCCAACTTGTTTGAAATGACCCTGTGATAGTCCTGACGAAATCTTTTTGTTGGTTTGTTGTTTTTTTTTCAGCCGGATTAAAACTTCATCATTTTATAACATGATTGTGCAATTGTTTTACATGAACAGAACCTACCATTGATGAGTCTCCGATACTTCCGAGGAATGTTTGAATTTGAATTCATCCGATTTGTCAGACCACCATCAGTGAATTCTGTGGTTTGTCCATCCATTCGTTGATTGTCAGATGACCATTAAAGCCCCTGGTCCTCTTGTTTATACATTACTTATGGTTACAGGTACGTACCCAGGAGCAGTGATTAAAGTGGAAAAGGATGCCGCAATATCTAGTCCCACCCCCTCAAGTTTGTCCATGCCAGGTCTGTCACTACAAGCACCTAGCCGTCCTCAGGAGTCACTGTCACAGTGTACCCCCTCCCAAACTGTAACAATCAGTCTGCAGGAGGTAAGAAAATGCTTGGTCCTCATGTTTGTCAAATGTTTGATTACCTTTAAGAAAATCAGGCGAAAATTCATTTACTGTAAAGAGTCTTTTTTTATTTGTAAGGGCTCCTGTTTTCATAGTTAATCCAAAACCATGCAGCACAAGAGTGTATATATCACAGAAGCTGTTAATTTTGTTTTCCATACTATCTTTATATCACTATTCCATGCTATCCTCAAAAGGTTACATCAATCTGGATATCAAAATTTGGCATCTTTTGATCAATCTCGATATCAAAATTAGCTGTCTGTTGGGTCACATCAATCTGGATGTCAAAATTAGCTGTCTGTTGGGTCACATCAATCTTAATATCAAAATTAGCTGTCTGTTGGGTCACATCAATCTTAATATCAAAATTAGCTGTCTGTTGGGTCACATCAATCTTAATATCAAAATTAGCTGTCTGTTGGGTCACATCAATCTGGATATCAAAATTAGCTGTCTGTTGGGTCACATCAATCTGGATGTCAAAATTAGCTGTCTGTTGGGTCACATCTGGATGTCAAAAATCTGGATGGTCAAAATTAGCTGTCTGTTGGGTCACATCAATCTGGATGTCAAAATTAGCTGTCTGTTGGGTCACATCAATCTGGATGTCAAAATTAGCTGTCTGTTGGGTCACATCAATCTGGATGTCAAAATTAGCTGTCTGTTGGGTCACATCAATCTGCATATCAAAATTAGCTGTCTGTTGGGTCACATCAATCTGGATATCAAAATTAGCTGTCTGTTGGGTCACATCAATCTGGATGTCAAAATTAGGTGTCTGTTGGGTCACATCAATCTGGATGTCAAAATTAGGTGTCTGTTGGGTCACATCAATCTGGATGTCAAAATTAGCTGTCTGTTGGGTCACATCAATCTGGATATCAAAATTAGCTGTCTGTTGGGTCACATCAATCTGGATATCAAAATTAGCTGTCTGTTGGGTCACATCAATCTCGATATCAAAATTAGCTGTCTGTTGGGTCACATCAATCTGGATGTCAAAATTAGCTGTCTGTTGGGTCACATCAATCTGGATATCAAAATTAGCTGTCTGTTGGGTCACATCAATCTGGATATCAAAATTAGCTGTCTGTTGGGTCACATCAATCTGGATATCAAAATTATCTGTCTTTTGGGTCACATCAATCTGGATATCAAAATTAGCTGTCTGTTGGGTCACATCAATCTGGATATCAAAATTAGGTGTCTGTTGGGTCACATCAATCTGCAAATCAAAATTAGCTGTCTGTTGGGTGACATCAATCTGCATATCAACATTAGCTGTCTGTTGGGTCACATCAATCTGGATATCAAAAGAAGTCATGTTTTGAGATCACATTAATCTATAATTCTAAATTAAGAGTCATTTGCGATCATAATAATCTGAATATGAAAATGATTAGCTGCCGTTTACGTCACACCAATCATAGAAATCTGTAAATATCTTTTTCTAAGCTATTTCAGTGTATTCTGTTAACTCTTGTTGTTAGTATACTGCATCATTTTATTGAGTTTCAAATTATGTCGTAGAGAAACACTAACAATGGGTCATTATATTTCATCAATCTGTTGAACAACTAGATGTTGTATAGATTTATCAGTATGTCATTTGTCTGTAATATGATTCTGAATTTGCATGTTCATCTGACATTATCATATGAAGAAATGTTTTCTAGATAAGAAAATATTTATTGGTGATATTAATTTCTGTTATATAATCAGCCATCTGACTTAAGCAGTAGGAACAATCTGTTTGGGACAACAGCCTCCACTCTCACTGGTAGATCTACTGATGACATCTTCTTAGACTGTAAGTATTTACCACACATATCTACCCTGTTATCTGTGTATATATCTACCCTGTTATCTGTGTATATATCTACCCTGTTATCTGTGTATATATCTACCCTGTTATCTGTGTACATATCTACCCTGTTATCTGTGTACATATCTACCCTGTTATCTGTGTATATATCTACCCTGTTATCTGTGTATATAACTACCCTGTTATCTGTGTATATATCTACCCTGTTATCTGTGTATATATCTACCCTGTTATCTGTGTATATATCTACCCTGTTATCTGTGTATATATCTACCCTGTTATCTGTGTATATATCTACCCTGTTATCTGTGTACATATCTACCCTGTTATCTGTGTATATATCTACCCTGTTATCTGTGTATATAACCACCCTGTTATCTGTGTATATAACTACCCTGTTATCTGTGTATATAACTACCCTGTTATTTGTGTATATAACCACCCTGTTATCTGTGTATATAACTACCCTGTTATCTGTGTATATAACTACCCTGTTATCTGTGTATATAACTACCTGTTATCTGTGTTATCTGTGTATATAACTACCTGTTATCTGTGTATATACCCTGTTATCTGTGTATATAACTACCCTGTTATCTGTGTATATAACCACCCTGTTATCTGTGTATATAACTACCCTGTTATCTGTGTATATAACTACCTGTTATCTGTGTATATAACTACCTGTTATCTGTGTATATAGCCACCCTGTTATCTGTGTATATAACTACCCTGTTATTTGTGTATATAACCACCCGGTTATCTGTGTATATAACTACCCTGTTATTTGTGTATATAACTACCCTGTTATCTGTGTATATAACTACCCTGTTATCTGTGTTACTACCTGTTATCTGTGTATATAACCTGTTATCTGTGTATATAACTACCCTGTGTATATATCTGTGTATATAACTACCCTGTTATCTGTGTATATAACTACCCTGTTATCTGTGTGTTATCTGTGTATATAATCTGTGTATATAACTACCCTGTGTATATGTGTATATACCCTGTTATTTGTGTATATAACCACCCTGTTATCTGTGTATATAACTACCCTGTTATCTGTGTACCCTGTTATCTGTGTACATATCTACCCTGTTATCTGTGTATATAACTACCTGTTATCTGTGTATATAACTACCCTGTTATCTGTGTATATATCTACCCTGTTATCTGTGTATATAACTACCTGTTATCTGTGTATATAACTACCCTGTTATCTGTGTACATATCTACCCTGTTATCTGTGTATATAACTACCTGTTATCTGTGTATATAACTACCCGTTATCTGTGTATATAACCACCCTGTTATCTGTGTATATATCTACCCTGTTATCTGTGTATATAACCACCCTGTTATCTGTGTATATATCTACCCTGTTATCTGTGTATATATCTACCCTGTTATCTGTGTATATATCTACCCTGTTATCTGTGTATATAACCACCCTGTTATCTGTGTATATAACTACCCTGTTATCTGTGTTTATATCTACCCTGTTATCTGTGTATATATCTACCCTGTTATCTGTGTACATATCTACCCTGTTATCTGTGTATATAACCACCCTGTTATCTGTGTATATAACTACCCTGTTATCTGTGTATATAACTACCCTGTTATCTGTGTATATAACCACCCTGTTATCTGTGTATATAACCACCCTGTTATCTGCGTATATAACTACCCTGTTATCTGTGTAAATACTGTCTATAAATAAACTGTGTTATGACCACACATGTAATATAACATGTAAAAGAGCTGTGATTGGCTGAAATTCCAGTTTGTTTCAATTATGATGTCATGACATCAAGATGTCACATTTATTTTGACATCACTAATAAAAAAAAAGCCCGATAGATATAGATTCAAGGTATAACAGCTGGAGTAAACGTGTTGATAATGATATGGAAATCATGGAATATGTATGTAAATACAAGAAGCTCCAAAACTAAATCTAGCCTTACTTTACAGGTACAACCGGCTCCAGTTTAAAGTCCAATACAACATCTATGGTGGCGGACAGCTCCTCGATCCTTGACACAAGCAACCTTGAAATGGGAAGTCCACTCTCTGACACAGAGGATAATGTGAGTTCTGAGTAAGGCTTCTTGGTAATATGTTTTATAGAGTGTGGACATGCTACCCATCCTCCATGGAAAACACAATCAATTTTAGATAATTTCATTCTTAATGTGTGTTTTCAATGTTTGTTTTAATTTCAAATTTTTAAAAATATTTGTGTCGCATACTTACAAGATGATTTCTTTGATTAAAAAGTCTCAAGTTATTTTAATGTGTACTTCAGGATTCCCCTAGAGGGCGCCACAGTAGTGGAGATGGGGGAGGTACTCGACGTGTGTCTCACACCTCTGCAGAGCAGAAACGTAGATGTAACATAAAGGTAAATATTAAAAGTACATTTTACAGACTTACAGACTCTGTGGTATTTATCCTTTACAGAATTACTGCCGTACTTATCTGATAACTCTCCACCTCTCCCCTCCCCCCCCCCCCCTTCTCTCTCTCTCTCTCTCTTTAGTATATTACATACCTGTATGTATATTAGAACAGCTTACTTTTCTTATTAAGATTAATGTTTCACACATCAATTCAGATGAAGTTGCTTCTGAGGTAGTGTAAATTACCAACAATCATGATGATTAAGAAGATGTTATTTGTGGATAAAGTATATGATTCATTCAACATTAAGTTGACTTATTTTGATTGTGTCTTTTTTAAAATACATAGCACAGTAAAAGCATAGATTGGAATTATGGTTATGACCTCTATTGTATATTTCAGAATGGATTTGATGTTCTACATTCTCTGATACCAGCGTTAAGTCAAAATCCAAATGCGAAAGTCAGCAAAGCAGCCATGTTACAGAAAAGTAGGTCACTGCTGTCAATTACAACTCTTTTTCGTGAACTTGATTGTCTTGTTACTGATAGTTTGGTGCATTCGGAATGACTCGCAACATGTTGTATATTTTTACTTGAAGTTTATGAAGTGGTGTAATATAATATTTAAGGGACAAGGTATCAAGTTAATTGTCTGTTAAGTGGATTAATGTCATAAATCAAAAAAAAATTCTTACAAGTATGTTTATGAAAAAATTAACACTTCCTAATTAATTAGTAATTGAAATATTTCAATAAGAGAAAGGTTGGTTTCAGCTGCTGATTACTGTAAGAAATTGAAGTCAGAACGAGCTCAGATGCAGAAGGAGGCAGAAATTCTTAAACAAGAAATTGAATCTCTCAACCAGTCTATCAGGTAAATATGTCTCCTAACAAGAAATTGAATCTCTCAACCAGTCTATCAGGTAAATATGTCTCCTAACAAGAAATTGAATCTCTCAACCAGTCTATCAGGTAAATATGTCTCCTAACGAGAAATTGAATCTCTCAACCAGTCTATCAGGTAAATATGTCTACTAACGAGAAATTGAATCTCTCAACCAGTCTATCAGGTAAATATGTCCCCTAACAAGAAATTGAATCTCTCAACCAGTCTATCAGGTAAATATGTCCCCTAACGAGAAATTGAATCTCTCAACCAGTCTATCAGGTAAATATGTCCCCTAACGAGAAATTGAATCTCTTGGCCAATCTACTTATAAGTGATGTTAGCTTTTACTCTGAAAGGACAATTTATTTCACTTTTTGTGAGCGGTTGATTTCACTTTTAAATGCCAATTAATTTCATTCTCACAGTCAATGCCAGTCACAGTTACCAGCCACTGGTGTTCCTGTGACAAGACAGCGAGCTGACCAGATGAAGGAGATGTTTGATGAATATGTCAGGACGCGTACTCTGGAGAACTGGAAGTTCTGGATTGTATCCTTTATGTTATACTAAGTAATGAAATTCATCTGAACGACTGTTCTGGTAAAGGCCTGATATCTGTGATTGGTTGGTGATATAGATAGCTTTGAGAGTCCCACATGGATACAGAGAGTAGAATCTGGATGTTGTTTCATTAAGCACACTATATACTTATGTAGATTGCATGGTTTATCATTTTGATTTGGCTTCCCTGTTCTAGCTGGTGGATATCTCACTGAACAACATGCAAGAGGCAACGATATGCTATTCAAACAATTTTGATGGGTCATAGAGTACACTTGACGACTTTTGAAATAAAAGATGAGATGATTTGGCTATATCTAAATGAGCTCTCACTTGTTTTTGATGTGTTACATACTTCAGCTATGACTAAAAATGTAAAGGAATTAGGTGGTGTTAATTCCTTGACCATCGTCCAGTTTTCAATTATGGTGAAACCACTGTTTGAGGCCTACAATAACATGGTATCTACAGGTAGTGTGGATGAGATGTGTAGGACCACGATGGCTTGGCTTGATCAGCACTGCTCACTTGTGTCCCTCCGACCCAGTAAGTGATTTTGTCATTTAATATGCTCTATCCTTTTCCTACCATCCTTCAAAGCTGTGTTATCAGTCTCCTTTTTTCGTATAACATTGCATTTCATCTAGATGTAGAGTAGCTAAATCAGACAGCAAGTCTTTTGAAATTTTTTTGTGTTGACGAATAAACTTTCAGTGATTTTAGTTCACATCGCCCATTCATCCATCCATCCATCCATCCATCCCTTCCCATCCTCAAACAACATCTTTATTTGGTTGAAATGTCCCTGGATGAAGCTGAACAGAAATGGTGAAAATGACTTTAACCCATATTCAAGATCACAGGTCAACATTTGGTAAAACTTTCAAATGACTTCTTCTCAATGACCAAAAGGGCTAGAATTGTATAATATTATTTAGCCTGAAGGTTTCTTGGATAAAGCTAGACAAAGTTTGAGAAAAGAAATGACCTTGATCCATATTCAAGGTCTTAGGTCAAATTTTTGTAAAACTGTCAAACGACTTCTCATTAACCCAAAAGCTTAGAATCATGATAGAAGTATGGAAGACCCTGGGATGAAGTTTACAAAAGAGAAAAAAAAGAAGACCTTGACTCAAGGTTATAGGGGTCAACTTTGTGGAAATCTTTCAGTGAATTCTCATTGATTAACACTCTGAATGTCTATGATAAAAAATATTTATGAATGAAAAGCATTATACATGAATACCAGGTGAGTGTACAGGCCCATTGGGCATTGTTTATTTCCCTTTTTGATTCTGTTTTAGCTGTTTTAAATGCCTTACGTCAACTCAGTACGTCAACTAACATACTGACTGATCCAGCCCGCCTTCCAGAACAAGCCACAGAGGCAGTCATTAAGGGGCAAAAGTCATCCAAATCCTGAGTCATGGCTTACATCTCAACGGCTCAAAGTCTGTGATAATATATCACACTCGTCGTCCGAGTCCAGAGTCCACAACCATCTATGGAATTTGCTCAATTAATAAGGCAAAATTTCGGAAGTTCAGTCCGATAGCTTTTGTGTGTCGAAAAAATTGATTTGCAAGTTATATGTCAAAATATCTGACTCATCTGTTTGTCAAAATGATGAACTTTGTAGCTAAGCATTTCAAGTTTAACTTTATATTTGGATTGGCACATTTGAGGAATCCATATGGGAAGCCTGGTCAGGGACAGATTGCCATCGTTGGCTGTCACATGTAGGCAGTGCATGATGGAACAAGTGGATAAAATCTGTACACAACCATTATTGACAAAGTGATCCTTCCTTTCAGCAATCATCTAGAACAGCTTGAGGGCAGATTTTTAGGATGAAAATGGCCAAGTTCATTGTTACATAGTGTTTCATTTGCTTTGCAATTTACAGAACTTGGTAGGTATGAATTTATAGCTGGAAATAGAGTTCTCATAAGCTGGGGATTAAGATTGAAACAGAAAGTGGAATAAAATGGATACAGAAGGTGTTGTAAGATTTTTAACTCAGTTGAAATAATAGATCAGTGTTTAATGATGATGTTGATTATCAGTGGACATGCAGACAGGTAATTCAGGTCATCAACTTTGACCTCGATCCTAAAATAACGCTAGCCAAATAGATTTGGTACAGACATTCTGTGTGTTTCTGACTGGTTGACAGAGTAAAATCTAAATTATTTGTTTTCCTGAGATATTTTCACTGAGCAAGTAATATATTTACTAAGATGTTAAGACGGCAAGTACATACATGTTAACAAAAATTTTGACAAAGGAATTGGAATGGATATTGAAAAGTGATTAATCTCCTAGAAGTATTTTTTGTCTGCTGTAAATTATGTTTCAAATATAAAATTGTTTACACTTTGTGTGTTTAATATACTCTTTACTTATCATAATTTTTGTCTGTGAAATACTACATCATCCATTTTTAAAATGGTTTTATTTCATTTTGATAATAATGTGTTTATGTCACAAATTACGTCATACAATTATTGTGTCTGTGAATTGCTCATTATTTGAAGTACAAACATGGTGTATCATTCTTCATTCAGAAACTGGCATGTCTTCAGTATCTACATACCAAAAACTCATAATACATACATGCATACAAGAAATTGGTTTCAGAAAATTCAAAAAGTTTCTATGAGGAAATTTAGCTGGTTTTTTTGGGAGGAGAGGATATTGTGGCTGGTGAGAATATTTCACTGTACACGCAGTCACTGATTGGCAACATACTTTAAGAAAGTTTTGGTTGACCAATATGAGGGAAATCAGGCCTTGAGTTATATACCATGGCTTTTCAGAAAAATACTAAACAGTTGGTACTGTTTGCAGCAGGTTTTTTTTGCTATATTCCTTGCCATTGAAGATAGTGTAAAATTTAATACTTAGATTGTGAAATATAATTTCTTTGAATAGATATATGTCCATGACTATGTGTTTACCTTTTCACAGCCGAAATATAATTTTAGACTATAAAACACAAATGTAATCTCTGTTATTTAATTTGAGAAACTCAACTAACCCATCAGCTTTCATTTTAAAACGTTGGACAGTGCTTAAGTGAAATGCTTTCTCTAAAACAGCGGATTCTCTTTATGAACGACCATGATAAAGCGGTATTGTATGAAATTTAAACTTTTGAACTAGTACAGACTGGAAGAATGAGGAAGTTTTAGCTCTGTGAAATTCAATAAATATGCAGTATCAAAATGTCCATATCTACAATACCAACATCTGTCACGCAATTACAAAGGCAATATTACTATTCAAGAATACCATTGTTTTAATATGATGCCCTTTGTTTCGTACCAAGCAATATATTTCTTTTATATTAACTATTTATTATCATCTAAACAAAAGGTTCAGTCCCAATGTAATATTCATCGCGATATTTGATCGTCATTTCGGGGAATTTTTAAAAATGTTAGTAGAACAGAGTTTTCTTATAAATATTAAAGGATTTAAATACAATTTAGTGACATAAAATGTAAAGGCTCGAAAGTTATTGTCAGTAAAGGAAATCTATATTTGTTAACATTCTTTCTTCTGATATTCATTGAACATAAATTCACAATTTATATTGTAAATCAAAAGTTACAAAAATTTCATATACCAACAATAAACAGCAAAATGGTAGTGGGTTATGCATGAAATCATTGACGTTGGGAGTCAGCCTTTAGCTGAAATTCTTATCTATATCATTCACAATATGAGGGAGGAAAAAAAATATATCAGGAGTCACTTATATTATAAAACATTCCAGTTTTTGTCCAAGTCTAACTCCTAGTAAATCATAAAACATAAAGATTAAGAAAAAGCTGAATTGCAGAGCTGAGCGTTGCTTTCCTGTTCTATCTGGATTTCCTTCTTTATTACCTTTTATTCTTAAGTAAAATTAAACTTACTGTTATGGAAATAAACCTGGGGGAAATATACTGCCTTTGAAGTAAGCCATCTATCAACTGTCTTGTAATTACATGTAGTTTCTTAAAGCTGACAAGTTCAAAACAATTCATTTTTAGATTTTTAGAGTTTCCATTTTCCAAATGCTTTGGCGATGCTCCCTATGATAACAATATTTTTCAGTCTTTGCATCTAATGAAGTGGTCAAGATTTTAGCCCTGGTCGTGCTTGGAAATAAGTATAGGCATTCCAGGGTTTAAAAGGCTTGCATTTCAACATCTGCTGCTGGAAGTGAAACTTACTTGAATATTATGATAACACATACACCTGACCCTAAAACAGTACACTCACCAGAGGATCTTGAAGATGCATGAAGATGATCAATGAGACATGATCCTAACACAGCTTCATTTGCACGTCGTAATTCTTTTACAACGAGGTGTCAATTTTTTTTCTTATTAGACCTTGGGCTAAAACAGAAAAAGAAATTACTGTCACTTGCCGAGAATTATAAACAATTTTAGAATTCAAAATAAAAGATAAAAACAACTACGTATATTATCGTGAATAACATGTCCTTTATTTTGAAAACCAGCCATATTCTGATAATTTTACTTGATGTATAATGGCAGATTATGGTGAGGCAATTGATATACTTGTGTCTGTGGAATGAAACATGTATTTAACATGTATATCCATGTAATTACAGTGATATATTAATCAAGAATGAAATTCTTATGTAAGTGTATATATACAACTAACTACAAAAAGAACCTAGTTCTTGTATGCATTAGCTGTGTGTTGATAAGGAACGTTACAGAAAATGTTGGGACAGATTTACAGGGAATAATATCAGTTGGATTGGTCCCTCTCCAGGATTTGGAGTTGAAATTGGAATTTTCATTGATGAATAATGATCATCTTTTTTCATGATACAAAAATTGATTATTTTAAATAAAGGTATGAGCAATATTTAAATGTGTTCGGTTGATCAGCTGCAATGGTTTCAGAAGAATTTCATCTGTATTGTGATTTTTTTTTTTCTAATTGTTAGAATTCATTACATCTCAAGATTATATAGTAATAATTAGTTCATGTATAACATTTAAGTGATGTGATAATCCCTCTTACCATTAATGATATTCATTATGTGGTCAGTCTTAAAAGTTTCATTTTTAATGGAGCTTCTTTCTCATTATTAAAAAGGTTTGAATTATTTTCACTTCTGCCTGTTTACTGTTTGTATATTCTTAAGATGTTTTATAATCCGTTCTTAAAAGTGATATACAATTATAGCATCCCTGTTTGATCATCATGTTGGTGGTAGAGCTAGTTTTTAAAAATGTTGGTGCCAACATATAACAGAAGCTACTATAGTGATACTATATACCAATGAAGATGTTTGATGGAGAAGGGAGATAACTCAGAATGACTGAAAAAATATCAGTCACAACATCATGTAAGTTGAATCTTGGATTTGTTGGTATCTGACTGAAGGTCTTTTCTCTTTTGTACATATATACATGTACAGCATATATATATAAATTTTTAAAGGCAGCTTCTTGACATAGTAAATAATCCTTGTAGATTATATTTATAAATTGTAGAAAGTGTTGTATGATACATAATTCTACGCCATATTTATACCTGAGAGCGGTCAGTTCATTAATACCTTGTGATCAATCATGATAAATATGGATGTTGTGAAAGTGTTTCAATATTTTGAAAATTATTATATCAGTAAGTGCTTTTAAAAACAAATTTAACCCAATCAATAATTGAAATAAAAAAAAAACAAACAAAAGTTTGTTCAATGTAATTGCCTTCCATTCTATAAAGAATTTCTTTTTGTTCGGTGTAACTTCATAGTGTTTTTTAACAGTATGATAAATTAAGAAAATTCAATTTTTTTTTGTGGTAAGGTTTTGTGACAGTGATTTCTAGCTATATAGGGGTAACTCAAAAATAACTTTTTGAGGGTTGATAATCTTGAAGTTAATTATGGTGGTTTCTAAAGGCATGTTTTCTATTGACGAGGAAGCTATATTATCAGAGTCTGTAATGTTCATTTTAAATTCATAAAATTCCTTATTTCTCTTATGTTACGAAATTTAAAAAAAATTGATAATTTTTTAGCAAAATTATACGAGAATAGGTAACAACATCATAATTGGTATAATCAGGTAACAGCTATGTATTCTGAAAACTTTCAAAACAACTTGAAAGGTTTTGGTTGCATAAACAGTCTGGATCATATGACATGTACTAAATATGTTACTCTTAAATTGAATTTGAGAGATTGGTTGTGTGTTAACAGATGATATCATTATATAACAAAGCTTAGGGCTATTCCATCAAAACATCTGTCCCTCCTCAGGACTCAAGGTTTTGTATAGGGCTATTCCAGTAAAACATCTGTTGCATCCCAAGACTTGCTTTTGTTCAGGGTTTTTCCTGTAAAATATCTATCCCACACCAAGACTCCATTTTTTTTTTGGGGGGGACTTTTCCATTAAAACGTCTTTTGTATCCCAGGACTCCAGGTTTGTTTAGAGGTTCTACCCATATAAGTTAATTGATGGTTTGAGAAAAGTCAGAAAATTGGATAATGGATAATAATGATTTATTTTGGGAGTCCTGGGGTCAAGTACATGTTAGTTTGCTGGAATGGCCCTGAATTGTATTAATTTTAAGAAAACTTGAGATGTGAGCATTTTCTTTAATTGTGTAGTTATTTCACATAGATTACAGAGGCCTGTGTGTATGTGTGTGTGTTTTGATCTATAGGGCAAAATTCCATTATTTTCATTGTCACATTTACATTGGTCAAGTAAACTATTGTATATACATTACCGTTGTGTTCATCTTTACTTTTGTCAACAGCTTCTTATTTGAAGTTTCCGTATACTTAAATGATGAATTCAGGGCCCGTATTCATGAAACCGTTCTCAAGCTCAAACATGAATTTTGTGCGCAAGCCTTATGTCTTGTTTAAGCGAAACATTAATAAATAAAACTGATTTTGCCAAGATTAAAAAAAAATTTGAAAGGACTTTAAGTCAAAGTTATATTCAATGTTTATATTTGACATTTGTATTATTTTATATGATTTAGACGAATTATAAAAATAGTCTGCTTGAGCACAAAATCTATGCTTGAGCATGAGAACGGTTTCATGAATACGGGCCCAGATCACATCTCAAGAAGCATTGTTATGAAGAAGGTGAAAAGGAACCTTTCTTTTACCTCATTTACATGTTAAACAATCAACATCAGATCCATTGAGTTTTTGCTATGAATCCACTATAGGTACAAACATTTTTTGGGATGTTGGAGCAAAAACTAGTGTGCCATCGGTGGAAAAACTAAATCAACAGACATCATCCACTACCACCAGTGCAACTCAAACCTATGTTTTAGGGGATGGTGATTTAAATATTGATTCATTACCCCTTTTGTCAGGTAAAATTCATTCCTCTGATCACTTCTTTTGTAGTCTCATGTGACCTAATGTGATCACCTTTTGTCACCATCGTCCGTCATAAACAACTTACATTTTCAACTTCTTCTCCAAAACCAAAAAGCCAAGGGTCATAGTCTTGGGCGAGTAGCATGCTGGGATGAAGTGACCAGCAAGTTTGTTTAAATGAATGACCTTGACCAATTTTCATGGTCATAGGGGTCAAATGTGTTAAAATATTCAAATGACTTCCGCTCAATAACCAAATGGCACAGGGCCATAATATTTGGCAAATAGCATGCTGGAATGAAGGGCTTCCAAGTATGTTAGAAAGAATTACCTTCATTCTAGGTCATAGGTGTCAAATACATGTGCACATTGAAATCGTTTAAACAAATTCTCAATAACCATGAGGGGACCGTAGATGACCGTTAAGGCTCAGGGCCTCTTATACTGAACGGTTTTCAACATGCTGTTGTTATCAAAATAGTATGTAAATTTTGGTAAGTACATTTCATTAAGAGGAAGGCAATTTAGGAGACTGAAAATAATTGGAAAAACAAGCCAAATTGATACATTCAAACGCTACATGAAGATCTAGGACTAAAACTTCTCTGTTGAAATGGGAAGAATATGTGCAATAATTTCTTCATTTTCAGTCCTACTGTTCTGCATTGGCATCTAATACCTGTAAACATTGCCCCACTGACCTGGAATGTGAACGATCATTATTCAATTACAACAACTACCAATTGTCAAGTGAAAAAACTTAACCAAGATGACCTATTGAAGCTATGATGACATAAAAAGAAGAAAATACAAACGGGAATATAATTATAATCAGAGCAAAAATTGAATAAAATTAAAACAAATACAAACAAGAAAGAGATTTACATGGATGCTCCTGAAAATGTACAAGGAGAATAATGACCGGGAAGAGTAAGCGTCTTCTGCTTCATCAACGACACGTGCAATTATGATATAGATATGAACTTGTAGCAAGCAGTTAGTGACCAACCAAACACTAATACTACGAAGTTAAGCCATGCACTATTACAGCTAACGATAGGTGAAGCTTTGTCCTCATGATGTCATAGAAGAAAACCCCAAAACATAAAGCATACACTAAAGCAAGACTTACATGACCATTTCTGCACAAAAAAATGTAAAAGTAAAATAAAGACCATGTGTTCCAGAAGAGTAAGCGTCTTTGCTTCACTGATGAAACCTGCCATGTTTGACCTTGGCCATTGCAAGTAAGTATATCACATCCATCAGGTAACGAACATCAAACACGTCCTCGCTTTATGTTCGAAAATTCGCTCTCGGCACCCCTGGAACATATGACAAAGTTGAAGGTTCCGTGTGCGACACACTGTGGACGAGAAGACTAGTTTGATCCTTTGATGTACATCAAACGAATCTCGAGGTCGCATAACCGTCATCCTTTCAACTCACTTTGGCTCTCTGCACCCTTGGAACATGCCACGGCAATGTCTGGATCTCGAGGAAAGGAAATACGAAGTTCTCTCCAACTCTATTGGCATGATGTGGTTTTGTGCACCATGTCAAGTTGTTGTTGAGAAAAGCATTCTCACTGACAGAAAAAATGAAGAGCGCCGTAAAGAAATTATGGTGCCATACTCACTCAGTATCTACTGCATCGCCAACACAAAACATAAGCGGAGATAACGGAGGAGTTAAACGAGAGAAAGCGAAGAGAAAGCAATATTGTTTTATTCGGCATTCCTGAACAACAACACAAAAATGTAGGAGAAAGAAAGAAGCTTGATACGAAACACGCAAAAGAAATTATTGGGGTTTGTTGCGACTGTCCTAATGGAATGTTTAAAAAGGTGATCAGGATTGGGAAAAGACCAGAGGGAGAAGAGCTGCGGAATAGGCCTATCATGATATCGCTTGATGATATGGAAAACAAACGGAAGATATTAAGGAGTAAAAGAAGACCATCCCGGTTTCTCTAAGATCCGAATCAGAAATGATCTTACTGTTGTCCAGAGAACAAGAGAGAAGGAACTAAGAGCAGAAGCCATCGAGAAAGAAAGCGAAGAACCCGAAGGCTTTGTTTACCGGGTCCGTGGGCCTCCATGGAAACGGAGAGTAGTCAAGCTACAGACAATTAATATTTAACAATCGGGAATAGGATGAATTAATTATTTATTTCTGCAGAGGTCACAAGATTTGTGTGAATTGGACTAATGAGGGAGTTATGTTTAAATCGAAATACTGATCAATTCTAAAATTATAATGTAGATATGGATATAGAGGCATTTATTTTGCCTGCGTCCATCAAAATCTTATCTTAAAGATGAAGGCACAAGCGGAGTAATTTGATTGGTTCCAGGAGAAAAAAAAACTAACCAACCACAGACTGACACACCTACATTTACTCTACCGTTCTCGAATTTGGTATCTTTGTATCTGTTTCATGATCGATGCTGTAATGTAATTTATGTAATACTTGTGTCTGGATAAATGGGCAGATTGTCTTCAATTCACTTGTCCGTACTGTCCTTATTATTCCCTTGATCACACACACACACACACGCACACACAATAATTCAATAATAAATGAAAACAAAAAAGTTTAAAAGAAAATTAAAAGATAATTAGTAAATCTGCAGTTATTTATGTTACAATCACTCGCAAATTAAAAACTAACCTTTCCAATCTTGCTAATTACTTTTTTTATAATATGAAGTATCTGATCAAGCGTTGACCGGAAATATCGGGTAAAATCAAATTTACATATTTAAATAACTCATTTAAATATGTTGTACACTTTGGACATAGTGACGTTTAAACGCTCCATTTTGAGACAAAGACACTCTAACCGTCCTCCCTTAGGTGTATTTCTCATATCGTTTTCCTGAAGTCGTGTATGTTGGTGTAGAGTCATTAGCATACTTGGTGCTGTTCCACTTAAATTTCAATGCAAAGAATAAAAACAACCTATTGAGAGGTGTACAAGTTTAAAAAAAAACACCACTACGTAGCAATATTTTAAAATGAAAGGGAAAATAAAGCTGAAACACGGGAAGGTTTTGAATCTAATGGGTTCTGGTGTAGTGGATCTGTTTACATACGTTCAATATACGTTACCTTTCTCATGATACACAATGATGTCATCTAAGATTAATTATAACAGTTAGTTGAACCAGAGACGTATATGGTTGAACGGGTACGGAAACCGAATTTGATTATCACAATTTACAAAATGTAATATCCGACATTACTTTGCTGTCTGACAGTAATTGTTCTTCTAATACTGAGAACATTCTGTCTTGGTATTTGTATACATAGGAAAAATCGAATATTTCCATTACGCCAAACTCTGTAAACCCCAACCTCCCCACCCAACCCGCACGCACACACACATTAAATTAAAACTACATTAAATTAAGATGAATGGTTATATACATATATACAGAGACATATATAACACTTATCATTGATATACGTCTCTGATATATATAACCATTCATTTTAATTGATAAGAACTAAAATTTTAATCTGTTCTCTGTTTATTTACTTCCTTGTTTATTTGTAGCTAGAAGCTATAAGAGTGCAGTAAAAAAATCACTTCCTGTCCTGGCTTTATACAAAATCATAATTTATGTACAGGTTCTTGTAAACTTAGTTTTTGATAACTCTTAAAATAACAAACCACACAATAGCCTTATAAAATCTAGTACACAAGTGCCTGTGAATTTAAGAACATACGGGCACTCTTTGCTTGTTGGTTTGACACTGTTATGCATATGGCGCCAAATTCACACGGACTTTCGACTTTTGGAATGAGGATGAAAGAACCCCCCCTACTAAGCATATACCTTAACACTCCTGTATCAACCACTTTGCCTGACACGGAATCACCATTTCCACGCGAAGGAACACTTCTACAGAGCTTATATGTTCCCTGAAAGTAAGTATATTAATACTAACTAAAAAATTGATGCAACCTTTCTGCGGAGACGTATATATCACATATTTACGTCTCTGCTTTCTGTTACCAATATTTACTGAGAGTCAAAATTACGATTTCTTTTATCATTCTACAATGATGTAGATAGTGGTAAGTATATTGGGTTGATTAAGGACATGAAATAAGTCGAGGTCGAGTTTGATAGGCCTTTTAAATCAATATATATATATATGAATCCGGTCAGACGATTTACCGAAACAGACCCAATCACAGGCACTCGAGGCCAGGATATTATTTTTTAAACATTGATTTTTGTTTTAGCACTCATGACTGACGAATTAAAATGTATTTTTAATGACCGTGGACCTCGAATTTGTCAACCGGCACATAAACTTGAATTTTGCTGATATTTCGTTTAAATAACGTCAGTCATGAGTGCTAAAACAAAAATCAATGTTTAAAAAATAATATCCTGGCCTCGAGTGCCTGTGGACCCAATTACAAAAGTTACGAAAGTATCAATCATGCCTTGAAACAAACATGTGACTGTACAACACAAAATTGCCAATTTACTTAAAAAGCTCTATTTCAGTCTTGTTTTGGTCTTGTTTCGGTAATTGAGTCTGTTTTGGTAAATCGCCTTACCTCATGAATCTCTACCACAAAACGAAAGTAGAATCTAATTGTTACATAACCCTACAGTTTTTAACAGGCTTTTAGCCTAATGTATAGCACACAATTCTACTCAGATGCTTTATTGATACAATTGGATCTGTTAACACAAAACAGAAAGGAAACCAGTGAGTTAAAAATAGTACCACCTAATCAGGGTTGTTTTTATATATAGGTAACGGTTTCTCCACTATAAAATAACATCACGCATACCTCTATTTAAGAAAATGTGAATTGTGTTATGCTGTAATCCATAATGAAACAAGTAAAAATAATTTTGTTTCAATCATGATGTAACATATCAAAGAGACGCACGTGATTCGGGGAATATCACCTTAAAATACAGCCAAGCAATAAATAATACTATGTCATACATGTGTTTCGTCCCTCTGTGACTCGTCAGTGATGCTATGTGTGTAACTAGCTGCAACCTATAAAAAAAAGGAACATAGCCCCATCTGTATATAAAGGAGCATAGCCCCGACTATATATAAAGGAACATAGCCCCGTCTGTATATAAAGGAACATAGCCCCGACTGTATATATATAACTGTATATAAAGGAACATACGAATGTATATAAAGGACCATAACACCTGTATATAAAGGAACATAGTCTGTATATAAAGGAATATAACTGTATATAGTAGCCCCGACTGTATATAAAGGAACATAGCCCCGACTGTATATAACGGAACAGAGCCACGTCTGTATATAAAGGACCATAACACAGACTGTATATAAAGGACCATAACACAGACTGTATATAAAGGAACATAGTCCCGAATGTATATAAAGGAACATAGCCCCGACTGTATATAACGGAACATAGCCCCGTCTGTATATAAAGGAACATAGTCCCGACTGTATATAAAGGAACATAGTCCCGAATGTATATAAAGGAATATAGCCCCGACTGTATATAAAGGAACATAGCCCCGACTGTATATAAAGGACCATAACACAGACTGTATATAAAGGAACATAGCCCCGACTGTATATAAAGGAACATAGCCCCGACTGTATATAAAGGAACATAGCCCCGACTGTATATAAAGGACCATAACACAGACTGTATATAAAGGAACATAGCCCCGACTGTATATAAAGGAACATAGTCCCGAATGTATATAAAGGAACATAGCCCCGACTGTATATAAAGGAACATAGCCCCGACTGTATATAAAGGAACATAGCCCCGACTGTATATAAAGGAACATAGCCCCGACTGTATATAAAGGACCATAACACAGACTGTATATAAAGGAATATAGCCCCGACTGTATATAAAGGAACATAGCCCCGACTGTATATAAAGGACCATAACACAGACTGTATATAAAGGAATATAGCCCCGACTGTATATAAAGGAACATAGCCCCGACTGTATATAAAGGAACATAGTCCCGAATGTATATAACGGAACATAGCCCCGTCTGTATATAAAGGAATATAGCCCCGACTGTATATAAAGGAACATAGCCCCGACTGTATATAAAGGAATATAGCCCCGACTGTATATAAAGGAACATAGCCCCGACTGTATATAAAGGACCATAACACAGACTGTATATAAAGGACCATAACACAGACTGTATATAAAGGAACATAGCCCCGACTGTATATAAAGGAACATAGCCCCGACTGTATATAAAGGAACATAGCCCCGACTGTATATAAAGGAACATAGCCCCGACTGTATATAAAGGCCATAACACGACTGTATATAAAGGAACTGTATATAGCCACAGACTGTATATAAAGGAACATAGCCCCGACTGTATATAAAGGAACATAGCCCCATAGCCCCGACTGTATATAAAGGAACATAGCCCCGACTGTATATAAAGGAACATAGCCCCGACTGTATATATATAAAGGAACATAGGAACATAGCCCCGACTGTATATAAAGGAACATAGTCCCGAATGTATATAAAGGAACATAGCCCCGACTGTATATAAAGGAACATAGCCCCGAATGTATATAAAGGAACATAGCCCCGACTGTATATAAAGGACCATAACACAGACTGTATATAAAGGAACATAGCCCCGACTGTATATAAAGGAACATAACCCAGACTGTATATATACTGTATAGGAACATAGCCCCCGACTGTATATATAGCCCCGACTGTATATAAAGGAACATAGCCCCGACTGTATATAAAGGAACATAGCCCCGACTGTATATAAAGGAACATAGCCCCGACTGTATATAAAGGAACATAGTCCCGACTGTATATAAAGGAACATAGCCCCGACTGTATATAAAGGACCATAACACAGACTGTATATAAAGGAACAGAGTCCCGAATGTATATAAAGGAACATAGCCCCGACTGTATATAAAGGAACATAGCCCCGACTGTATATAAAGGAACATAGTCCCGACTGTATATAAAGGAGCATAGCCCCGACTGTTTGTAAAGGAACATAGCCCCGACTGTTTGTAAAGGAACATAGCCCCGAATGTATATAAAGGAATATAGCCCCGACTGTATATAAAGGAACATAGCCCCGACTGTATATAAAGGAACATAGCCCCGACTGTATATAAAGGAACATAGCCCCGACTGTATATAAAGGAACATAGCCCCGACTGTATATAAAGGAACATAGTTCCGAATGTATATAAAGGAACATAGTCCCGACTTTATATAAAGGAACATAGCCCTGACTGTATATAAAGGAACATAGTCCCGACTTTATATAAAGGAACATAGCCCCGACTGTATATAAAGGAACATAGCCCCGACTGTATATGAAGGAACATAGTCCCGACTGTATATAAAGGAACATAGCCCCGACTGTATATAAAGGAACATAGTTCCGAATGTATATAAAGGAACATAGTCCCGACTGTATATAAAGGAACATAGCCCCGACTGTATATAAAGGAACATAGTCCCGACTGTATATAAAGGAACATAGCCCCGACTGTATATAAAGGAACATAGCCCCGAATGTATATAAAGGAACATAGTCCCGACTGTATATGATTTTGATTCTTTGCAGACACTAAAGCTAGTCACAAGGTAAAAACCAACGACGGACTACAACATGGCTAAAAAACAAACCCGGACTGAGCCAAACATGTTTGGTGTTCAAGGCGTCAGCATCCCTTCACAAAGAGGTACCATTTTAAATTGATTATTGTATGCCAATGTATTCACAGCCCCTAGGATAAATTGTATGGTTGTTCATATGTAGATACTGCTTTCTTTCTGTGACAAAATCAAGCTGATTATACTTCTTTAGTTATCTGCATCTTGAGATTTTTTTCAGAGAAAAGAATATCATATTTGATTACAAATCTAGAATTAGGTAGAGCTATATAATTACTGGAACTGTTTCTCACGACCGTTACGTTATTCTTTGACATTTTTTCAACAGTAAAGATAGAAGGTATTGTAAACAGTTATGAATATCTGAAATTACTGTAATAACTACTTACAGACCTGCCAAGGGGGTATAACAACTTTGCTGGAGGTTACTTGAAATTTTGCTTGAGATGGGATGAATTTGCTCATATTTTGCTTGAGGTTCCTGGGAATATCTTCACTAACTATTAAACTTTATATATGCTAAAAAAAGACTTAACTAGTCAAACTATTAGACTGCCAGAGCCACATGTAAGCGTCACTGTGATTGGCTAATCAGTAGCACTAGGTGGCAGAGTGCGCCGCACATCGCTCGACTCGTCGTCACCACTGCTTAGGATCATATAACCGCGGTATAAGTGTAGAAATCGAGAAGCGTGAGACTTGGCAGGTCTGTAATTACAACAGGATTAGTAATATCTTGATCGCTTAAACAATTAAAACAGGACGCTTCAGGTTAAGATATCATTTATCTTTTTTTTTTTGTTTTAATACAATGTTCCTAAGAATCTAACTAGGACATACACTACTTGGTATTTCATCATGATTCTCTTTCCTTTTCATCAGACAATTCCGATCCGACAAAAGTCATAGAACAATACATCTATCCACAGAGAGGATGTAATGTAATGATTGGAAAGGAAAACACTGTGATAGTTAACGAAAATGCAGGAAGACTTCTGGAAGACAAAACAGGTAATTTTTTAGCATTAAAATCATATTTACATTTGGATGTCATTATGATACCAGGTACTTTATATACTATAACAATATATCATTTACAAGACTTTAAATGACATTGATCATGTGTCATTTATGTACACCGTCAAAATGACTAATCAGTCAATTGGACCACGTCGTCCAATATGAAGGAATTGCTCTAATCTGACATTCTAAATAAGACTTTGTCTACACTTATAGTTATGTAGACTATGTATATATTTTCATTTCAGAGATGAAAATACTTCCTTGAAATAATTTAAGGTCATGGAGCTATATATTTATATCTTTGTATTCCTCTTTCAGCTCTCGATAATGCTAACCTAAACAGAGATGAGCTGTTGGTGGGTCTTCTGAATCGTATCTTGAACCCAAAGCTGTTGAGTAATCCATCATCAATGCCAATGCGACAGCTTGAAAAAGAATTTATGAAGACATATGGAAAACATTTGTCTGATAAAAGATTCAAAGATGTAGCAGGAATTCCTCTCGATTTGTTTATTGACAAATATCCCCAATCATTTGAAAAATATAGCAAAAAGGGCGAGGTGATGCTGAGATCCTTAATGCGCAAACCAACCAACAAAATAAAAAGCCCTTCTTTGGTAAAGAGATGCGATTCGGCATCTTCAAGTGTTGGTACTGACACTTCTTTCTACACTGCAAATGAAAACATTAGTGATGTCGGTTTATCTGAAAATGAGAGCTATCCACAGGAATGTTATTTGGATGATAAACAAAACATAGATGATAAAAATTTAACGTCTTCACAAGGTGACGACGACGATTGCCTAACACCGCGAAATGCAGAGGTTGAAGATGCGAGTGATTCCAGTGGTGAATGGAAAGAAGTGAGAAAAAGGAAAAAGGGAAAAGCTAAGACGTCTAGCAGATACAGCCAAAAACATTCGGACAGGTTAATGAGCGGCTCTTGGAAAACACCTCTTGTCTCAACAATTCAGACTAACAGAGATACTGAAAATCAGAGGTTACTGCAAGACCTGCTGTCACAACCAGAAGATAAGAAATTAAGATTTGTCCCCGAGAATGTTTACCGATGTCATTTGAAATGCATGGTGGATATAGTGAGCATGTGGAATACTCCATGTGCATCTCCAGCTTATATTGTGTTGGGTGTTGCCAAGGAATTGAACAGTCCACTTCATTTACAAGGATTAGTTTCACAATATAATCTTCAAATGTTTAAGTCTTACTTCGATGAAGACATTTTCACAACTGTGCCTGAATTTTCCTACTTTGAAGCCACAAATAATGATAAAGCATTCGGTGTTTTTACAATACCGAGCAGCGAAGGACACACCAAGCCATGCATAGTAAACTGTTCAAAATCAGACAGCATGCAAATTGTTCAGGAATCACAGCTGTGGTACAGACCTGGTTTGGAGAATATTGTATGCGAACCAAGAGAGGAAGCATTTACACAGATATACAACTGGTTCTACAGCAAGCCGTCATCCTCTGCATTGCCTCCTGAGGAGGAAATAGGATATGACAAGGAAGGTGAAAAAACGGGATCCTTTACCAAACACCGTTCACCGCACATCTATAAGACGATCAGTGATTTACAAAGATTTATCAACATAAGAAAGGATCATTTTGTTTTAATTGCAGGTGATGTCCCTTCCGGGTTGTCTCATCTTGACGCAGTATCTCTTATTCCATGGATTGCAGTTTTCGACTTAGATGCGAACAGCAGAGACAATGGTCTGTTGCGTGCAAATGAACCACTAATTGCAAAGGATAGATCATTGCAAATTACAACATGGAAGGATCCAGCGGCGAGCATAGTTGAAGAAGGAACGAGATGGTGCTTTATTCGAGGTCGAAGAGATGACCCAACAAGTAAAATAAATCCAATTGGCGACGTACGCAAATGGCTCAGAACAGTTCAATCATCACTTGATGCCCACATGGATCAGCTCAGAAAATTTGCCTCTGATTACACCATATTAAACATTGTTGTTCTATGGCCCAGTGAGGAAACAATCGCCCCTTTCGTGCAGAAGATTTTGTCGAAACTTGATGAAAACATTGATCCACCACCTAAAATCATTTTGTTTATGCCACAACAGCTGACGTCAGTCGGGCCAGCGAAACATGTATACGAGTTGTTGTGTAGCGAATATCAACAAAACCTTACTGTGTTCCAGGTGGATTTCAAAGAAATTATGAAAGGGCTGAAGAGTTTCTTGCCAAGAAATGGACCTCCGATATGTAAAAAATTTGAGCTTCCCCATTCAGACGAATACATGAACCATGACATAACAGATGAAAATGCAGCATGGCTACGTGAAGATTTGAACGTCTTGTTCTTGAAAAGTCCATATGTCAAAGAGAGTGAAGATCTGGAAGTTCTCCAAGAGGAAAAAAACAAATTCTATCGAGGTGGAACACTTCATTGGTCCACGTGGTATGGCTGTAATTCTAGATCTTTGGACGTCCCACGAGATGTCAGAGACTCATTTGCAAAGACAATACAAGAGCGCATCAATGAAAATCGCGGGTGCCTTATTTATCTGTATCATGATCCTGGGTCGGGAGGGACAACACTTTCACAAAGGCTGTTGTGGGACTTTCACACTAAGGTTCCCAGTATCCATCTGAAAACGAGGACGTACACATCGACCAGATCGCTGAGAGAGAGGATTGATTTTCTCTATGAAAAAACACTTCTACCAGTTCTTTTACTTGTAGATGGAGAGGATGAAACAAAGGTGAAATTTATGTTCAGAGAGTTAAATGCCAGAAGTCCTACCATCGTCATTTGCGTGAAACGCCACCCTTTCCAAGGGCACGAAAAAAAGAGTTATCCAAAAGTGCAAGGGCACGTATCCAGTGCTGAAGCAAAGAACTTAGCAATGCAATATATAGAACAATGTAAAGATGACGAAAAGAAGCAAAGAGAAGTGAGCAGAATCTATGAAGATGTCAAAAAAAACCAACCCCATTATCTGTACGAATTTGGATTAGCAGCTTTCCTTCATGAATTCACTGGATTAGCATCTTATGTCAAAGGATATCTACAACCCCATTGGACTCCTCATCGTGAAGGCATTAACGACATTCCAAGAATTCTTGGGTACTTGTCCTTGGCATATTTTTATGGACATACCTCTCTTCCCAGTCAATTTTTTGCAGAATTACTGCACAAACCGTCGAACTATTCTGTTGATCTTGACGATTTTCCTCATCCGATCGGACTTTTCATCGTTCCAGATGATACTGAGGGAAGACGAAAAAACATACGGATATGCCATTATTTGATTGCGAAAGAAATCCTTGAATTCATTCTTGGTAGTGGAAAGGAACAGAAAAGTCATTCAAGCAATGATCTTAGCATATCAGCAAAGCAAAATCTTTCAGAGTTTTGTCTTGACCTAATAGGTTATGCCAGCAACAAGAGGTTAAAGAGTGGACTTACAACTGAAACTATTGTTCATTGCTTGACAAGAATATTCATTTTTCGTGACTACAAAGAAATGGGTCAGACCACAGAGGTGCGAAGGAAACCGGTATTGTCAAGAATTATGAATGATATTTATTCCACCCCTCCATCCTTCACTGAACGCCAACAGGTTCTAGAAAAGTTGACTCAAAGTTTTCCAAATGACGCAAGCTTTTTAGCTCACCTCGGCAGATTCTACTCATTCTGTAAACCCGACGAAATTGAAAAAGCTGAGGAATGCTTCAAGAAAGCATTGGAACTGTGTCCAAAGTGCAGGGACGAAGAAAACTTGGAAACAATAGATGATCGATCGAAGACAATTCTAGTACAAGTATACCATATGTTTGGAACAGTGTTGCAAAGGCGTTTAGGTAGGTACACTGGGAATGCTGCTCATGACAAACCTGAGAAGGAAACAAAAAATGAAGACTTCAGAAAGAGACTTGAGGAAATCTGCGAAGTCGCAAAGAATGCTTGCAAGTTATTTGAAAATTGCAGAAGGTACACCGCGACTGGACAAGAAAATGGATATGGATATATTGGAGAGATAACAGTCCGTCTACAAGTTTGTGATTTTGTACAACGAAACTACCAAAATGGAGACAATGCAGTTGGAATCAAAGGGTTCTTGTCTTCGAGTGGTAAAGGAAAATCCGCTACGAAGAAGTTTCTGCAAAAAAGTGGATACATCATACCAAATTTGATTTCAGAATGTTACATGGTCGTGGAAAAGGACGATATTGATTCTGGTTTGAAAAAGTCAGTCATTTGGTACAATCATTTATTTCAAGCAAAGAAGATGAATTTGGAAGGTTTGGCAGTTCATGAAGACAATAACTCCTACCGATTGAAAATCGCCATTAAAAAACAGCAGTATGCCAAATCTACGGACTCGCTGACTTTGATTGAATGTGTCGATAAGCATCAGGATATCAAAGAAATAGTGGAATGTTATGAGAAAATCTTCCAGAATTTGACCTATACCAACATTCTTAGTTACAGAAAACGACAAGAAACAGAACTTGAATTTATTGAATGGTTAAGCGCTATCAGACATAGGCTGTGCTTGAAGAAGTACACAATTGTTGATGTTCTCGCGCAAGTTGAGATTTGGGATGAAAAAATACCTTCAGCAATGTCAAAGTTTTACATTTTTATCTTGAAAAGCTTACTTGGCATTGGAACTGTTAACCAGAAAGGGGACACTGCAAAGTTACTTGATGCACAAGCCATGATCAACCAGATGCAGCGTTATGGACGATCAGTCTTGAGGCCAAAATACCCAAGAGAATGGATGGGAGCATCAGATGATGGTATCAAACGTCTAATACCCGGGACGCGTTATCTGGGATTATCATCTGATGATCAGATGCAAGGTCAGCGAAATACACGTTTATTCAAGGGAACAATTACTTCCCCAAACAACAAGAAGGCTGCAGGCATCATACAACTTGATCTGGATGACAACGATATTGAAGTCAGAGTGTTTTTCATTCCAAATAATGTGAATCTTTCGGGAACTCAGTATGCTGGAAAACGAGTAGAATTTGAATTGGCCTTCAGTCTACATAATGGTTATGAAGCCTTTGCAGTGAAGCTGTTACGACTTTATGGTTGCACCAAATGCAGCTCATCAGCCGAAATATGCAGTAGAGAAAGTAGTGGCAAGTGTCCATCTTGCGAAACAGTGATCCAAAAGGACGATCTGACACTTATTCAAAGAAAATAGAGTTCATAGTATAATGAACATTTGAAACCAAGAACAGATCAATCATCCATGGTACTTTGTAGACTTTTAGATATTTTTGAATGAACTACATCTAAGATTTCTAAACACAAACATTAACAATGACAATCATTGGTGTAAAAAGGATTGAAGAATTTGAACATTCCTTAATTTGGCAAGCAAATGTTACACCTTACGTAATATCAATAACTATTATTTTGTCATTGCATTACAAATGTACACACTTTGATATGAATCATTGAAAAAAGTTTTCAAAGTAAAGACGTCATTGATATTCTTAACAATGATGAATTATTTTTTGAAGCTTTGAAAACTAATATATGCGAAACAGCCTCCTAAATGGAAGCTAAATGAGACAAATATGTTTCATATTAAAAGCTGTCCTTGTTAAATTATATTTGACATACATTTGTGATGTAAAATCAAATTTATCAAACTTTGATTATTGATCATAGAAAATGATAATCGAGTTGTTGCATGTTGTATTTGAGTTTCAATTTTAACAAATTTTATTGATTTTTTATATGTCAATGGGATAAGACATCAGGCTGCGCCGATTTGAGTCTTTTCCAGACTTATACATGAATTTTAGTATCCAGCTAACTTATCCATGTCCTATAGTGTAAGGGAGACAACTTCTTTTGAGGTGATGTGATATATACTATTGAGTTTACCAAATTATAATCTACGTAGTTTCTTTCTGTGACTTTGTGGTTTTGTAAATTATGCATATTTACCAACAACTTAGGATAAAAACTCTGTGGGATACAGGTTTAAAAGTTTATTGTGTGTAAATAAACCGATGTATTATGGTATTGTGAAGCATAGTGAAATGAATCGGGGTCAAATTTCATAATGATGAAAGGAACAGTGGTTTGTTTCACCATGGCCCTAGTTAAGTGAATCATTTCACTATTTTCTTACTAATTTACTTTTTCATAAATTTTTCTTCAAATTACCCCATTTTATTCATGTATGAAGGTTGTGACCACATCTACAGGCTGCTGTGGTCACTTCACTGATCCTTATTCAGGTAACTAGCATTATTTTTCAACTGACATATAAATATACATTTTCTATATCCATAACAATTAAAATATTAGTAATTGCTGTAAAGTTTCCATTTTTTTTAATCTGATTTTTTCTCGAAAAAGTATTAAAATTCTGTACAAATTGATGGAAAGAAGCTGTTAGGGTAACTTTTGGATTTTACGTTATGAAGGGTTGAAAATTCAGTTCAAACTCTGTACCAATTCACCTTCAATAGTAATCCACCTCATGTTACATAAAGCAGTAAACATGACATTTTTGCCATTTATTTTGTACTTTGATGTATTTCATATAATATAATATTTATGTGGAAAAAATATAGTTTTTAATGTTTCCTATGTAAACAGAGTAAGTTCAGATTGATACCATGTAGTAGAGGTATTGGCTGTAAAAGACTGTATGATGGCTTTTTACGTACGAATATAGATATATATATATATATATATGTATTAGCGGGTAATTTATTTGTTTCATCAAAATTTCTATATATATTTTGGATTAATTTCTAGTACTTGTTGATATGTCAATGCTATATTATTACAAAGTGATATTGATATATTGGTATCAGTTATTGACATGTGTGAAGCTGTTTGTAACAACTTAATGTAGTGAGTGTTACATCATTGCCAACAAGGAAATTGCCACCTCAATAACAAGTGCTTTAGATATTATATATCTATATATCTATATTCAACAACATATTTTATTCTGTGATACTGATGTAATTTTGTTAGTATATTTATCATTTACTCTAAATCTTTTATACATTGATGCAAGTTCACCGCTGAAACTAGTACTACAGTGTATAGTAGCATTATTGTAATTATGAAAGCCTTATCTATTGTGAAAAATTTTTTTTTTAATCTGGTCAAGGTTAAGACAGATCACAAATCATTCTTCTTTTTTTTTTCTAAAATTATTTGAACAACCACTTCAATACTGTGAACTTTTTTCAATGGATGAAATCATCACAGTTTTAATGGAAGCTTGAACCATAGAGATTTATTTCTCATGGAAATCAGGAAACAAACAATAGTTTCCTCAGTCAATATGATTTGTGAATTTATTCCGTCCTCGAAGATGGTGAATACGGGACCCTCAGAAATTACAATCTTTACACCATATGGTACCCTCAAAAATTACAATCTCTACAGCATACGGGACCCTCAGAAATTACAATCTTTACAGCAAATGGGACCCTCAGAAATTACAATCTTCACAGCATATGGGACCCTCAAAAATTACAATCTTTGCAGCATATAGGACCCTCAAAAATTACAATCTTTACAGCACACAGGACTCTCAGAAATTACAATCTTTACAGCATATGGGACCCTCAGAAATTACAATCTTTACACCATATGGTACCCTCAAAAATTACAATCTTTACAGCATACGGGACCCTCAGAAATTACAATCTTTAGAGCATATGGGACCCTCGAAAATTACAATCTTTACAGCATATGGGACCCTCAGAAATTACAATCTTTAGAGCACATGGCACCCTCAAAAATTACAATCTTTACAGCATATGGGACCCTCAAAAATTACAATCTTTACAGCATACGGGACCCTCAGAAATTACAATCTTTACAGCATACGGGACCCTCAGAAATTACAATCTTTACATCATATGGGACCCTCAAAAATTACAATCTTTGCAGCACACAGGACTCTCAAAAATTACAATCTTTACACTATTGGGACCCTCAGAAATTACAATCTTTACAGCATATAGGACCCTCAAAAATTACAATCTTTGCAGCACACAGGACTCTCAAAAATTACAATCTTTACAGAATACGGGACCCTCAGAAATTACAATCTTTAGAGCACATGGGACCCTCAAAAATTACAATCTTTACAGCATATGGGACCCTCAAAAATTACAATCTTTACAGCACACAGGACTCTCAAAAATTACAATCTTTACAGCATATGGGACCCTCAAAAATTACAATCTTTACAGCATACGGGACCCTCAAAAATTACAATCTTTAGAGCATTACAAAATTACATTGTTTTCTTAAAAGTATCCTACTGTGATATTTTTTAATTGTCTGTGATGTTTTAATTTTACTGACTGTTAATGTTATACATTTCTAATGTCGACCACTTGTAAGAGGAGCATTGAAAACTCCAAGTGTCGTTGACCTTAAGTAAAATCTTTCATTATTATTATAATCTTTATAGTAGATGAGATAATTGATTGTATGTGCAATGAATTACTTGGGTTATGTCTAATTTGAATGCCTTGCTATAATGGACATTAATGCTATACTGAAATCAAAGATTTGACCAGTCTGTTTTACCCTATAATTGTACATATACGAACAATGTACTACAAAGTATATGTCTCTGATCTGAAAGCCTTGATATGGATATCAGAATGTATTGAGCAGTGTTTTGATCACATAATTATATGTACAACATATGACAAAGTGTATGTCTCGGGGTTTAAGAGCTGTGATACTGATACTGTGTTTAGATCACATAATTATATGTACAACATATTACAAAGTGTATGTCTCAGGGTTTAAGAGCTGTGATACTGATACTGTGTTTTGATCACGTAAACGACGTAAAACGTAGTACAAAGTGTATGTCTCTGGTTTAAGAGTTGTGATACTGTGTTTTGATCACGTAAATGACGTACAATGTATTACAAAGTGTATGTCTCTGGTTTAAGAGCTGTGATACTGTGTTTTGATCACGTAAATGACGTACAATGTATTACAAAGTGTATATCTCTGGTTTAAGAGCTGTGATACTGTGTTTTGATCACGTAAATGACGTACAATGTATTACAAAGTGTATGTCTCTGGTTTAAGAGCTGTGATACTGATACTGTGTTTAGATCACGTAATTGTATGAATGATGTTTTACAAAGTGTATATTTCTGATTTTAATGCCTCGTTATTTTGGACCTTAATATTGTTATATAATATTCTACATAAAGTTATATATTCTTAATGTTTTGGCAATTTTTGTTTTACTTGATAATAACACCAATACAACTAGGACTGTGAATTTGCTTTGATGCTTTTGCATCACCTCCATTTTATTCTTGATTCTTTACCAACAAACATTCTCCATGTTGATAGTCCCTCACCGAAACAGCCTTACAAAAGATAAACCATGCAAGCAAAATGCCATTTAAGTGTTCAAATGATTATTTGCAAATATCGAAGGTGAAAATATCAATGCAGATACATATAAGTGGTAATATCAAAGTTAACCATCATTACAAGTATTGTCAATGTCTAAATGTGGCCTTATACAGAGGTATCAAAGTTATAGCTGAAGGAAAAATTAATTACATCAGTTGAAATGTAGCAATGTGGCCCATTAGCAAAAGTTAACAAGAAGCTCTTTGACATAAATATCAAAGGCTACTGGAAAGGAACAAGATTTATGTAGGACACAATGACCTACTTTTGTTATGTGACACACTGCCTTTCCAAGCCGAACCCACATCTGAAGTCTTAAGTTCTCGTAATAGAGCTTTGACAAGAAGAGGATAGACTGATGGACATAACACATCACTGTAGTCTTATCCAGTTCTTCATGGAAGACTAATTAGTTGTTGGAACACAGAGGGATCTATGTATCCTGGTGTATCGTTTGTCTTTCATCCAGATTCTTCTGGACCAAGATAAATTCCAATATAATGGGTGGTGAGATGACACAGAGGTTACACACCTGCCTGCCTCTGTGATGACTGCTTCAGATCCCAAACGAAATGTATGAAGTCACCTGCCCAACCACATGGGCTTTTTTCCAGGTGCTCTAATTTCTTCCCAACAACTACAAGCTTTATTTGCCATTGTTGTGCAACAATTAATGTCGAATTTGATACAAAATTTATATATAATATACTACAGTGTTGATGATCAGGTGAAAAATAAAACATAAAAAAAACACATGAGAAGACAATTTAATGTTGACATGTACTTGGAGTTACTGATTGAAAAACTTTTAATTTGTCAAGAAAATTTTAATGCAAGAATGAAATTTCAGAAAATAAGTTTCAAAAGAAATCTGAACACATGAAATCATTGTGTAAACACAATTATCAGAGAACAATTTTTAATCAAAATCATAACATGTATGAAAATGTTGATTTTTCATTCATAGGTAATTATAAAGAAATATCTATTCATGAAAATACTCAGTACAAACAATTGAAAATATTTTGTATACAATGAGAACCAAAACCCTGAAGCAAGTAATTAATAATATAACAATTGGTATCTAAAAAGGATGACATGATCAAATACTCTGTTTTAATAGGTCGATTGTAATCAAATTGTTCCCTTATTCTTTCACATACATTCAATGATTTAGCAGTACTCAACAAGTCTTTTTGAGAATTTAAGGTATTGATGATAATTTTGTATATTTTTAAAAAAAAATTTTCAAAATTAAAGATAAAAATATTCTAGCTATGTACCATGAAAGAAATTCCATCATGTGCAACTGTATTCATACTAAAATCGATACAAAAGACACCATACATATGCTTATACAAAACTGAAACTGATATAAAAACAAAGAAGTTGTTACAGAGTATGAATAAATAACCTTCATCAGTAAAAGGTTTTACTTAGAAACTTAGAGTTCAAGTCTTATTTCAGCTTTGTTTTTGTTTATAATTAAAGACCTGCGGACAGATTAGATCATTGAAATATCTACCCTACACAAACTAGGATTCAAATATGTAGTACATCTGATCAAATATCAATAAAAAAGCAACCTGACATTAAGTGATTATTAAAACGTTTACACCTCTCGACTTGCTCAATTTTTCAGTATTCATTAATATTTACTTACATACTTCAGAAATATATTGTCTACCGGTATATCTTTTCTTTATAAGCTTTAACTGGTATGGCATTTACATCAGTAATAATTCATATTCAAAATATATAATATCTGTAACATATGAGTGTATTGCAGTTATATCTACTGTACAAAAACTCTTCCTCTCACAACAATAAATTAGGAGACCAGTGACTCTCTGGAAAATCCGTAACAATCTCAGGTACTGACAAAGTGCACCTAGGTCTGTATAAAGTGGTTGTGATATCAAAAAAGGGAACAAGACACGCGGAAAAAAACACTGAAAAATAATGCTCAACTATTTTCAGGTACAAAGTTTAAAAAAACTTGGTGACAAATTTTATCACCAAAATGAATTTCAGTTTACAGATGAACAGTGTGATTTGATTATATACTGATAAGTTTGTTACAAGCAGTATCAAGATGACAAGTTAACAAGTGGATCAGATATCAAATCTTGGTTTGTATGCTCTCAACTGTTCACCCTCTTGTAAATTGTCTCAGAAATTATATCTAAAATTCAGCCATTCTGTCCGCTTAACCCAAGGCCTTATGAACGCAGCTTATCAATTAGTCAAGTGAAGAATATCATTAAAATCCTCAATCTTTTTTTTTTACTAACATATGCATACTTTTCAAATATGATTCCATGTAAAAGATCCCACCACATCGGATTGAATCGCAAGCAAGATTTTGGCAGTTGGTACATGTAATTAAATATTAAGTTACATGAACTGATTGAGTCAGTTTTCTGTACAAGAATGAAGCTTAACATATTAACCTTATATTATGCTTCATTAAAGTCACACACTGATTTCCCCAAAGTACCTTGATATACTATCTCGACAAGAGATGTGAGAGGGATCCTAGCATCAACCATCCTATAATCCTTATTAGTCCCTTATCTATTGAATCTTCTCTCTTTTTTTTTTTTTTAAATTTGATCCAAAAATCAAACTCCCAAAACTACCGTAAATATTCGCGTATAGTGCGCACTTTTTTAAGCTGAAACCGTCGTGTCAAAAAGGGGGTGCGCACTACATGCAGGTACATGCCATTCCTGGGGTTATCATTCCCGAGTTCTGCATCCGCCATATTGGATTACCTCCCTTCACATAGTTATATGTAAAAGTCGTCGGTCTTTTGGAGATAAAAACAACCAAAAAATAAAATAAAATAAATTTCGAATGTTTTAATCATCTGCCATTCACGCTAGCATTACAGTGAATCTAATTTTTTTTCGTTTCCCGTCGGTCTTACTATTGGTCGGGGCTATAGTAGTGTCTGAATATCATACATATTAAGGGATGTAGGAAAGTCTACATTTGAAATTTGAGGAAGACCCAACAAGTATTTCTTAAGAAATGTCTATAACAATCTTCAACTTTTAAAATTAAATATGGATGACTGTCAGCCATTTTGTTTTTCCCATCAATCCCAAAACTTGACATACTTAACTTAGGGTATCCAAGAGTAACAAAAATATTAAATTTGATAATTATCTGTCAAATAGTTCTCAAGAAACAGTGAAAAACTTCAGATGTCAAAACCCAAGATGGCTGTCAGGCAGTCATTCCATTTTTCTGATCAGTGCCAAAACTGAACATACACAACTAGGAATCAAAGGGAACATACACATACATACCAAATTTTAGCATGATCAATCCTGTAGTTCTTACAACAAGAAATGTTTAAGGACTGATGGATGGACCACAGACAAAAGGCTAACTGAATTGATGTGCTAAAAAGTCATATTTGTTATGCTATTTTTTCTTTTACAGTTAAGTAATCAAATTGCATTCAGATCTTGAATATACTGAAGCATTTCTTATATTTAAACTGTGAAAAATTAGTCATCTCAAGTTTGATCTGAAAAGTGTTTATAGGAAAAAAAGTGTGTGTTTGGCTTCAAAAACAATTTCATTTCAAATTGTCTTCATATGTTTAAGTGAACATATATTGTATAATATTAATCATGAAAAGAGGACAGCGATAAAACGATAACAAAACCATACCCAAAACTAAACAGAAACACAATGACAAAACCTTTCTTAAGGGAACATCAACATTTCATTATTTTAGTCGAGAAATCACTCCAAAATTATCAAGTGATATTATAAAAATAGTGTGTAATGTTTGTCAGGAATGCTGCCATGTAATGGATAAATGTGTCTGAGCATCATTTGTTGTTAACGTGGCCGTTTGACTGCCCGAGTATACTGTCCAACGATGACCTGCAAAGTAAATCAGAAAATATAAATAGATAATGTCTATTAAGACTAACAGATTCCTTCTTCCCCTTCAGGGCGAGATCTCAACCCTAGGGAAAAGATTATTAAATCATCAAACACAAGGCTTGTCTGACTGCATAATAATCTTTCCCTGGGTGTTGAGATCCCCCTACCTATCTCACCCTAAAAAGATTTTTCTCTGATCCTGTTTTCCATGTACAATGTGTGTAAACAAAAACAAGTGGATGGTGTATGAATAGAGACAAGACCCATGCCTCATATGCTTCAGTCACTGAGATTTCATTTTGTTCAAAATATAGTTCTAGTGAACTGAACATATGGAACTGGCCTCAAGCTCTGAGCTAATCAAAGGACTGTAGTTAAACACATCGTCTGTCAAACCTTTCACCAGTTGGTGTTAACGTGTGTTGTTTACTTCTCCAGTTTTACACAAACTTACTTCAAACAAGAAATTTGCTCCAATAGGCTTAAAAGTACTTTGAATTATTCCTTGTTTTACATTAGCCCAAACATTTACCAATTGTTCACCCTAGTTTCAATCTTGATAACATAGGATTTACAGTTTTGAGGACGCCATAAAGATTTCAATAGCAGACAAAACAAGTGTGTGTGTGACCTCATAAAAGCAGTTTCGTCTTACAGACATAGTTAAATGTTTTGTATGGTAATATCTTACAGACATAGTTAAATGTTTTGTATGGCAATATTCTACAGCTATATCTCAAAACATCCTTGAAGTTATACTATATTTAACATCTGAATTGATGGAGATGGGAATTAATTTCATCAATAACTACCACATATGCTAGGAGATAAGTCTGTGTCTTGCTATGTTTAGAATAGAACTTCAAACAATTTAAAATATGATAATCTGCTTTCTACCTGTTATCTCATAACTAAGGTAAAATAAATGAAACAGAGATTTGAAAAAAACAAAAACAAAAAGTTATAGATATGTACATACCTAGCATCTGAGATCTGTTGGCGGACACGATCCCTCATGGCTGTTGAAGATGCTTTTTTCTCCTTTTCAAGGAGGTCTTCTACTGTTGCTTGGTAACCAGTAACATTATGGAACACATGTACATAGCGATCGCCTGCGGTCACTAGATATTTGTTGGTCGTATCAAAACTCAAATCTACTAAGCCACCTGTAGCAATAAAGAGAAAAATAACAACACTGTGAAAAAGTATTTTAACATGTTTACATTTATATTTCATCAGAATTACTTTTTTATATACTCACTGAAGAAAATGCATTTCTTGGTTAAAGAAAGGTATTACAAGAAATCTGAATTTATTGTAACTGTTACAAAATCTTTGGCTTTTCATTGCCCTGTGAACAGTCAGGGTGGAGTCTCCTTTTAGTAAGTGACAGCTACCCCACTGAACAACATACAGAAGATCAGTCGCATGCGATCCAGAGTAATTCGGGTAAAGTGTCTTGCCCATGGATACAACCATGTCAGCAGACAAGAGTTTGTTTCTCGGAATCCTGAGAAACACAAGCCATTTTGGGTAGGGAAATGTTGGACCAAGCACCTCAGATCTTCACCAGAGATTACCAAGGCCAATACTCTGAGCTATTGTGGTCCTTTCTATCTTAAAAAATGCTTACACAAATATGAAATTATTCTATGATAACTGTCATCAGCAAGTTTGTTGTCTTGAGTAATAATTATCACTAGTGCTCATTAGCACACCATGGTACAAGAGGATCATTAAAAACAGTGCTTGGATCCCCAGTGTTGTATTGTGGAACATCATGAACCATATGCATGCATCATGCTTGATATGGTGAAAAATACTAACATGATAAAACACGATCTAAATAATAATGATCATCGTTTAAACGTTAACTCATCTCGAGAGAGTGCAAGACGGAGAGAAAGAGTGAGAGAAAGGGCAGAGGAGACTAGTTTTGTAAGAACAGAACTGATTTAAAAATGAAGTTGATAAAATTGAAAATGGTCAAGAGGAAGAGAGTTCCAATATCAGAGATTATTCCAGGAAAAACAAATTTTTACCTCCCCTACGGTAACATGAATGTGCTTGATGTGTTTTTAAGCATACATGCCTGGTGTAGTATTAAAAGAAAATTTTGTTATGTGTGATTTTGTTTAGGGTTTGTAGTAGCATATCTTTTCTCCCGATTTCTTACTACAATATATAACCTCACCTAAATGAATATTATCCACACTTTCTTCTTCTTTGCAAGAGACAGCATTGAAAAATGTAATAGAGTTCTCTCCCCCTACTGTGACTGTCCTACCATCTGGTGACAAAGCTATGAGGCAATGGCCGGAGTAACTGATGTTTCCTGTGTGTAGCAGGTATGGATCTTGGTTCATCTCATAACGTACTGCAAGGAAAATCATTCTTCATTTCACATCATACACAAATTACTGTTCATCTCATATGGTATGTCAACAAAAAATTACTGTTCATCTCATATGGTATGGCAACACAAATTTTTGGTCGCTTTATATCTTACTTCATGACATAGTTTGCTAGTTATCCAATGAATTAGTCTCACTATTATAATATACCCTCGAGTGTTTTTCATTGGCTGCACCAGTCAGAAACAGATTGTGATGTAAAAACGTGAACAATGACATTATGTAATGAATTGACAATTGGGCAAAAATTTTGTCTCCACATTTTTAGTTTAAAATGTGATTTTTCTGAGTTATCTGATAAAAAGTATCTTAAATTTGTTTTCATTTCAAATGAGATTTTATGAAACTTGTTATGATTCATGCACGCCAAAGCTCACATAAAATGAAAACTTCTCTTTCTTATTTCACAAATTCTCATTTTGGATCCTATAGATAATATCAATCTTTGTTCATCTCATATTGCAGTACAACTAAATTCATTGTTCACTCCATATCGTTCTTCATGCAAACCATTACAAATGTGATCTTCAAAATCATCGCCAGTTTTGTGGGAAGGATACAAGTATTTATCAGGGTGATCCTTACCCCATTTTATAAAACCTTAAACATGTTTACTGAGGTAGGAGCACAGTCCAATTTTAAGAAATATTCTCAGAAAAAAATGTTTATGTTCTGATATTGACCAGTTGATAAACAACTTACCATTAGTATCCCAGTATTTCCATGTACCGTCTTTAGACACTGATGCCATTCTTAAATGAAAAAATAAATAATATCATATTTCAATAAATTCCATATGGACGTCCAACAGGTTGACTTAACATGTCTAACAAACCATTCAGGTGGTTACATCATGAAAATGATTTGAATGTCTGTGTTGGTAAATAACTAATTCATAATTCATAAAAACACTTCATTAGAATAGATCTACATTCAAATAACAGCAATTTGCTCATTACCATATCAAACATAATGAGCAAAAATATCTTGTTTCTTCATGAAATTAAAAACATTTATTCCACTGAGCTTTTGTTCTCTTCTTTCATTTCTAATATGCTTACATGAAGGTAATTTCTGTTCTCGACCACCTACCTACTATAATCATTGCCTACCAGAAAGGTAATTTCTGTCCTGTCCACTTACCTACTGTAATCATTGCCTACTAGAAAGGTAATTTCTGTCCCAACCACTTACCTACTGGAATCATTGCCTACTAGAATGGTAATTTCTGTCCCGACCACTTACCTGATGTAATCATTGCCTACTAGAAAGGTAATTTCTGTCCCGTCCACTTACCTGCTGTAATCATTGCCTACTAGAAAGGTAATTTCTGTCCCGTCCACTTACCTGCTGTAATCATTGCCTACTAGAAAGGTAATTTCTGTCCCGTCCACTTACCTGCTGTAATCATTGCCTACTAGAAAGGTAATTTCTGTTCTTGATCACTTACCTGCTGGAATCATTGCCTACTAGAAAGGTAATTTCTGTTCTTGATCACTTACCTGCTGTAATCATTGCCTACTAGAAAGGTAATTTCTGTTCTTGATCACTTACCTGCTGGAATCATTGCCTACTAGAAAGGTAATTTCTGTTCTTGATCACTTACCTACTGGAATCATTGCCTACTAGAAAGGTAATTTCTGTCCCGTCCACTTACCTACTGGAATCATTGTTAAATGAGAAACTATAAACTCCTGCGGTATGTCCCTTTAGTTCAAATGCCCGCTTGGTATCTGAATAGCTTCCATTTTTGTTGAAGCATACTTCCCACACTTTTACATCTGGTGTAAATCCTATCAATTAAAAACAGTGATTTTAAATTATAATTAGGGGTTCTCAAATAACAGGATGATGGTTTGACTACTATTTTCATTTTTCATTTTACAAATTTTTATTTAACATTAATGCATGTTTTTTTTTTTTTTTTTCAACGTAAATGAGTGGTATAATAATCACATTCCTCAAATAATCAAGATATCATGTGTAGGTGAACTAGGTTTATTATGGTTTAAAATATTGGTGCCCTGGGTTTATAATGGTTTACAGTGGTATTAATGTTTTCTACCCACATGTAACATGAATTGTCAATTGAATGCTTCAGCTGTTACTGTAATGTTGATTTACTGCAATTTCTTATTCTGATTTTGAGGCGAAATACATGTATAGAGCACAGATTTATTGTCATTAAATACATTTGCAGGGTAAAAATTCATTGCCCTTAAATACATTTACCAGGATACAGATTTCCTGCCGCAAAAAAAGGCATGTTCAAGACACAGAATCATTGCTTAAAGATCATTTCTAAAAGGTCATTAACAACTATTAAAAATTACTAAAACAGATTTTTATTTTTTACCTGAAGATGCAACAAATCTACCACAAGGTGAGACACAAGCAAAGGAATTGTTCATCTGATGCGTGTCGATAGACTCAAGCACTTCACCTGTAAAGGTAAAATATTTGAACACAGGTACATACAGTAAAGTTCCTTTTTTGTTTTTTTGATGATGGTTCAATTTTTATGGTTTAAAAAAAATCTTGATATAAATAGAAGTATTGTTTGAGTAAGTCATTATACAGACTTTTGTATTACAATGTATTTCATTTTACAGGGTATACATATCTCATTTTCACAGTATCCCGATCTCATTTTCACAGTATCCCCATCTCATTTTCAGGGTATCCATATCTCATTTTCACAGTATCCCTATCTCATTTTCACAGTATCCCTATCTCATTTTCAGGGTATCCCTATCTCATTTTCACAGTATCCCTATCTCATTTTCACAGTATCCCTATCTCATTTTCAAAGTATCCCTATCTCATTTTCACAGTATACCTATCTCATTTTCACAGTATACCTATCTCATTTTCACAGTATCCCTATCTCATTTTCACGGTATCCCTATCTCATTTTCAGGGTATCCCTATCTCATTTTCACAGTATCCCTATCTCATTTTCACAGTATCCCTATCTCATTTTCAAAGTATCCCTATCTCATTTTCACAGTATCCCTATCTCATTTTCACAGTATCCCTATCTCATTTTCACAGTATCCCTATCTCATTTTCACAGTATACCTATCTCATTTTCACAGTATCCCTATCTCATTTTCACAGTATACCTATCTCATTTTCACAGTATCCCTATCTCATTTTCAGGGTATCCATAATTCACTTTCAGGGTATCCATATTTTTCTGTCTACATCATAAATGGGTGATAGACTCAAATTAATGTGAGAGTTATCTTACCTTTAATGGTCCAGATGATAATGGTTGTATCACTACCACACGACATTATATATTTGCCATTACTTGCTATACCTATTCTTATTATGTCTGCCTGGTGTACCTGGAAAGACAATGTAAACTCAACTTAAATCCTTTTTTGTGTGTGTTTTATTCATAAATATTTTATCAAAATAATTTGAAATATATCAAACCTGCATTTATACTATAACTTTAATACCTCCTTTAACTAAAGGTTACTCTTGGCTTGTACAGTGTGTTGTTTACTTCTCACAATATATATACATGTTGTATTTATATGAAAGGTTAATATGAACTTTTGATCACAATTGCACAGTGTAGATTACAGTTGTATTCTTCTTCATAAATTCAGTCACATTTTATACATAACAAAAGCAGAATATTATCCAATAATATTCAGTAAAATTTTCATCAGGTGGTTAAACCAAGAGCCCCATTACCTTGGGAAAGTCAAAAGCAGAGGTGATATTGCCTGGCGACCCATCGTCTTTCTTGCCTATTCGATAAACTCGCAGAGCATTTTCATTGGCTAAGCTTATAATGAAAGCTCTGAAAAAAAGTTATGCAATCATAGGTAAAAAAAAATATCTGAAAAAGACAGTCAGTTCAGAAATAGAATTGACAGAGAAGAGAAGAGTTACTTTAAAACTGTCTACAATATATGTGATATTTAAATGAAAAGAAAAGAATTTAAAAACAAGTCTTTAATTTTGGTCCCAGCTGATCACTAATCCACCATAATTAATATATGAGTTTTCTAGAAGTAATAGGCCATTAGAAAGTGTTTTAAGATGCTTCGATCTGCCATTAATTTTAAAGAAAAAGGTTGAATGAAATAGCTAGTAAATCCCTGCTGTACCTACTTGGTATCTGGGCTGAATTTGACTTGAGTCCCATGATCCAGTTCTACAATGCCTTTAATAAATCTGAGAAAAAAAAAACATTTTCAAAAATTTGAAAGCAGCTGTATGTATAAAGTATTTTTTGTTTATGATCTCAATAGTTTTTTTTCAATTATCAATTAAAACAAAGTGTTACATGTACACTATATACTAACTTGTGTTCCTTTTGGTTGAAATCTTTGGTGCTCCATAACATAACACAGCGATCTGTTTAAAACACACCAGAAAAGAAGTCAATTAATAACACAAAAAGTATAGACAATAGTTAGACACTTTAGAAAAAAAAAAAAATTCAGGAATCTTTGTTTGTACCAAACCATTTCAACAAAACCCTTAGCAAACTCTTATGAAAGTCTGCCATAGATATGCAGTCACAGTTTGAACAAGAAATCTGAGGTCTGATGTTCTTCAATGGCAATTGATTCAAAAGTGAATTGAAGCGTTTTTTCTTAAATGGTGACCTTAAACAAAATATTGCCATCTATTGATGAGGGACAAGTTTTGATATAAGTCTCTTTGATTGTAACATGATGTATAACCAAAGGAAAATTGACAGTAAGATGTAAATTCACTGACATATATTGTATCAAATATACTGCATTGGTATATTATACAATATCAAAATCTCTCTCGAAAGGTAATATGTTAAAAGAACCAGAGAACTTACTAACATGTTTGGTAAAGCCTTTTCTATGTCATACCTTCAGCAGTGGTAATGAGATATTTGCCATTTGGACTGAAGTCTATTCCTAACACAGCACTGCTGTTTCCCTTCAGAGTGCTTGCCAGCCAGGGATGTGTCACTTGCACCTGCTGTGGTTTCTTTGACCGAATATTCAGCTTCAACTTCTTTGAGTTTTTTTCTTGTTTAACTGGTTCTGTCTTGACTTTAGATACTTGATTTTCACCAGAGTCTAAAACGTGAAACACATAGATAACAATTAGACCAATTCCAGCTATAACAGTAAAGCAGTCAGGGTGGTCATGTGTCACAGTGGTAATACTACCAGAGCTCTCGATCTGCCAGATTTGGGGCCGAATTCCCAATGCAAAATAGTATCTTTTTTCCCCAATTTAGACCCCAAGTTTTCCTAATTCTAAGGAAAATGCCGCTATTTTTCCCAATTCTAAGGGCCCCGGGTCCCAGTCCCAAAATGGGGTGTGAGAGCCCTGACTACTGATTCCCCACATGGACATGGAAAGTAAACTCTGTAGAATATTCTTCTATTAAATTACACCATTTACAGCAATTGCATCCTTCATGAGCCTATCACTAAATAGTCAACACTTGTTATGGGTAAGATGCTAACATGAAAAACATTCAGTTTTTCCTTAAAAATTCAAAAAAAATTCAGTAAAATCAACATACAACTGTTGTATGATTTCATCTCAAGTTTATGATTTATATCAACTCTGGTAAATACTAGCCACAATATACCGTTCTGCTTGAGAGAACGTCTCCAGCTCAATCAGTTGAGCATCAGACAAGTAAGCCAGGGATCACAGATTCAAAACCATGCAGAGGCACTGAAATAAATAATTACCTCTCTTACATTGGCACCCGTGTAGGGACTTTGGAATAATACTTCGCGTATCTTTCAAAAGCATCACTGTAACCCCTGGAAACTTGAGGACAAGTTGTTTCCTAAAGGGGGAGTATGTAACCCTGGTAAATACCAGCAGCAATATACTAGGGAGAACTTCTCTTTAGCTTGATCGGCTCAGCGTCAGCCTAGTAAGCCAAGGGTCACGGATACAAATCCCAGCACAGGCATTGAAATAAATAATGACCTCTGTTACATATAAATTAAATATTTCTGCTTTAAAAATAATTGCCCTTTCTTCGCTTTATCCTCGTGGTAAATGCCAACTGAAATATACCGCTTAATTGTTAGAGAAAACTTCTTAAACTCGATCGGTTGACCTAATAAGACGAAGGTCCAGGATTCAATCCCTTGCTGAAGCATAAAATAAATAATGACATATATTACCATCATTTGGTGTTGCCTAATCACTCGTGTTTTTAATCGCCAAAAAAGCAAATGACCCCGAACGAAACAGAAAAAAAAATAAAAACAGTAAAATGAATCCATATGATTGCATGGTGTCTCAATATCATGGTATGTAAAAACGCATTGCAACATAAACTGCAACTTCAGTTACGCGTCTGCTTTTCGACTGTTCGATTCGCTGTATATGTGATGCAACCCTGCTTTAGTTACCTTCCTTCTGGTCTTTGGTATCTTTTTTCCATACACTACAAAGAAGTACCAATAGTAGTACGACAGCTCCAACAGCCGCAGTTACTGCCAGAGCCGGTACAGCAGAAGCTTCGGTTAAATCCGCCATGATGCTGAGGTGTACTTACTATTCGAAGTTCTTCGGACTTTTCCATTGAAATATATTGGATGCGTTCCGAAGTTTACTTTCTGTTTCGGGAATTTGGAAATTTGTTTCAACCAAACGACATGCAAATCACGAAAAAATAAAGAAAATCGTCACCACGTTGCTAATTTAAATACTTTTCTAATTAAAATGCTGTTTAAAGTTAACGTTATGATAAAAAGGCAATAAATTACATAATATGTATTCGTTCCGATTCATTTTTAATAAACCGAATCTGAAAGATTGCATTGTCAGCAATAACAGAAAGGCGTCGTCTTGTTTACACTTACAGTAGGGTACGACAATGTCTAGTACTAGATTTATATCAGATACTTTCAAGTACGTGAAGAGGCCATCGTCGAATCAAGTATTGAAGCGATCTGACCTGGTCAGTCACGATGATGGTAAGTTTCAGGTTTCGTTTCAATTTGCCTATAAAGAGGTAATTATCGGCTCATCAGTTTCGGACCACAGACGCTTTGGAAATAGAGACACATCGGCTCCAAACTTCACCAGCCCAATACTTCTTGGCCCGGTACTCTTTCGATTAAGATACCTTGGACCCTCAATCAAAATAAAATAATAGAAACGAAACCCACATACTCGCTTAGAATCAGTACAGTATCGTCTGGATATCGGTTCCGGAACGTTATGTATTTAGGAACGACTATTTGGTCGTGCTGTATCGTATGGAGGGGGAGTGAGAAGGATTGGAACTCCGAGAAGAGACCAAAAAGAAAACTATACAAACATCGGGGGAATATCTCTATCCCGTAAGGGGCCAACCATGGAACAGAAAAACAAGAAAGATGAAAAACAAAACGATTAGCAGAAATTAACACCAAACAAACATTCTACCACTTGAACTGGTAATATAGATAGTATTCCGAATAAACAAGATAAGATTTAATGATTAAAAGGCCACTTCTTTTTGCAATTGTTTGGCTATGGAAGTCCAAACATGCATGCCGTATATTGGAAAATTATGATTTTTGAATTATTACGTTTGATGATACATTTCTGATTTTATCAAACTAGCAAGTTTATCAACAGATATGGCTTATTTGAGGGAAAAAGGACTAACAATTGAAACTTTAACCTAATTCCCAGTAGAACAGCTGCACACATCAACACAGATATCCACCATTTTCATAACAATTCATTTAATTTACTACATGTGTATTTCTGGGTCACATTTGGCTAACTCAAGCATCTCTGTGACTCAGAGATGTCATCAGAAACGAAAGTGCAGTCATATGTCTGATACACATGTCAGTCATTTCAGATCGAATTTGAGGTCGTATCTGCGGATGTTTTTTTAGAAAAATACTGATTAGTTTGGAAATAAATCTTACAGTATGAACACGTTTCAAGTTGTTTATGTATCTATTTGGTAGTGGTATTTCATCAACACAGTGTAGCAAGCCAAAAATAAATGTTAATGGGTCCGAAACTTATGTGCAATGGATAGATTTTTAAAAGCTTGAATCAAAACAAAACAAACCAAAATCCTTTAGATTAAAGACTCAAAGAAAGGAAAGAGCAATATCAAAGCTTGTAAAATTTAGAAATTAATCAAGGCAGGGCAGACAGTTTAAAGGGCAGCAGGAGCTCTATTCTTAGCTGGATCGCCCCACAGCCTCAGAATCAAACTAGTCAGAATTGTTTTGAGGTTCTTTCTACTTTTGTAATAGGAAGGATTACCAAAAAACATCGTGCTACTGCTGGGGTTGGAAATAGTGGCCCTTCGGTCTCTAGCCTCTCAACTAAAGGGAAAATCTGACTAGCTGCAGATTCAAACTAGTCCGAATTATTCTGATGTTCTGTCTTCTTTTGAGAGTCATGAAAAACACCCTACCACTGCTTTAGTTGGAGCTAGTGATCTTCTGGTCTCTAGCTGAACACACTACCTCTGAACTAAAGGGAATTTCCCACTAGCCCAATTAGTAAGGCGACCTGTACTCTCAACTACTCTCATCTTCTACACTACTCCCTCCTTCACAAAGTCTTTGACCCTAAAGCCATAACAACCCAAGTTCAATGTCTCCGAAGAAACATCTCGGTCTCCTATAGCTTCTACCCTTTAAGTGGTCAACAGCACCAAATCTGTAATAGGAAGTAGTAATGAAATCACCATGCCACCACTGAAGTTCGAATTAGCGAGCCTCTTCTACACTTTACACTGTATGTCAAAATAAAAAAGTCAACAGAACATCAGAATGAATCAGACTACCTTAGAACCAATCTATATTAAAACAATTTTATAACAGAGAGCCCAGATACTAAATTTTATCAAATTCAGGAAACAAAACTAAGATAAAATTTAAAGTCACCCAATTAAATTTTTTATTTATTTGTATTATTTCATTTCAGATAAACCTTCATCCAGTAAAACTGACACGGATGAACTGTTTCCTGTCAATATCGTAAAGCACAGAAAAAGTGATAAAGACTTCCTCCGTGAATTTGACATGAACCTTGAATTTGGACCATGTATTGGTAAATATACACACAGCTTAAATGACTAGGAAATGATACACAATTCAAAATTATCGTATTACTTTTAAGGGAAGAGAAACATACGCTGCTGTTTGGCTTATAATATGGCAATTGTAACAGAGGTCATTATTTATTTCAATGCCTCTGCTAGGAATCAAACCCATGACCCCTGACTTACTAGTCTGATGCTCAACCAATCGAGCTAAAGAGAAGTTCTCTCTAGCCGAGTGGTATATTGTGGCTAGTATTTTACCAGGGTTACAGGTGATATTCTCAATCCAGTATCAACTTCAATTATAATATGGCAATTGAATAAAATTATGCCGCATGATATTGTTTCCTAACTTTACTTGATGAAGAATGTAACGTAAATCCCAATCTCCATTTAAAAGAAACGTACTGACAACTTCAGAAGAGTCTCCTGTCATAATCTCTTGTCAATGCCTCTCTGTGATGTCTGTTGTTATATCGATCTGCTTTTATGAATACCTTTACCATTTGGAGATAGGCATGATAAATTTTCAGATATATACATTAGGAATCAATATGAGAAACACTTTAGATAACCCATGCAGAGAAACATTATAAGTCTTTACAAATGCCTTGACCATAAATCCTGACCTGAATCTATCAAGAGTTTGACTAGAAAATGGACAGAGCTTTTAAATTGTCAGTGGTTGAAAGGGGCGTTTTTATTTGCTAAGAACATGTGAAGGACTGTTTCAAACAAAAATTTAGCAAGTTTTAGCTTTATTTTAGTTTTGTTGATATTTGGATAATTATTTTTTATGCGTATACTAGAAATTAGTAAATGAATTTTGGTTTTAATGTGAAGCAAAGTCACGAGACACATTACGTCATTGCGTATGTTAGATCTATTGTTGAAGGGTCTTTATAAAGTCGTAGAATATGAATAAGATCAGTAGAATAAGTTTCTGATCATTTAGATATTATTTGATAGGTATAACTCGTCTGGAGAGATGGGAGAGAGCACACAAACATGGCCTTCAGCCACCTCAAGAGGTAAAGGAACTTCTGGTCAGGCATGCTGAGGATCCCAAATATACACAATGGTAAGACTGCTGTCCACACCAAGGTCTTCAATGTTCAACAAATTGTCAAGAGTTAGAAAATGCAGTTCGGTATTAGAGGTATGAAAGAAAGTGTAAATAAAATATATAGTATAGTAAACAGTTATATCTATATTAAGTGTGAGTGTAAGATATTTTCAGTAAATAAGTGCCAAGATCTTTTCAGTAAATAAGTACCAAGATCTTTTCAGTGAATAAGTGTTAGATCTTTTCAGTGAATAAGTGTTAGATCTTTTCAGTGAATAAGTGTTAGATCTTTTCAGTAAATAAGTGTTAGATCTTTTCAGTAAATAAGTGCCAAGATCTTTTCAGTGAATAAGTGTTAGATCTTTTCAGTAAATTCAGTCAAATAAGTGTTAGATCTTTTCAGTAAATATCTTTTCAGTGAATAAGTGTTAGATCTTTTCAGTAAATAAGTGTTAGATCTTTTCAGTGAATAAGTGTTAGATCTTTTCAGTAAATAAGTGTTAGATCTTTTCAGTGAATAAGTGTTAGATCTTTTCAGATCTTTTCAGTAAATAAGTGCCAAGATCTTTTCAGTAAATAAGTGTTAGATCTTTTCAGTAAATACGTGTTAGATCTTTACAGTAAATAAATGTTAGATCTTTACAGTAAATAGGTGTTAGATCTTTTCTTTTCAGTAAATAAGTGCCAAGATCTTTTCAGTGTTAGATCTTTTCAGTAAATAAGTGCCAAGATCTTTTCAGTGAATAAGTGTTAGATCTTTTCAGTGAATAAGTGTTAGATCTTTTCAGTGAATAAGTGTTAGATCTTTTCAGTGAATAAGTGTTAGATCTTTTCAGTAAATAAGTGTTAGATCTTTTCAGTAAATAAATGTTCTGTCTTTAACAAATAAGTGTTAGATCTTTTCAGTAAATAAGTGTTAGATCTTTTCTTTTCAGTCAGTGAATAAGTGTTAGATCTTTTCAGTAAATAAGTGCCAAGATCTTTTCAGTGAATAAGTGTTAGATCTTTTCAGTAAATAAGTGTTAGATCTTTTCAGTAAATAAGTGCCAAGATCTTTTCAGTGAATAAGTGTTAGATCTTTTCAGTAAATAAGTGTTAGATCTTTTCAGTAAATAAGTGTTAGATCTTTTCAGTAAATAGGTGTTAGATCTTTTCAGTAAATAAGTGTCTTTAACAAGATCTTTTCAGTAAATAAGTGTTAGATCTTTTCAGTAAATAAGTGTTAGATCTTTTCAGTAAATAAGTGTTAGATCTTTTCAGTAAATAAGTGCAAGATCTTTGGTAAGCACATGTGAGGTCTTCATTAAATTAGTGTTATGTCTTATTTGTAAATAAGTGTTCTGTCTTTAGTAAATAGGTGTAAGGTCTTCAGTAAAGAAGTGTTAGGTCTTAAGTAAATAAGTAATAGGTCTTCTGTAATGAAGTTTTCAGACTTGGTTAAATAAGTTTTAGGTCTTCAGTAAATGAGAATTAGGTCTTTTAAAGTAGGAAAGTTCTTCAGCAAATAATTAGTCGGTCGTAAGTTAAGAAGTGTTCAGCCTTCAGTGAATACGGTAAACTCCCAGTCAGTCTGAACAAAAATCAAATAAATATAGTTGTACCTATACAGAGTGTGGATTGAAACTTATGACTACGGATTAATATTTGTTAAAATCTCTATGATTTGTAAAATTCTTTATTTGACATGATAAATAGGGACAGTCTTGACATGATTATCTTAGATATACATACTTGGGGTTTTACGTTATGTCAGCTGGCACCAGGACAGTGTAACAGTAAGATGTGAAGAAACCACGCTGAATCAATGCTAACTTAGTGACTTTTATGTGTATGATTTGGTAGTGTCAGTTTCCTATAATGGTCATTTACAGTCCACTACCATCAGCGTGTTTAACTCTGATGATTATACAGAGTGATTATTGTGACACCAATATCTTTATCAATAGTTATAAAATTTGAATTATAAGTGAAACATGACTTTAAAGGGATCAAACTGTCATTAGACAAAAAAGAATTTTTTTATTGGAAAAAAAAACATGTTTGAACTATCCACCTATTGCATCCTCGATATTCCAGGGGTTACTATCACTTTTGCTGTGTGAAAAAAATGTTAGTGATGGTAATTCCTATGCAGGCTGATAGGAAGTTTACTGTATGTGTTAATTCTTCAATAAAGAATGTTAGAGTTTTGGTATGGAGGTGTAAGTTTGTAAATACGCATTAGAATTAGGTTTAACTTACAGTCTCCACTGAATTACTGGTGATATTTTTCTTACTTTTTGCAGTGTTTGGAATGACTATGTGATCTGATCCACTAGAACATGGAGCTAGATTGACTCTGAATGCCTAAAACAGTTTGAAATATAGTGAAAAAGGGACCAAGTTATGTGTTCAAATAGACCAGGATGGTCGACACTGTTGTAACGGGTCACGGGGTTTAATGATGAACTAGAATGATATTTTTGCCTGTATAACTAGGATGGCCGACACTGTTGTAATGGATCACCGAGTTTAATTATGGACTAGAATGATATTTTGCCTGTATAGACCAGGATGGCCGACACTGTTGTAACGGATCACTAAGTGTAAAAGATGGACTTTAATGATATAGTGAATGTATAGATCTCAATAGTCTTACACATCTCAGAAAAGTGCCTTCTTTAGTTTATATAGAAAGATACAATGTACAAATATGCATCAAAAGTCCTTTGAGATTTCCTACATGGTTAACCATACTATAGGATAACCACTGACTGATGTACAACATTATAGAACACTCTGTGCAGGGACTTGACAAAATAAGTCATTATATTGTTCATATTTTGATAGTAAGGCACAGCAAATCGTGTTTATATAGAGTATGTATTGCTGAAAAAGGATTTCACTACAGGCATAATTTGGTTGAGGATTTGAAAGTATGATATGATTCATCAATGATCTGGTGATGTAGGAATTTTTACATGGATCAGATTAATATCTACACCATTATCATCATTCGACCATGTTTATCCTTCTATAGCTTTTAAAGACTTGTATCATTTTATTTACACATCCTATATATCTGCCATTTTAATTAATGTTTAATATCAGCTGTCTTTAATTGGTATTACTATAAAAACGTGAGGGAACTGACTTCTTTTGCTTGGGGATGAAGAAGCCACTAATATTTCTTCCTTTATGGAATACATCTATAGAAAACAGCTGTCAGTATGATTCTGAGTTATATATACATGCACATATATGTTGAAACAATATTATTTAATAAAGTCTATTTATTATATTAAGAATTAATTAGGTTTCAGATATGCCCAAGAAAAGAAAATGATACGTTCAAACTATGATTTTAAAAAGAGAAAGTAATTTGATATAGGGAAAATTGTTTATTGCAATGATTACTGGTATAATTTTCTTTGAACAAGTGCATGCCTGAATGTGTAATACCAAAATATGTTTACTTTGCTGAATATCAGAATTTCAGTAGTTTTAGATACGTTTTTTAGTTAACATGTTTGTCATCACACTATATATAAGTTGTTGTTTTTTTTAACTCAATATTGTGAATGTCTGCTTCTGAGCATAAATTCCGGTTTCTTTTTTTGTCTCATTTGTCTGTTTTCGTGTTTGTTAATTATAAAAGATGATTTGTTGATTTTTTATTATTTAATCAGTGTATACTTACTTACATATATTTGGTACTTGAAAATACATTTTATTGAGAAAGAAACATTTATTTGCTTTGTTTTTGAGACACTACTGGTTATTTGTTGAAACATATTAGAGCCTTCCTTTTTATACTCCAGTCATAAATCATTTTGATGGGACATTATATGCTATGGCGTTGTTCATCTCTTGTAAACTTTAATTTGTACAGAAATTTCCTTCCAGTTTTCAACCAATATCTTTCAAACTTTACTTAATCACAATGACATAAAGATTTTCCAGAACGACACTTTCATTCCATCGCTTTTGGAAGAGTTATTGCCCTTTATTTTGTAGCAACTTTATCTTGTCTAGAGATGTCCTCGCCCAGTTTTCAACCAGTCTATATCAAACATGCCATCACATGTTGTAGAGTTATGTTTTTCCTTAAGAGCAGTTTGATTAACAAGTTTAGGGTGAATACTGTCTCTTAACAGCAGTTTGATTAACAAATTTAGGGTGAATACTGTCTCTATACAGCAGTTTGATTAACAAGTTTAGGGTGAATACTGTCTCTTAACAGCAGTTTGATTAACAAGTTTAGGGTGAATACTGTCTCTTAACAGTAGTTTGATTAACAAGTTTAGGGTGAATACTGTCTCTTAACAGCAGTTTGATTAACAAGTTTAGGGTGAATACTGTCTCTTAACAGCAGTTTGATTAACAAGTTTAGGGTGAATACTGTCTCTTAACAGCAGTTTGATTAACAAGTTTAGGGTGAATACTGTCTCTATACAGCAGTTTGATTAACAAGTTTAGGGTGAATACTGTCTCTAAACAGCAGTTTGATTAACAAGTTTAGGGTGAATACTGTCTCTTAACAGCAGTTTGATTAACAAGTTTAGGGTGAATACTGTCTCTAAACAGCAGTTTGATTAACAAGTTTAGGGTGAATACTGTCTCTTAACAGCAGTTTGGTTAACAAGTTAAGGGTGAATACTGTCTCTTAACAGCAGTTTGGTTAACAAGTTTAGGGTGAATACTGTCTCTTAACAGCAGTTTGATTAACAAGTTTAGGGTGAATACTGTCTCTTAACAGCAGTTTGATTAACAAGTTTAGGGTGAATACTGTCTCTTAACAGCAGTTCGATTAACAAGTTTAGGGTGAATACTGTCTCTTAACAGCAGTTTGATTAACAAGTTTAGGGTGAATACTGTCTCTTAACAGCAGTTTGATTAACAAGTTTAGGGTGAATACTGTCTCTCTAACAAGTTTAGGGTGAATACTGTCTCTATAACAGCAGTTTGATTAACAAGTTTAGGGTGAATACTGTCTCTATACAGCAGTTTGATTAACAAGTTTTGGGTGAATACTGTCTCTAAACAGCAGTTTGATTAACAAGTTTAGGGTGAATACTGTCTCTTAACAGCAGTTTGATTAACAAGTTTAGGGTGAATACTGTCTCTTTACAGCAGTTTGATTAACAAGTTTAGGGTGAATACTGTCTCTTAACAGCAGTTTGGTTAACAAGTTTAGGGTGAATACTGTCTCTTAACAGCAGTTTGATTAACAAGTTTAGGGTGAATACTGTCTCTATACAGCAGTTTGATTAACAAGTTTAGGGTGAATACTGTCTCTAACAGCAGTTTGATTAACAAGTTTAGGGTGAATACTGTCTCTATACAGCAGTTTGATTAACAAGTTTAGGGTGAATACTGTCTCTAAACAGCAGTTTGATTAACAAGTTTAGGGTGAATACTGTCTCTAAACAAACAGTCTCTAAACAGCAGTTTGATTAACAAGTTTAGGGTGAATACTGTCTCTATACAGCAGTTTGATTAACAAGTTTAGGGTGAATACTGTCTCTAAACAGCAGTTTGATTAACAAGTTTAGGGTGAATACTGTCTCTATACAGCAGTTTGATTAACAAGTTTAGGGTGAATACTGTCTCTATACAGCAGTTTGATTAACAAGTTTAGGGTGAATACTGTCTCTATACAGCAGTTTGATTAACAAGTTTAGGGTGAATACTGTCTCTATACAGCAGTTTGATTAACAAGTTTAGGGTGAATACTGTCTCTAAACAGCAGTTTGATTAACAAGTTTAGGTTGAATACTGTCTCTATACAGCAGTTTGATTAACAAGTTTAGGGTGAATACTGTCTCTTTTTTCCAAGGTTTTTATCTTTTTAAGATGTTGCCCCTTTGTTTTAAACCAATTTCTTTGAAACATGGAAGGCTTCTCAACCATGACATGAAAATGTGTTTTCCTGAAAGGCACTTTGTTGTAATTATTTTTTTGGAAATCTTACTTTTCATATTGTCTACTGTCTGCATGCTTGCTTGTGGATGTTAAAACATGTGTAAAGGTATATACATGCTTGTTTGTTACATCCGAGGTAAAATCTTCATGGACAGTAGAAACTTTGTTGTCTTCATCATTTGTCACATTCGAGATCAAATTCTTGTAGACAATGGAAACTTTTGTTATCTTCATCATTTCTTATATACAAGATTAAATCCTCATGAACGGTAGAAACTATTGTTATCTTCATCTTTGGTTACATCAGACTTCAAATCCTCATGGACGATTGAAACAAATGTATAATGTTTAATGGATATGCAATCATAGAAAAAACTGCCAAGAAACTTCAGGTCTGAAACATCTGGACAGTATTTTCAAATAAATTGCCTGAAATTCCCTACCCGCGGTCCATATAAGTTATGAGACTTGTATTGAAGCAGGGTTGTCTTTTTCAGTGTTACTGTTCCCTAAATGTGTACCCGAAGACTGGTGTCATTTGGTCAGTTTGTATTGGAGAGGTAGGACTCTAAAGTAAACAAGACAAGTGACTTTTGCAAAATGGACAAACTGAAAGAACAGTGATTCAATATTTGCATGAGAAAGGTCCAGCACCTAAGGATATCCATACTGATATGGTAGCAACACTAGGAAATGATGTCCCTTCATATGCTACAGTGAAAATGTGGGTGGCGGAATTAGAATTAAACCGTGGCAGGCAGAGCCTTGGGGACGACGCCCATTCTGGAAGGCCTGTCACGTGCTGTGTGTCTGTCTTATATTCCATGATGACACCAATCTGTATTCACGCACTTCCGTATTACGTTTTTCTTTTCACGCGTGAAATGCAGCTGAGGGGGAAAACCTTATTTAATACTTGATTTTTCGTACTTTTATCCGTCAATACTAACAAACACAGATTTATGGTTATAATGATATATGAAAACTACTGAGCTTCCGTATTTCGAGAAGACTCAACATTTCAATATGGCTACTATAATACTTTCCTACTAACTTCTTTTACCCTTTTCTAAATGGCTTATAATTCTGTAATGTAAACATATATCCAATTATATTAGAAGAAACACTGGGATACACAGAGTCGTTTTCATATACATTGTTGACAAAATCGCTTTACGCAACAGTTGTTTTCCCATGTTTACCGTCAGATGGAAGAACGTTCTGATGGAAAGCTCGTTGTTTATTATATGTACCGTATTTCTCCGGCAATAAGCCCATGCTCGGTAATAAGCCCACTCCCCCTTTCTGCCAACTCCTATGCACAGGGGGGATGTCCGGTATTAAGCCCACCCCCATTTTTGACCTCAGCCGACCTGTCCCGGTCGGAAGACTTACCGATCGGGAGAATGAACTGAGCAAACTGAACTGTTATTCTGTCGATGATTGAAAGACTTCTCATAGAATTTCTGTCGTGTTTGTTGCATCATATGAATAAAAATACAGTCTTGTTTTGTATTGTGCCGGTGTTTGTAAGATTGTTGCATCATAAAAAAAAACAGTCAAGTTTTGTATGAATACATTAACCCAGAAAGTCGTCTGCCGATGTTCATCGACGCAGTCATGCGTGTACATCTGTGTATACACAAGCACAGGCACTCGAGGCCAGGATATTATTTTTTAAACGTTGATTTTTGTTTTAGCACTCATGACTGACGTTATTTAAACGAAATATCAGCAGAATTCAAGTTTATGTGCCGGTTGACAAATCCGAGGTCCACGGTCATTAAAAATACACAAGGCAAGCAACTCCAGATTTTAAAAAATCGACCCCTCGCTTGGAAACTGGCTCAAAAAAAGTAGTTATGATAAGTTCCTTGTAAAACAATATGTATCCGTCATTATACAAATACATTTGCGGGGATGGAAAAATAATGGCTGGGCATTTAAAAAAAAAATAGAAAAAAAATCATTTAATTTCCAATTTCTAAGTTAATATATTTCCCCCACGATATTTTTCATAAATTGCGCCCTTTTTTCATTATCTGCATGATTTTTTTTTTCTATTTTTTTTTTGAAAAAAAATTCTCATTACCGCCAGCTTGATTGAAATTTGATGCATTCTGTATAATCCCTTACCATGATATTGTATCCGAGTTGGCAACTGTGGACTTTCTTTGCCCAGCCATTATTTTTCCATCCCCGCAAATGTATTTGTAGAAATAAAAATATCTATTTTGAAGTTACACGCGTAATGACATCGGAACCTTTCTTACCTGTTCACTGGTATAGTGCTATCCGGAACTCCTCTCCCAAAAAGTCGGAGTGACCGCCCTTGAAATGGCATGTTACTTCCGTCAAAGATAATTACATGGGCGATAAAATCTCCGATTATTGAGATGTTAATCTCATGTACGTATTGTGAATTTCTCGTTGCCTGTAATGTTATGCACCAAATAAAAGGTAAATATACACACTACCTACGGATACATATTGTTTTACAAGGAACTTATCATAACTACTTTTTTTGAGCCAGTTTCCAAGCGAGGGGTCGATTTTTTAAAATCTGGAGTTGCTTGCCTTGTGTATTTTTAATGACCGTGGACCTCGGATTTGTCAACCGGCACATAAACTTGAATTCTGCTGATATTTCGTTTAAATAACGTCAGTCATGAGTGCTAAAACAAAAATCAACGTTTAAAAAATAATATCCTGGCCTCGAGTGCCTGTGTACACAAGCACATTGACGGGTGGCCAGGTTACCATAATTAAAGGTATAAACTACCCTGGCTATAATACCTGGTATGTTTTCGTAGTGTAAGAATAGTGCGAATGTGAAACAATGGTGGCTAATTGATCAGCGTGGTCACTGGACGAGTATAACACGCGCTTTATGAAAACAGTTACAGTCAAGTAAATATAAAGGCCATGCCCGTTGAAGTCGGGTGTCGCTATAACAATAGCGCCTAATGACACCTAAAATAACATCAGTATTAGACACTTTGAGTAAGAGCTAGACATCTTGAGATCAAAGGTGCCGTAATGGGATAAATAAGGAGAGGTGTCTTGCTTTCATCATTCTACAGCATCATGCCTCTTAGTCGTAAGCGCTACACAGTGAAGGACAAGATCGACATCGTCCACTGGTTTCGAGGGAACGGCTCGAACTATTCCGCCACACAGAGGGAGTTTGGAGTTGACCGGAAACTCATCAGAACATGGAACCACGATTACGACAAGCTACTTATGAACTCCGGTGGGAAGACAGGATCCCTGAAGAAGATTGGTGCAGCGACGCCACCAAGGTCTATGGAGCTTGACAACGCCGTGTTTGAATGGTTCGTGGAGGAGAGGGCCGAGGGACGAGCCGTGACTAATTATATGCTACAAGCTCAGGGCCGCATCATCGCCAGCCAGCTTCGAGTTGATGGTTTCATCGCATCCAACGGCTGGCTACGCAGATGGAAGAAGCGCTTTTCTGTCGGGATTCGCCGCGGGACCAACGACGCACAGAAACTGCCATCAGATTATCAGGAGAAGATCGCCGCCTTCCACGACGCCATCCGCCACCTCCGCCAGGCCAACGACTATACCGCGTACAACATTACCAACATGGATCAGACTATGGTCCGATTTGACACGCCATTCACCACGACCAACTCCATGATCGGCGAGAAGACTGTCCGTATCACGAACAGCGGCGGGGCCAAGAAGGGTTGTACCGTAGCACTGTCAGCCACAGCGTCTGGTCACAAATTCCCAGCTTACATTATCTTCAAGGGATGTATTAAAATGTATTTTACCATGACAATCTTATACAATACTGATTTCCAATTAAAACAATTAAATAGATTAAATAGATAATTTTATTTATATACCTATAATTGGACATTAGTAAATAATTGAGTAGTCTTGTGTTATTTATAATTACCGTACATAAAACAGGGACTAATGATATGATTCCCTGTATAAACAATACGCTATAATTACCAGGTATTTTTATTTCATTTATTTATTTATTATTATTATTATTATTATTATTATTATTGCAGGAGAAATCTGGTGAGCTGTCGTCCCGGATCCAGGCTTCACTTCGGATTCCTCCGAATGTTCGAGTATCCGCTTCCCAGAACGGATGGATGACGGCTGCCGAGGTGCAACGCTGGATTCGGCGAGTGTGGGGCCCGAACACTGACGATGTCCGCAGACTGCTCACTCTGGACAGTTACCGTCCACACACCTGTCCGTCTACCCTTGAGATCTTCAAGCAGTATGACACAGACATCGTCACCATTCCCGGAGGTATGTATATAATATTACATTTTAACATGGAAGTGCGTTTATTCAGACAATTACGGTACATAAAGCAATGTTCTGCAGACCCCGGAAATGAATGTAGGTCATGTATATATAGAAACATTATGATTCCGTCATAATAAAAATCTTGGGGAATTCCCCTTACTTGCCTGCATAGTCCATGATCATACATGCATGTAACTTAGTTCTAGAAAAACCTTAAAAGTATGCACATGAAAGACAGATGGAAAAAGAAATCACAATCATCGAGGTCAGTATGTTCTTGTTATGATTTCTGATTAGCACTAATTATGAAATTCAGAGTTGGTTGCAAAGATATCAATGTTTACACAGTAGTGTAGTCCAAATTATCCTGACATTTTCTCGATCTGGAATTGACGTCGTTTATCGATTTAAGACCGTTATTTCAAAAATCGAAAGAAAATTACACTGTTCACACTGTCAGCACGTAAATACACGTAAATTATAATACTATTCTTTATACAGTTTTTTTACATCTAATTCTTCATTTGTATTAAAAGTCGGCATTCACTGGTGTGCCTTTTGTACTATGAGATGAGAAAGTCACATATTTATGTAAAAACGAATTTGTACGTGAAGAATATAATGATATAACACATATATGTAAGTATATGACACCATGCGAGTATTTAACACAATGTGAGTATATGACAATATGTGATATATATGATAATACAGTTCGTTATAATGTATTGTCACTGTTTGTTCGCCAGTGTTCAAATTCAAATTCTGTTGTGTATTGACAAAGAAACTACTCCCCGTGTGTAGATATTTCTCGAACAATAGTTGCGGAGAGCTTTGGAGAGTCACGACATGGTTGACTTACTTTGACGTAAACAGGTTCGACAAAAATTCACCCACACGCTAATATATCTTGTGTATCCGGCTGAAAAACTCAGCCAGAACTGTATAACAAGTTATATTGATTTAAAAATTAATTTAAACATGTTTTAAAACTCTGCAAAGTTAACGAAAAGGTTGAAACTGATCGATTTGCTCAATTACATCGTCTTCCTGGTCCAGGGAAATCGATCTCGTAGCCCCGTTCGAGGAAAATTGAACTCATGTAGCCTTTTCGAAGGAAGTTGACCTCATGTTCGAGGTTACAGCAACAATAAAGGTAAATTTAATGAAGTATTTCGGCTTTGTCCTTTTTGTTATATTCAAACCCATTTTTTTTTAAATTTTGATGATCATAGAAATTTCAGTAATTACTCATTAATAGGTCATCGATTTCACCGAGATTGCCCTTAATTGTGAATAACAGTATTTTGTTTGCAATGATATTTACTTTTTATAAACAAAGGCGATAAAAGCAAGTCTAATTTCAGTGATTTTTTTTTCTATTTCATCAACTTAAGTGATAGGAACAATATGAAATTCCCCTAGAATAACGACTGTGTTTCCGTCGCATTGCTGTAATACCAAGCTGAAAACATGGCGGATCGAGAAAAACGTGAGTTTATTTCTTTAGTAATTTGTAATGTACTTTTTAATTCAATCGAATGGCGGCACGGCTTAGAATAAACAAAAGTACTTGGCGTTCGTCCGAAATTATCAGATATGTGAACATTGCGATGTTTATATGATTGTGTGGCTTATGCCTCTCCCGATATAGATTTCAAAATGTAGGCCCTTATCATCACAGGTGTATGATAAAGTTAAATTTCTGGTTTTACTGTTTCAAATTGAAATTTGTATTAAAGGGCGATAATCACTTATGTGTCATATGCTAGATTATTGGACACAAAATAACACCCGTATTGATTGCCTATGTTTACAGGAGTAGTCTTTAAGATAACAAACTACTTCGGTAATCAGGGTATCCAAGTAGGAGACTGCAACACCATGCAGATAGCGGAAATGTTATCCGGAAAAAAAGGTGTGTATTTCATCATTACATGTTAAGGAAGGATTCGTGTTCAAGATAAACTAGTACGGGGGTTATTCGACACAGTCACCTGCACATTCCCGACAATATGAAGTGGGTGTCCTTTATTGTTAAAAAATGAAAAGAGATAAAAAAAATTCCTAACCCTAGTTTAAAATCTCCACGATCATATGTTACTGAGCTACACCATTGCTATTGTTTAATGCTGTTTTTGAAAGATTGCATAAGGTATAGGTGGGGTTTCCTTTTTCATGACGCAAGCACAGTTCGTTTTGTAAACAAAAATGTAATAATATCTCCACGAAAAGATAAAGTTATTGGACGCTTTATCTGCAGGCACGATAACATCTTGAAGTGTCGATTTGTATTTTGAAATTCATTTTCCAGCTAACGGACGAGGTTTCACGAAATTTATAACCTTTCAGGATAACCTCTCGTAGCTTAACATTTTGAATAATGCTTTAATCACCAGTTTATTTGTATAGTTACGTTTTAATAGCACCGGTATTAACACTCCCTGAATATTTTTCCAGGAACCACACGGGAAGATGTTCACATAGATAACCTTCTATGTGGTGCACTTAACAGTATTCTAAACCCGAAACGTTCCAAGTCTCCACATCCAATGAATCTGAACGTGTTGGAAACGAAATTTATAGAAACGTTTGGAGATCATTTACCGGAGGGAAAGAGAACGTTCACAAGTACAGCTGGCATGTCGCTCCAATCATTCCTTCAAAAGCATGGGGATTATTACGAGACACACTTTACATCAAAGGGAAAGACAATGGTGCAACAAAGACTATCGACATCCGAGTCGGAAGAGATTCCCAGTGACAACAGTCATACACACGCTTGTAACAGCCGTAAACAGGCTATGAGGCTCGAGAAAGAAAACGGTGGCGCTTTGCAGAAGGAAAACATTGTATACGATCCCTTGAATGACAAAAACAGAAATACGGAAGAAATAAGTCAAATTGACAATGATGCTGATGGGTGGCAAACAGTTTATAGTAAAGGACATAAAAAAATGATAAAAGCAACGAAACAGAGTGTCAAACCCGAAAGTGAAAGGAAACAACAAAAATATGCAGATCAAGGACACTGTTTTATAAAACATCTTCTCGAGAAAAAAAGCAGTCACGATTTGAAGTTTGTGCCATCGGATACCATATACTTCCAGAATTACCTCTTGTTTACCATAGATATCATCAGTATGTGGAATACCCCAAAGGAGGTCCCCTCGTACATTGTCCTTGGTATTTTCGATAATGGCACAGATGGGTTAGAGTCTTACACCACCACAGGAATGAAAACAAGTCACACAACTGAGCATTTCAAAAAAATTTTCTTGTATGACTGCGTGGCCGGCAGTATCCCAGAGTTCTCGTATACTGAACTTTTTCTAGGAAACGATGTAGTAGGCGTGATTGAAATATGCAACACTGGAACGAGTCCATCTCCATGTGTGATGAACTGCAACCGGGAAAACATTGCTATTGCGACACGCGAAGGAGACATGTGGATTCGAAAGAACTCAACGACTATTGTTTGCAAGCCTACAGATCACATATTTGCACAGGTATATCGATGGTTTGCAGAAAGCCATGCAAATACCTCAAATAACGTGCAAGGTTTCGTTAATGAAAAATGTTCCATCCGAGAAACCGAGAACAAAGATTCGAACCCCATTGTTTATTCGCGACAGCCAAGTGCCGTTTCAGAAACGGACGATGGTTTGAAAGTATGTATTTCAATGGATCAGATGTTAGATGCTGTGAACAATTTTCGCAAGGGTCACTTCATTCTCTTGGCCGGTGATATATCCAGTCAATCCAAAAACATTGATGCAATCGCATGTGTACGCTGGCTGGCTGTTTTTGATTTCGATCCTTACAGCAGAGACCGAGGACTTCTTTGTTCAAATGAGGAACCCTTGTCCAAAACGACATCCCTTCATATCACCACATGGAAGTCAATCAACAAGCCTATATCGGAGTACGGAACTAATTGGTGTTTTATACGTGGATCAAGAGATGACCCTGAAAGTCGAGAGTGTTTCCAAGAATCAGACGATCTGCAGAGTTGGAGTCGAAAAATAAAACCGTTCATTGATCCTTACTTGAATGATATACAGGATTTCGTTGCAGATTACACCGTGCTGACCTCGATCGTTTTATGGCCTGAAGACGAAAGGATGCTCCCTTACATTCTGAAGATGATAAATAAGTTAGATGAAAACATTGATCCTCCTCCAAAACTCGTTGTCGTCCTTGAGTCAGAACCTCGGACTGAAGCCGGAAAAAGACTCTTCCGTATGTTTTGTGACGAACAGAACGAAAACGTTACTTTCGTTCGAATGAAGTTAAGCGACGTTCTGGATGGACTGAGTCATGCGCTTAAACAGAATGACAATACACATGAAGTCAGATTTGATCTACCTGTAACCGAACAAAGAGATGTCTGTGTATTGGAGAGAGATGCATCATGGCTGCGTGAGCATTTGAACGTTTTGTTCAAATCCAGCCCGTTTGTACAAAGGGAGCACGACATGGAGTTCCTGCAGGAAGAAAGCGACAGTTTCTATCGTGGTGGAACACTTCATTGGCGGACTTGGTACAGTTGTGAAGCAGGTCATTTTGATATAGAGAGAGATATTTACAGAAACGCCAAAACAGTCATTCAGACAAATATTCAGAAAGAGAAATCAGGTCTGGTGACACTGTGTCATGCCCCTGGTGCCGGAGGTACAACACTTGCCCAACGTCTCGCCTGGGAATTCCATGAGAAAATTCCAACAGTACATGTAAGGAACAATAGTTTCAGTCTCCTCGATATTGTCCCAAGGATTGAATTCATTTACAGTAAAACACGGAAACCAGTCCTGGTACTTATTGATGGAGAAGACGAGCAAAAGGTGTTTCATCTAATGCAGTATCTAAAAAGAAGTTGCATTACCATCATTTTGTTTGTGAAGAGGCGTCTCTGTAAGCCACAAGTTAGCAAAGATGACACCGAACAGCTGTGGTTAAGTGGCATCGTTTCTACGAAGGAAGCAAAACAGTTGACCCTGAAGTTGTCAGTTCACTGCAAGGATGACGAAAGAAAGAAAAGGAATTTGTCTAGATTGTGTAAGGAGACCGAGCAAGGAAAACGGCACCATCTGATCAATTTTGGTCTCACTGTTTTTCTGCATGAGTTTAGGGGTATATCGTCCTTTGTACAAGGCTACTTGCCCGTCTCGGGACACGTAGAGTCACCAACAGCTGACCAGAACATATTGCTCTTTCTAGCAATTGCGTATTTCTATGGGCACACATCACTTCCTTGTCAGTTCTTCAGCGAACTTCTCCACTTACCAGCAAACTATTGTATAGATCTAGATGATTTTCCACAGTCGGTCCAGTCTTTTGTTGTCGAAGACGAAGGAGAAGGTAAGAAGTCAAACATTCGGATTTGCCATAATCTGGTGGCAAAAGAAATCCTTGATCATGTTTTGTCACGAGGAAGAAATCCAAAAGACTCAATACAATTAGGACTTTCTGAACCAGCACGACATAAACTTGCATCTATTTGCTTAGAGTTTATAAGATACGCAAGCAGAAGGGAAAAAAGGGGTTCAATTTCGTCAAATACAGTTGTACACTGCTTGAGACAAATTTTCGTTGTACGGGATACTTTGGATATGAATCAGGGATCCGAACATCTGACGAGAAAGACTCTCATTTCAAAGGTTTTAATGGACATTAGATCTTCACCGCCATTGTACAGTGAAAGGTTAGAGGTTTTGAAGAAACTCGTTCAAGCGTTTCCTGATGATCCAAGTTTCATAGCACATCTTGGTAGGTTTTACGCAAACTGTCTTCCACATGAAGAGAAAGAGACTGAGAAATGTTTTCTTAAGTCTCTTGAGTTGTGTGAAGCCAATACCAGAGGAACCAGTGATGGGAAAATAAACGACAGAACGAGGCTCCCTATGATGTACATATATCATATGTATGGCATGTTTCTACTGAAACTGATCAAACGTGAAACCGGAAATGGTACCTTCGGCGCCGTTACGGGTAGCTCGGAATCAGAAAAAGCATCTAGAAACATAGATGAACTTCTTACTTTAGTTAAACAAGCATGTTCGCTGTTTGAAAAGTCCAGGATGTACACGCCTGTTGAACAGGAAAGTGGCTATGGTTATACCGGTGAAATTGAAGCTCGTCTTCATTTTTGTGATTTTCTTCAAAAAGAAGAATCTTTTCTCAGAAGTACATTTGAGATCACCCGTGAGAAAGTGAATATCTTTGTCAGAAAAAGTATCCCGATTATAGATCAACTTATAAACGAATGCACGAAAGAGTCACCTCGTCAAAAAGAAATCGGCTACTTCATTAACAAGTACACCCGATGGTACGACCACCTGTTTAAGGGAAAAGTTTTCACTTTGGAACAGATGGAAGACTGCTGTGACATTGATTCATGTCGACTGGGAATCGCTTTGACAAAAATTAACCACAAATCAGGGACCAGAAGTAGCGTCAATATCATGGACGATATCAAGAACAAGGAAGACATAGAGAACATAGTGAAATTGTATGAAAAGGTTTTTGAATTGGTCGATGTCTGTGATACGTACAGAGAGCAAAAGGTTTTAGAAACGAACCTTATTGATTGGTTGAGAGCAATCAGACACAAAGAAATGACCACAGAATACAGCATCGAGCATGTTCTTGGACTTGTAGCGAAAATCTATAACATTGTATCATCACCAGTTGTGAAGTTTTACATCTTCGTCCTGAAAAGTTTGTTAGGGTTTGGAATTTGCTCAGAGTCAAGACAGGTGGATACCAGTGTCCTTTATGATGCCAAGCAACTAAAGACTGATCTCAAAGCTTGTGGAAATGACGTGATGAAGTCCAGATACCCTAGGGAATGGATAGGGAATTCTGGAAATGGAATCAAGCTTCTAATCCCGGGATTTCAGTGCACGTCCTTGATGCCAGAACACAGGTTAACTAGGCATTTTCCACTGCTATATGTCTTCAAGGGATCAGTGTGTCATCCAAACAAGAAGAGGCTCGCAGGATTTATCAGTCTAGACCTTGGCGAAAACACGTGCCCGGTGGAAGTCTTCTTCATACCTGATATTGCAAATATGACAGGCTCCCAGCATGCAGGACGTAGGGTGGAGTTCACGCTCGCATTCAGTATTGAAAATGGATATGAGGCTTTCAATGTGACTTCTTTGAAGAAATATAAATGCATACACTTTCCATGTGGGGCTAGTGTTGAAATCACCTCTGCTGAAGAGTTTGGTGTTTGCTATGCTTGTAAACGGGCGGTTTACAGAAATGACTTCCTTGAAGAAGATAAATGAGAAATCTGCACAATCATTATAGACTGGTTCAAGAATCATACTCTTATCCCACAAAATAACTAATACTTCTGTGGACTTATTTCTGTAAATGAGCGTTATCATTAATAGCCCATTCAATTTGAATGGCAACAATTTATTTATGCAGTGGCAACTAAAAGATGGGAAAATAATTCAACTTGTCAAAACATCTTGGGCCATTGCAAAATATTATGCTAAATGATAACCAAATGCTTAAGATCTGTTGGTAAGTGTGAAGAAAGTGTGTAAAGTTTTATTGAAAACAACCAACAAGCCTGAAGCAGTTATCTAGACAAAGACCTTCCAACAAAGGGGTATAACTCCATGAGTATCAGAAACACAGCCTCAGGAGATGTGTATGATATGTGAAAAGGTTACTTTCTAGTACCAGGTAGTTTAGACTGAGTTGTGTTGACAAATCTTTCAACAATGAGGTATAACTCAAAATATGACAACTACGCATCTACATGATCACAAATAATTGCATAATTATATTAGAATTATATTAGAAAGAACCATTTTTCCAAAATTAGATTTGTTACTTTGAAGCTATGACATCATGATGCAAACAATGTGAACCTTCAGCCAATCACAGGTCCACTAGGTCATATTACACGAGTAATAAACATCAAAGACGAATACCAACATGTTGCCGGTGTAGCATGGAATTGAGAAGCATGGGGAAAGGAACCGGGGTCAAAATACCATAATGGTGAAATGAACCCCTCCCACATAGTGAAGTGAAGCCACTTAATATTTTGTTTTCAGTCTATGTTTCTGCACTTAATTTCTTATCACTTTGATTAATCAAATTCCTCCAAACATAATAAAATTGATTACTAAAAATGGTTGGGCAAATTTAGGGTGGGGCTGGGCCTTGGTAGAGTGAAGCATTACACAATTTTCTTAGTGGTTAAATTTTTTTACAAATATTTTGGGTATTCACCTTGATTCAGTCATACAGATAACAAAAAATATGTCTGGGGTGGGGAAATTTAGGGTGGGGCAGGGGGATGCTTCACCTCACCATGGCCAGACATATTTTTTATTATTTATGTATTTATATGATTGGATCAGGGTGAATTGCAAAACATTTATGTATTGAGGAACATAATTAACTAAACTGAAAAAAATTAAGTGAAGAAACAGCAATTGAAAACAATATATAAAGTGGCTTCATTTTACCATGGAGGGTGGGGGGGGTTCATTTCACCATAATAGTGAAATGAACCGCGGTTCACTTTACCATAGGCTTCACTTTATCATACTACATCGGTATCTGAATTCAAATTAGAAACTAGAGCAAAATATGAACAAAAAACAGCAAAAATAAAATAATGTAGAGTTCTGAAAAAAGGAGAAAGGTAAGGGTCTTCTACTTAATAATTAGTGTTAAATTCCCATTGTTTGTAATCTCACCTTGAATTCTTTTACAAGTGTTTGAGAAAATAGAAAAATAAATTTTTTTTTTTTCCTAATGTTAAAATTGTCCACTTTACTTCATTTTTCTATCACAGTATTAGTTGTATTTAATCCATATAATTTTAAGACTGTTGAATATCGAAAAAACACACACAATCAGGAAAAATATCCAAAAACGTTTTCTAAATTTTTGAATTTATTTGTTTGGGTGACATAACATGCTCAATAAACAAGTTTTCTAATCAATCACAGTACCTTGGTATATCTAAAATTTTAATATTATTTACAACAACAAATTATGTACGACACAAATGTTTGAAGGCAAACTTGTATCATACTTCAATTTTTCCATATATGGCGTGTTTATAGACATGTTAAAATGTAAAGACTTGTCCCGATCAGTAAAATAATAATTTTGTTAAAAACAGAATTACCACAGATTATACGAAAATGATAACACAATGAAAACATGAATCAATGGATAAAGACTTATCCACGTGTAAAATTTTTGTCATACTTATTTCACCTCCAGAACAAGGTAATTGTGAAATCCAGGAAAGTCTGACTAAATCCTCGCTTTGTAACATTGCATTTTATCATTACCTCATAACTATACAGCAAAGCTTTTCTGTTAATGATCACTGTTATATGTACTGTTGCTGTGTTTATTCTTGTACTTACAAAATCTTAAAATATACATATATATATATTTTTTTTTTTTTTTCAAAATGTGTGTTATCAAAATCATGGTATAATTACATTAACTTGAAGAAGACACTGTCTTTGATCCCCTTAATGCTGAAATGTGTATATAGAAAATGTTGTCATTCATAGAACTGATGTAATTCCTACATATTATAGATTTCAACTTCTATTTACAATTCCTAACACAACTTTATAATCTACTGAAAGTTGTTGTGAAATGGATTGTATCCAATGAATTCATCAGTTTTTCCATTATGTCCAACGTAATCATCACATTTTTCACTATATCAAACTTAATCATAACATTTTTCACTATGTCCAATGAACTCATCATGTTTTTCACTATGTCCAACATAATCATCACATTTTTCAATATATCAAACTTAATCATCTCATTTTTCACTGCCAAATTAATGTTGTAAACAATTTACTAATTTATGTTCCTTCAGTAGCTAGACACTAAACTGATCAATTCATGTTCATAGTTAATATGAATTGATCAGTTAGAATTGATAAAAAAATCCAATTAATATTTATATTGGCTATGAATGACAAACATGGAAACAGTTTATACATAATATTTTATAAATACTTCAATCAATGCGATGCAATTCAGCTTTGAGTTTCATTTGAATAAATAAAAGAACCAAAATTCTAAAAATAGTTGGTAGCAACCTACAGTCAAGTCTTTGCATTCATAGCTGATGTAAATGCCAACTTAAGCTGATAAGTGTTATAAAAAGGTTGATAGTACCCTAAAATCATGTCCTTATATTCATAGCTGATATAAATGCCATCAAAAATTGGCTGTGTTAAACAGTATATTGCAGTGGTCAATATATTTTAACATCACCGATCATTGGGTAAAGTTTTAAATATTTATCAGATAAGATTTTGATGTTGAAATACTTTATTGTTATAGAGAGATGTTTTCTAAGAACATTTCTGCAAATATATAAACAGTATTAGTGCAATAGAAAGCTTTTCAAAAATATATTTTTACATATTTATCTTCAAAAGTTGAGATGTAAACTGCTAAGTTATCATTTACCAAAACATTCCAAGCCAAGTTCAGTACATGAAACAGTATGACAGTTTTTCAGTTGTCTATCTTAAAGTTACCTAGGGGTATCATGGTTACCCATTACAGCACTCACCAATGATGATGTTCTTCAGTCAGATCAGGATAACATTGTCATATAAGGTTGGTGAGACCAATCCTGACATTCCATTGTTTAATTCACTTTTACTTTTTTCTACTACTATACTTAAGAAATGCATTCTGCTACAAATACTTTAAAATATTAAGGAAAATTTGTGGTAGAAAATGATCTACTTCTTCATCAAAACATATTCAAACTGCTAAAAATACTTTAAAATATTACGGAAAATTTGTGGTGATCTACTTCCTCACCAAAACATATCCAAAGGATTTTAAATTCTTGCTATCTCGTATTCCAAGATTAATTGGAAATGTTTCTTTGAGAATAAAGATGGGGAAAATACATAGTATAATGTACACGGTATAAAGACATGTGTGTTGAACATTAACACAAGGTAAGCACTACAGTTGGCTCTACAATGGACGGAGATAGGTATATAGTAGAACAATACTACATCTGTACACACTGGTAATGATAACAAATTCTCCAAATGTAAACTTGATGACATAAAATGTTTATGAATCATAATAAATGATAGAAATGAACACGTTGAGACTTTCCTTAATAATTTGGATCTTCTATTTGTGTTGTAGCTTTTCCAAATAAATATTCTTCAAATTTAGAGAGCTGCTGAATGAATCCTCTGTTTGGTCGAACTGTTGAGCAGCATTGTGTGAGATGACCATAAGCCTCCTGAAACCAACAAATTACAGGAATATTGATATCTACCTGAGAGTATGCAAATTGTGCATGTATACCCGAAAATATCTATGAAATGATTATACATGTATAATATTACATGATCATAGTGGTAAAATATGATAAACTTCATAATACATATAATTTGTAGTATATGACAGTTTGTATATCAAAATGAAGAAAACTATCATGTTACCTTACAGTTTCCTCAAATTCCCACACCAGATATTAGACATTTTAACTCAACCCCTCCCCCTCCATTTCCATCCCTCCCAGACATGTCAAAATATCAAATGTCAGATGTAGGAGATGGAAACCCCTTGGGCTAGGTGCAGCAAATTTTGTATGAATATGGGTTTCAAATCATTGTTGAATTCTTCTATAGTTGTATATCTTAAAATTTACACATAAATTTAATAACTATTCAGGGTTTTCCATAAGAGCCGGTCACCGGCCAATTTGACCGGCTACTTTGATCATTTAGCCGACTACACCAATACAGTTCCGTAATAATGTTCTGTACACGACTACACGTACACGGCAGGCCAGCCTCCTACTTTCACTACACAGCCTGCTACTAACAAAATTATGGAAAACCCGGACTATTTAATAAAACAGACTTCCAGGCATGACATTACCTTAAGTGTCCATTTGTAGTGGTGCATGAGGTAGGCAACAACCACTGTGGCACTACGACTGATCCCAAGGGAAGAGAACACCAGCACTGCTTCATTCTTCTCCTTGTGTGTGTCTGTAACAAAATGTTACATATAATGGATTACCTCCCCTTAATGAAATGATACCTAACTTTCAGGGATAATAAATGGTACCTTTATAAGGGCACAAGTAACTTTCCGATACAGAAAGTGATATAGTATTTTTTTTTTTTCAAATAATCTTTATTAATTTTACAACAATTGCGAAGCAAGTTTTTCCAACTTTTGTTGGCTCGGAACGAAACACATGAGGGGTCTTAGTGTGGGAGGAAACTGAAGTACCCAGGGAAAACACACATGGTTGAGTAGGTGACCCCATACCTTTTCACATCCATTCCGGGAATCGAACCCCAGACCGCTAGGTGAAAGGCGAGAGTCTTACCACTGCACCACTCGATTATTTTAAAAAAAAAAGATACAGTACTCACCTATGAAAGCACAAGCATGCTGTAGTTTACTGTAGAGGTCAGCTTCTGCCTCATCATTGACCTGTAGGTGTAACAAATGGGGTCCAGGCTCTGAAAAGCTGTACACAAACATATCGGTAATATACTTGTTGGCATATCTCTCTCCAGTACATTATACATAAAACAATATATCCAGAAGTCACTTTTATTAAAATGCAATTGACTTCAATTTTGAATAATTGCAAATCATGAATCTAGAATAATTTGTTGTTTTTCAATGTGAAAAACTTATCATAATCCTGATTATGAATAACAATAAAGATCAGATTACAAAATAAAAAGTGATGCTCATAATGATAGGGAAGTTAAAAAAGAATATGGTTATAATCTACTCCATTTTTAGGCAAAAGTATAACCAGTTTCTTATAACCACTTTTAATTCCACAGCCTACCAACAATCTTTTGACATCCCTTTTGGAAAACTGGAAGCTCCAAATTTGTATTAACAAATATCAACAAAATTTGCTGTATTAACAAGTACCAAATATTTGAAAAGTACTTATATTAAACCTTCTTTAGCTTAGTAAGGTTCTAAGAGTAAAATGCTGTACTATGTTAATACTATGTTACTATGTTTTTACTAGTACTTGATTTTGAAATTCATGAGTAAAAGGAATGCTCCATAATATTGAGGTGAAAATTTTGAAAGTTTAAAGCTTCCAAGCAGAGTGTGCTTGTAAGTTTACCACTCTAAGTCCCACCATTGTCTTGTTTTAGAAAGTATCAACAGACCAAACATCAATTTTATAACATAGTTTTTATGTCAATAACTCTACATAGGAGAAAAACTTTCATATATCTGACTCCATCAAAAACGTCTTACAATGTTTCTGACTCCAAACAGCAGTTGATATGACCTTTGATCTTTAAGTCTTTCTGAATGTATCTGGCATTGCCTTGTCTCCAGTTTCCCAGGTATAGAAACCCATGTATGATCTCAATAGGGTAGGACTTCATCTCATCCATTTCCTGTCAAATCACAAAAACAGACACCAGTATATACTCTAGGTACAGAAACCTGTGTACATATCATATCAATGAGACAGATACAGTCTGCTCAAAGAAAATACAAAAGGCCCAAGCTCCTGAACAGTGTGAACCCACAAATGGAAACAATTGGACAGAGGAGTCTTACCTTATGACTCTTCACTCCAAGATGGGTATTTGGGTATAAAGAAGATTTTTGAAATTTCGGTCAATTTGAACATTTTCTATCATGCCCATCATCCCCCAGGGATCAGCCAATGTAAAGCATCTTCAGACCCTTCCATCCATGAAGAGTATTTGATTCTAACAAATTTGAGTATTAAGTAGAAGATTTTTGAAATTTTGGTCAATTTGATCCCTTTTGGTCCTGCCCATCAGCCCCTTGGGGTCAACCAGGGTTAGCGTGTGCATGAAATCATACTGTCGTTCTATATGCACAAACAATTCTAACCAAGTTTGATCTTTCCAAATTGGGCTCAAAAATGTAATTCCTATAAAAACTATTGTAAATTTAACTCCTTCCTTAGGGGGAAATGTGAGATCCTTGGGCCGCAAAATTTTTAATTTTGGTAAAACACCTTCAGACCCTTTCATCGATGAACAGTATTTCATTCTAATATATTTGGGTATTGAAAAAAGATTTTTAAAAGATCAGTCAATTAGACCCTTTTTGGCCTCGTCCCTCAGTCCCCTAGGTGCTGGGGACCATACAATTTACAATTTTGGTTTAGCCCTTTGGCCATGGAAGGTTTCTACCAATTTTTATTGAAATCGGTTCAGGGTAAAATGAACTGGCTAAGACAACATGAACATTCTTCATTTACAGTACTGACTATTGAATATATAATCAGTGAGTAATATATGATTCATCAGATTATTTCCATATACAAAGAAATTGTGTCATTGAAATATGAAGAAAATGTAATCAAGTTACACAGTAAATTTCGCTAAAATCAATTATAATTATGATCACAAGAAACTGAAAAGTCTGTAATTACTAATTACTCTTGAATACTTTGAAACTTGTAATTGATTATGTTTACAGGATTACAATTTAATTGCCTCATGCCTGGAGCTATTTTTTATCATTTTTTTTTTTTTTGTTATCAATATCATCAATACAAACCTTTGGCATGAACATAATTTTCTGTGTTCTCAGGAATGGATACAGTGCTGAGAATTCCTCATAACCACCTGTTTACAGTGAAAAAAGCATGCTCTTGTGTTAAGGTGTCAGACTTCTAAACATGCAATTGTTACAACAAGTTTTAATACTAATTTACATCTAGGATATAGCATTCCTCTCTGTTAGTTGTTTTCTTATTCATACAGAAAGATTAGATATGTAAATTTCCTTGTACTTGATACCGATATTTCAACCCAGCATGCTTACCTGTGGCCCCCTGAACGTATTGTAAGGGGTACGTGTAGTTATTAATACACAGTGTAGTTTTTATCAATATAAATACCTGTTTCACAATGTCTACTTATCTTGGTGTCTCAAAAAACCACTGACTGTCAGTAAAAATATCTAACAACTGTAGTTACCAGTAATAATAATGTGGATATGAGATTAAGTCTTACTGGCATTAATCAACAATCTGTTGTAACAAGATAATTAATATATAGGATATTGATATTAGTTATTAGAAACATCTTATTAGGCTTGACTTCTGTAAGTTAAATGTTATGTGTTATAGAACTTACCTTTTAGTATTTTAACTCTATTTCTACTTCCTTTATCCCATAGCATCATCCCACAGTCTATGGCTTGACCTAATAATTACAAAATTTTCAAATCTCTGATATAATTCATAGATTCGTAGTATTTCATGAGAATGGATTATAACTCTGAAATTGTTCCTGGTGTGATATCAAGTGAACTCTTTTATATTTAAGAATTATGTTGTATATGAAGGAAATGAAATCACACATGACATTATTGTCCAAGTTCAAATCTTTTGGATATATATCTAATACTCACCTCCTTCACGGATTGTTTTTGTGTTACTGTCATAAACAACGACATTTTGTTTACACTCCAGTTCAGCATCATAAGGAACTCTAAAAGACCCTTCAGCATCCTGAAAAAAAAAGTAAAGAATTTACTTATAAATGAAGATAAAACAGAATATTTATCTGGCATCATGTTTATATGTTCTGCCTTTAACCCTAACCTTAAGCTTATTCTGATAGCATCTACATACATACCAAACTTATATTTTGGGAGGAACTTAGCCGTAGACAAATATGGTGGTCAATATGATAATCGTCATAGGAAAAATCCTCAAAATACCATCCAGATTATCTTGTGAGACATCCAACAGGTACAGTACCTAACAGTGACCCATTACTCAAATGACATGTATTTTTACATCTACAATTGCAGATCTGAATTTCTTAAAATAATCACCAACTATCTCCATTATCAGTTTCTGAAAAGTAGGACAATACACATTACTTGAAACAAAATTGACAATTCTTTGAATTTTTTACTTCATTTCTTTGTCCTTGACATGAATTGTTGTATAAATAACTGCACCAGTCACTTCACATCATTTTTACATAACAAATGTTAAATACGGGTAAATGTAATTAATTGTGAATGCCAAAACATTAATATCATACCTTTGGTGCTTTCTTAGCAGTTACAACATGACTTTCATTATATTCATTTTTATTCCTTGCATCTGAAAGTAACAAAATTAATAATAAATGAATGTGTTTCAAAAGGAATCAGAAAGTCTAGGATACCTGCTACTTTAGCAGCTTAATAGCTACAATTCATAAGCAGCTTAATAGCTACATTTCATTAGCAGCTTAACAGCTACATCTCGCATATAGAAGGTCTGATCCCTATGTGCAAGAGAGAATGAAATTAAAATGAAAAGGCTAATATAGGATAATGAATGATAATATTAGGAGCATAGTAAATAAGCATTCATATCTTGAAAGTTAAAAGGTCTAACTCTGGACCTCTCAGACTAACAACAATGCTTTTTGCATTTCTGAGTAGCAATTCAACCACAAACAGTATCACTGAAAACATAGACCCTTTTGCGATAATCTTCTTTCAGCACTTTTCATGTCAAAGATATTGTGCTAAAATATGATTGCACAAAGAGGAATACCTCCTATGAATTCCGATCAAAAGAGCTTTCTGAAATTTCTCCATTTCTCAAAATAGTCTAAAACTTCCCTTTTTTCCACAATATTACCCAAGTTGTAGATTAACTCATTAAGTAGGAACACAATTTGTTTCTATTGTTAATATGGTAAACACACTTAATTTTGCATAAACAAATTTGAGCCCATAATCTTTTTTTGTCAAATAAGTGCAATGATAAATTCATGCATCCAAGCAGTGTATAAAACTGCAAATATTGAAATCATGTTTAAGTGTAATTCAGTGCAAAAAGCACTTGATATAGGCTACTGCTAAAATATGTTCATTTATAGTAACAATTGTTCAAAATTGATAATATGCTAAAATGTGACAATTCAAAATATGTGGTCCTGCAAGTATTATATAATAAACTGTCAAAAAATCAGGTTTTATTTCATGTCATCATAAGCTTTGTAATCTTTGTCTCCTTTGGTTCAATGACCTAGAAGGTTTTGTTTACATGAGTCTTATTTAAAACTCAAACTGTAATTCACTTAAATACATCTTCAAGTGGAATGTAAAACTAATAAACAAGCAAAGAAAATTTGACACACACACCTAGCCCATTAAACAAAATGACCTAATTCATAAGGTTGTATGTTCCTGTTTCAAAAAATAGGGGGGATATGAAGTAATAATTTCAAAGACTCGCTTCATATATTGTAATAAAAATTGTAAATTAAAACAGGACGATAGTAGACTGAAATTTAAAGTGTGTTATATACGTCTCTGACTGAACAGGGTAAAAAAGTGTTATTGGCAAAAAGGCTTACGATAACACGAAGACATGAAACTGATACTGAAACGTACAAAGTAAAAGAACTATTCTTACCTATCAATAGTAAATAATTAGGGTCGCTTAAATTCGAATAAATGGTAGCTTGCTGAAGCATATTATAAAGATCTGTTGGCTCTAAAATGTCAAGTCCTTCCATTTCCATTTTGCAAGATTTTTAGTATCCTCTTCCTAATGTTTACGTGCAACATGTGCTGGAACCTGACAGCAGTTATTATATACAAATAGTATTACGCCATTAGAATATAGTTATCTAAGTTTTATTTCAAATTTAACAAGAAAAAGGGAAAATCTATTCATTTTATACAAAAGGAACAAATAAACTAAAAAAATAACGTCACTTATGTTGGACGGTCATTTTTAGGCCATCTTAAATTAAAAATACTTTTCATCGGTTGTCAAGTGCGTATTGATATCAAAAAGTCACTGAACGCATGCGTGATAAGATGAAACTAACTTCCGCTTTTGCATATTATAATATGTAAAAACGAACCTGATCCGGAAATTAAGGAAAAGATATATTAACTATATTTTATCATCTGTCTTCCACAACGAACCAAAAGATATTTAGATTAAATTCAAATTATATATACATTTTTATGTCATAATAATTTTGATATTTAGATCACTAATTTTCAAGGTCAACTGTTCAGGATGTATGATTACGTTGGTGTCACATTTACTTAGGCACGACCTGTCATTGAGGCCATCTTGAAATTTCGGAAAGGGCACCGGCACCTAAAACAACTTCACAAACATGTTTTCCAGACTTGCAAGACCAGCTCTCTCAAAATGCATGTCACAGAGGACATTCATGACATCATCAAAGGTATGTTTGATACATGACAATGGTTAAAATTAATCAGATTTTGGATTTGATTCAGAGTTGAAAGTCAACAAAGCGAACAGCTGAAAAGCATGTGGCGGTTGTGCTAAATATTATGAGATAAAACATAAAAGATAAGCTGTTGTATAGGTTAGAATATTGTATGCATTTATTAAATATTTTCCTATTGTCAGAAGCCATAGCAAGTATTAACTGCATCCCGTGTACGTAAAGTTAAATCGATGACATGTTAATGTCAAAAAGAAAACCTTGGCAGACTATAAATCGGCAAAAATCACGTATCATGCTTCTAGCGCATGATCATTGGAAACGGAAGGGGTACTCTTTTGCAGGAATGAATTGAGAGAGAATTTTTTGTTTGAGTTTTTTTTTTACCTTTTTAATGCATACACGTCGAATCTAGGTAAAAAATAATATTGTGTGTGGCAATGACCGAGTTTTAGCTATGCATTTCACGGCATTTAACAAGAAATAACAAGTTTATAATAACAACTACGATAATGAAATTCCATGGCTTATTTTTTAAACAACATTCAATTCTTTTAAATAATCCTGAAATCACTTACGACTTACGAGATTTTCAGAGCGTTTGATGATTTACTTGCAATAGTGTAAATCTTACTTAAAAAAAAGAAGGCAAAAGCTATATGTGGGGTTCAGTTTAATAAGCTTTGATACACAAAATATTTCAGATGGCAATTCTTGGGTCCCTAAATGTTGTGCAAAAGAAAACACTAGTGCTATTATAGATAAAGCTGTTAAAGTTGTTATATCTTAATACATGTATCATTGTTGAACAGGACCATGCCAAAGTTGCAGTGTTGGGAGCCAGTGGAGGAATCGGACAACCTCTCTCTCTCCTGCTCAAAACATCACCAGCAATTACTCAGCTGTCTCTTTATGATATTGCACACACACCTGGAGTAGCTGCAGACCTCAGTCACATTGAAACACCAGCAAAAGTTTCGGGTCACATGGGACCAGACGAGCTTGATGCCTGTTTAGAAGGAGCTAATGTTGTGCTCATACCTGCCGGTGTACCAAGAAAGCCAGGTGAACTACTATAATGTGGTTATATTTGAAATGTCTTCATTGAATGTATTCCTACCTCATCATTAAGAGCTGTAGCTGCAAATTCACAAGAACCATGATTGTTTATTTATCATGAATTTGGAAGATTTTTATGTCACCGCATACACAATAATCGTGTAAGCTGAAACATTCATGTCTTGCACAATTACAGCAGAAACAGTCACATCAAAGTCTTTTTGATATTTAACGATTTATTTAAAAAACTACATATTCAAACTCATATTTGTACTGATGCAGAAAATGATAGACATTCTTTATGCATGAATTCATTTACAATTGTGATTATTTCTTTCACAGGAATGACAAGAGATGATCTGTTTAATACCAATGCTAGTATTGTACTCAATCTAGCAAAAGCATGTGCTAGAGTGTGTCCTGGGGCCATGCTTGGTATCATCACAAATCCAGTAAGATCTATTATATTTTTCTGATTTTGTGTCATAATCAAAAATTGGTTTGAAAGATCTTTAAATAGATGATAAATCCCTGGCATGGTTATTCAATGTTTATTTACCGTAAAAACCCATGTAATGTCCGCACTTTTTTTCACCGAAAATCAATCCAAAAAAGGGGGTGCGGACATTACAGAGATATAGAGGAAATACTTTTTTCCTTCCGACAATTCATATCATATCTCCTTGAATAAAAGCCAAGCATAATGGATCAACCAAACATGATTATTTATGATTATTTATTATAGTTTCCATGGTTATTCCTTTTTCTGATTTTGTGTCGTAATAGGAAGCCATGACAAAAATTGGCATATACAAAATAACACAACATTTTCATTCTACATTTTATTTACAAAATAACATGTAGAATATTACATAAAATAAATAATCAGACGTTTTATTGATTATGGATCGTTTATTCTTAATACAAATAGATGAATAGTTGTCTTCCTCTGTCTGGTCGTTGTAATAAATGGCGTTCTCGTCGTCTGATGGTGTGTCAGTAGGGTCAGTGGCGCCGTGGGTCATGGGCGGGTCATGTTCCCTGGCATGGTTATGGTAAGCTTACTGTACCATTATGGAGAATAACTGTTGTTATCAATGTTTCGGCCATTCAAAAAAGGGGTTTACACAGATGCGGATTTATTTAACTGGTTTTACATCCACTTTTACAACCATTTAGCCTTTTAGCAAAAATAAATTATCAATATTTGAATATCAGTATTCAGTTACCTGTAACTTCATGTCTTTTTACTCTTCTGTGAAATCAACTACCTGTATATGGCCTAAACTACTATAAAGTTTCCTATATCCTAAGTTTTTAAATCCACTTTGACAGTTTGTTTTAACATGATGTAGTATTTCGTCTATTATATGTTAAAACATTTTTTTGTATACCAGAATTCTGTTGACTGTGAAATGGGAAGTTTTCATGTTTCATGAAAATATTTGATAGGTAAATGGAAAAGTTATATTTTTGTGTTGTGATAAAAGAAAACTCTTAGAGGCATTTGTGTGTTTTGCAAAGATCAAAATTTCATACTCTGTTTTAGGTAAACTCCACAGTTCCAATTGCTGCAGAAGTATATAAAAGGATGAATGTTGATGGCTGGGAAAAACGTCTTTTTGGTGTAACAACTTTAGATGCTGTGAGAGCTAACACATTCATTGCTGAGGCCAAGGTAAGTGACACCTTTACTCAAAATTTGTGTCAAACCATCATGGTACATGTATTTATTTTGAACTTTGTCTTATCAACTCTTTATATACTTTGATTGGTTCACTGTGATTTCACTTGTTAAAAGAAGTCCACCAGAGTGATGATAGGTTGACATTATAATGACAAATTATTCTTTATATATATGTATAGTCTAAATATGAAGTGATACCTGATGATAAAAGCCTACAAATCTGTATGTCTTCTCCAGCCCCGTTTTTAATCTGTAACTTGACATGTGCTGACCTTTTTGCCATTTCAGGGAACTGATGTAGCAAAGATGAGTGTGCCAGTAATTGGTGGCCACAGTGGTGTAACTATTATACCAGTCATATCACAGGCTACCCCTCCAGTGTCCTTCCCTATGGTAAGTGCAAAAACAACTTTAAATACACAGTTATTCAATAATTGTCCAAAAGAACACGACCATGTCACAATCCCAATTGCAATAGCTATATTTTGTCCATTAATCTCGGACTCTTCAAAGTTTCAGTGTGTCATAAGTATATTCTCTAACTTGCCCTATCGCCTTACTGACTTTGAGAGGTCCCTGAAATCATGATCATCATAGGAGTGTTCTAGGGACAAAATTAAAATTATGTAATGTCTCACTGTTTCTGCTTATTTCACACAAATATATATACTAACTGTTTTACTCAAAAATGAAGTTTGAAAAAATTGAAGCAAAAAAATGCAGTTAAGGATGAAAATGCACACCACTTACAGGGGAACTTGGGAAGTGATGATTGATCAGTTATGTTTGATATTAATAAAGCAATGTTTGAAGTTTAGTTTTAATGTTGTGAAATCAATCATGTTAATTTAGGTTTTGTTTTGTGTTAAAGAAATTTATTATGCCCTCATATTGATAACTTCCTTAGAAAGTGATGATGTATTGTTGATGGAATTTGTGAGAACCATTCATCAACAAAACAAGGTGTCTAAAAAATAACACAGTGTATTTTGTTGAAAGCTGAAGCTCCATTACGATATATGATGTAATAGGGATTGAATTTCATGTATTATGTAATTTCCAGGAACAACGCAAGGCATTAACTGTGAGGATACAGAATGCTGGTACTGAAGTTGTAGAGGCCAAGGCTGGAGCTGTAAGTTGTCTCCCTTAGAACACTTGTTTCTCGTGCAATGTACATGCAAATAATTCAATCATGAGAAAACTTTTGCCGAAAATTTTGCAATCTCTGATCATCTAATCAATGTAAAAAACATTTAATGAGCATATAATTGTACATGGTGTAAAGGAAATCTGCTATCGAAAGTCAAATATCTTGTTTTTGGTTTAATTACACTTGTCAATTTAAGTATATAAATTAATATCAATTCACTATGGATGATTTCTTATTAATGGCACAGCTGGTTAATGATAATGTACTTTTTTTTCTAAGATATTGGTTTTGTGCATCAAGTTTGATGATTGAAATTACATCTATTAATAAATTCACTCAATCATATTTTTTTTGTCCAAAGGGATCAGCCACTCTGTCTATGGCTTTTGCTGCAGCCAGGTTTGCAGAAAAGCTTCTTGAAGCTTTGGCTGGTGGTAAAGGACAAGTTGAGTGTGCTTTTGTAAAATCCAACGAGACAGATGCCAGCTACTTTGCTACTCCTATCCTTCTCGGGGTAAGATTCTTTGCCACCTTAATATATATTGAAAGGATAAAGAAATGCAACTTGTTTCATTGTGGAATATTTTGTATCAAATTTACATGGTCATATATAAAGTAAGAGGAATACCAGGGCAATAGTGTCAATTTCTAAGTATCACCAAGATATGTGATTGCCAACAAATTTGCAATCAATTATTGTTTTTACATATATGCAATGGCTATCCCACTGGGCTCTTGCAATGCTCACAGGAGGTAGCACACAACAACTGGTCACTACTCCCTCAGGAGTTCATAAGTTGACTATGTGTTGATTTGTTTTACGCCTCAATGCCATGGGAGGTGTTTATGAAGGAGATCTGGACATCCACATGTCACATCCAGAGTGGTTCATAAGACTTGCCCACTTGCATGACAAGAGATTAACAGCAGCCGAAATGGCACAAAATACCATTGGCATTGGATACTGTCGAATCTACCAAAAAAAAAACTGTGAAAAATAGAATGTGAGAGGCAAACTTATGCCATGGTTACTAGTGCGTTGGTTTGCCACTGACACCTCAATGTTGAAAGCACATGTGTCCAGACATTTCTTGACAAGATGTTGGAGGTTCCTGTTCATCATGGATGAATCTTGATTACATTATTTTAATCAATACCATCATTTTTCATCAATACCAGCGTCGACGAGAGCATCATGCAGATGCTTGTGTTTTGTAGCAGATATGGGGATGAATTGGTTATGATTTAGGGAGGAATTTCCTATGGTTTAAAGACACCTATAGTGATCATTTAGGGGAATTTAACAACTGTACACTATTGAAGTGAGATCCTTGGGTCACATGATGTGCCTTTCATTAAAAGGCACTATTGATTTTTCAGTATGATAACGCGAGGCCACAAGTTACAGGAGTTTGTAGGGACAGTCTTGCAAACCAGAACATCGTCCCTATGTATTGGCTTCCATGTAGCCCCGATTTGTCCCCAATCGAACACTTATAGGTTGAATTAGAATTCGGAATTGAGCAAACATCCCAAATATCTTCTGCCAATTGGCCAATGCACTTACCAAGGAATTAAGAGACAATATAACATTTGGGGAGGGCACACGCAATATTAGGGATCGGTCTGACAACTGACGTTATTTCAACTTTGTGTATATGATCGTACCCTAATTCATGGTGTCCTTATGAGGTCCTCATTTGAAAAAAATCTCAAAAAAATTGAAGACGGGTGGTCCAATATTTGACATTAACTACTGTATTTTACATTTAGGCATATTGCTCAAAAATATCATTACATTTAACCATAAAGTTGAAGTTGCATTTCTTTGTATATGCAAGACCTGGAAATAATCTCAGATTACATAAAACAGAAATCTAGGGTTTATATCTCTTCAACATCAAAATGTTATCTTTGTACTGAACCACTGTATTGTATTTCATATAATTGGATAATAATTACCATTGTTTGAAACAAAAGTCAACAAACAGGCGAACAGATACTGCAGGATGTGTATAAAAATATATTCGTCTAGGATAACATTGTTTGATTCTATTTTTCAGGAAAATGGCGTTGACACCAACTTGGGAGTTGGTAAGATGATTGAATATGAAATTGAACTAGCTAGTGCTGCCATGGGAGAACTGAAGGCAAACATCAAAAAGGGAGAAGACTTTGTAGCCAACAACTGGTCCTAGAGTATATCAGCAACAGAGACAACTTGTTTGAAGGGCAGACTGCAAATTTATTATCTATGAAAGAGGTGCAACAACTCCCAACAACAGTGCTATACAGTCATCTAATGGTGCAAAATACAGTGCTACAGTAATACACCGAGGACTCCCATCATATATAAGATGTTCCAAGGGGTACAGACCACACACATACTCTAATTTTATTGGATTTTTTTTTTTCAGAGATGTTTTTTGATATATTATACAGAAATAACACAGACTTGTTATCCATACTAGAGAAACAAATTGATCGCATAAAGATGGCTAAGACCACTAAGTTTAATGTTGAACACTACTTCGAACAGTTTATATGTTAGATAGGACATATTGTGTCTTTTTCAGCATTTTGTACTACCTTATGCCAGTGAAATAGTTTTCCTTGTTTTTGGTTGTTTCCTAACTTTTGAAGTTGTTTAACACCATGTGTTAGACTGTGTGATATTAGGTTCTCGTTTCTACGGGGAAGAGAGAACAGTCAAAAAATGTTGAGAGAGGAATTGTTTTAACATGATTAGAATATAAAACAAAGCTATGATGAAGAAGATTCACTGCTATGTGATAAAATTAAAACATTTCCATACTATGATTTATATGTGGTTTATTTATTTCAACTTATATATCAACGTACATGTTAAAGGATCAAAAATGGAAAACTCCAGTTTTAAAGTCTTTCCCAAACTAGAAATTGTGAATACCGGTATGTTACTTAAAATTCAATACTTTTTGTACTTTAGCATTTTATAGCAACTGCAAGTACTGCAATCAACAAAGATTAAGAATTAAACTCATTATATTGATCTAAATAATAGATCTTCTTGTTAAGAATCTTCAGTTTGAATCTAACGACCAAATTTAGAAGAATAAACTGGAGATTCCTGTTCAAAAACCTGAGAATTAAAAGGAATCACATTTAATCATTTTACTCTGACTTTCTAATCTCTCAATAGTGTCTGTTCATCCATCCATACGTTTTAGCTGTCCATAGCAGAGACCTAATGTTACATGTGTGATGTACATTGGCACTACAAAATGCAGGATGCAGATGCTGAATTGGGCAAACAGTTGGAATTTTCGTGCAGCCCATATTTTGAAACTTAGTACTACTCTGTTTATATTTAAATTTGCTAAATGAAAAAAAAAAAAAAATGCAAGTGGGAAGGCTCTACAAAATGCAGGTAGAGGATGCAGAATTTGACCAATTGAGTTGAAATTTGGATAAAAAGATTTAAATGAAGTCACTTCAGGGTATATATTGGCCAGGATGATATGGTGCTGGTACATGTAGGATTGTTCTACAGGAACGTGGCCCCAGTGCCTAATCTCTAAAATATGTGCAGCATTGCAATGCAGCGAAGTTCTGTAAATGAGAGCCAGGTGTATTGCTTGGTTTTAGCATTGAGCGTTTAATGAGGAACTTAGAAAATAGTGACATGGGCCATTTTGAATAAGTAGTGTGAAAGTTGATAGCAATTTCTTATCACAAAGACATAGGGGCCATTTTGAATATTTATTCAGTTACATGCAGATATAAAAAAAATCCATCTCTTCATACATGTATATATATATATTAATACATGTATATCATCAAAATGATTTTTTCGTATTAAAATATAAATGACTTATTTTCTGGTATGAAAAATAGATTTTTAGAGAGGAAAAAAGAGCAATTTTTTGTCTGTCTTTTTTCATCTTCAATCAGAATATGGTGAATAAATAGGAAAATGTCCCCTCATAGAAATGGAGTCACTTGAAAGTGAAAGATTGTGGGAAATTTGCTTAAACTATATCAGGGACATATAATATAGATATACAATTGAGAATGAAATGTAATACAAATGAGACAAAGTTTGGTTCGTACAACTCTTTTTGTTGTATTTTTTGTCCAACGAAATGCATTAATAGGCTCTTTGCTACAGAAAACTAATCGATTTTGGACATTAATCTGGAAGACCACTTGTTCCCTAGGTTTGCAGTTTTAAACATTGGCAACATTCCAGATTATACTACATACTACACACTTAGCGTGCAGAGAAATTCAAGTGTGGATTGACATTTCCCAAGAGGATATGAAATGAGGTCCATAGGGCCTGTATTGCTCACCTGGCAAATTTTTTTCCTTTTCACTCAAGAATGATTCAGACCAAACTTCAGCAAAACCCAATCATTCCTATTATGTATAGTATTTTCAAGAATTAACTACATTTCCCTAATTGGTTCCCACCTCTCCCCCCTCAGGTGTCCAAGACCCACTGTTCACACAAAACTGATTCTCCTTCACCTGAGAATGCATCGGACCAAATTTGGGCAAAATGCTATAATTCCTACAGGAGAAGTAGGATTTTAAAGATTTGCTCTATTTCTCCGATGGGGCTAAACCCCTCCTGTCCCAGAGGGCTGAGACCCACCATTTAAACAAATTTGATTCTCCTTCACTTAAGGATGTTTCTGACCAAATAAGGACAAAATCCTATCATTCCTACAGGAAAGGTAGGATTTTAAAGAACTGGCACTATTTCCCCTATTGGCTCCCCGAGACCCACCCTATATACAAAACTGCTTCCCCTCAACTGAAGAAAGCTTCAGATAATTTTGGGACAAAATCCAATCAGTTCTTTAGGAAAAGTAGGATTTTAAAGAATTTGCTTTATTTCCTCTTTTGGGCCATGCCCCTCCTGTCCAAAAGGACCAAAATACACTGTTTACAAATATTGATTAGTCTCCACCAAACAATATATCAGACCAAAGTTGGACAAAATTCATTCATTCCTGCAGGAGGAGTAGAATTTCAATGAATTTATTATTTTTCCTCTATTTGTCAGTCCCAAGGGGCAAAGACCTACCATTTTTTCAAAATTGATTCATCTTGACCTTAGTATGCTTCATATCAAATTTGTGAAAAATTCAAAGATTCCTAAAAAAAGGACCTGGATTTTAAAATATCCCCTTTTGGGCCTGCGTTTCAGGCTTCTGGATGCCAAGACCCACCATTTACAAAAAAATCTGTTGAACTTTTACCAAGGATGCTTCTGACCAAATTTTGTCAAAATTCTACGTTATTTCAGACTAGTAGGGATTTTTGGGTGACAGATGTTGTGGTATACTATAAAAATATCAGAGAAAGAAATTTCATTGTAATTAGTACCTAAATGTATATAAGTGGTATTTAAAACCTTATGGTATGCGATTCTAGGATAACCACCCAATGATATGCATTTTGCTGTCTTATGTAGATGATAACTTGGTTTAAACTACAATAAATTATTTATAGTTGACAGTGTAACCCCTCAAATGGAAAAGCCATTTTGAAGGCAGGATGTCAATGTTTGAAAGCCATGCCATAATTGAAGGCACAAGCAAAGTAATTTGATTGGTTTCAAGAGAAATAAAACTAACCAATCACAGGCTGAACCGTTCCTTTTGAAGAATACTAACGAGTGACACGCAACATCAAATCCATTATAATGTACCTTATGCGACCTCGAGGTTTGTTTGATCAAAGTAGGCTTTTCGTCTTGTCCACAAGGTCTTGTGCATGGAGTCTTCAATTTTGCCTCGACATGTTCCAGGGTAGCAGTGAGTGAAATTGATTGTAATTCCTGGAGTATAGAGGATGCTTACAAGGACATTGTATTGGTCATCGCTCAATAAACACTGCTTCTTTCTGGTTGGTATCGAGACATTTCCATACAAATGTACAGTTAAAATAAACAAACCTAACAATTAAGGTATTATAAATGATGCCCATTATGAGGTCATTCTTGTTGGCGTAGAAACAGTGACCAAAAACTGTTAAAATGACGGAATATTCTTTTGTAATGATGATCTGCATAACGGACAGCAACAGGTGTACATGTTTATAGAATAAAATAGGTGAACAGGACCAGACAACGCCAATGAAGATCTTCTGTAACTTTATTAGTTGACTAGTTTCGGCACACTAGGTATGCCGTCCTCAGAACAGTACAAATTCAAAAAGCAGGACTTTATATACTCCTGTGCCTAGCAACTACACATGTTATTTCCACCAACGTCATAGAGAGTACACTATTTGTAATGACGTAATTGATTGGTGACGTCATAATGCAAGTAAACAGATAATAGCGGAGTCCCGCTTAGCCCTCAGGTAATCCGCTGTGGAGTGTAACCGGACTTACCAGCCTTACCTCTTGGACGTTGGATCTCTTTTTCTTCGTAATGTTTATAGAATGTATATATCGAATGTCTATAATGTGTATATAGAATTATCTAGAATATGTATAAAGAATGTTAATAGAATTATATAGAATGCAAATATAGAATTTTGTATAATCAAATAGAATGTGTTTGTAGAATTATATTGAATGTATGTACCTATTACCTCTTCATAGACACCACTTGTTAGCTTATCTCAGCTAATTGAGGCGCATTTTGTCGAGTCAACTCGTTGTTGTCCGGTTGTGCCAAATAAAATCTAGGATAAAACTTGAATGGTACTTGTTGCAAGTGTTCGTTCTCTGCAAAGTGTTTAGGGTAGGGGCTTCTATTACGGTGTTTGGAAGAGAATTCCAAAGATCTACTACCTGTCGACTAAAAGTCCCTTTAATGACATATGCTTCTTGAAAAGTTTTTACTATTACCTCTAGCAGAGACTGTGGACATAGTAAATAGTTTGTCTATGTCTAGTTTGTCAATGTTGTTATACCTCAACCATATCGTTTCGTTTACGTCTATACTCTAAAGTTGGAAGACCTAGCTTTTTTAACCTGGCATGATATTGTAAGTTCTTTATGGAGTGTACTCTCATAGTGACCCTGCACTGAACATTCTCTATTGCAATCTGATCTTTTTACTAAGACAGGTGACTATACCTGAGTAGCATACTCTAGATTGGGGCGCATTAAACTTTTGTACAAGTTTGAAAACAATGTCCGTGAAGACAAAAGTTTTAAAGATTAATTCAACAACATGATTCCCTTTGTTAACTGCTTGACTCACATGTTCACTAAATTCTAATTTGTTGTCGAACACTACACCTAAATCTTTTTCTTTGTTAACCTTTTCTATTTGTTTGTTAGATGGAAAATAATATTTTATGTTCTGATCAATGTTGCCGATGTTTAGGTGTTTGCATTTCTTTGTGTTCAAATATATTTTCCAGTCTATTCTCCACTTGATAATGTTGTCAATATCTGATTGGAGTTCTTGTGATTCAGATGGGTTAATGGTGCTTTTGAAAAGCTTAAAGTCGTCAGCAAACAATTTCATAGTGCTGTGTTGTGTTACGTCAGGGAGGTCATTGATATAGATCAGAAATAGAACAGGCTAAGGACACTGCCTTGGGGTACACCGCTTGTCACATCAACTAGACCAGACTTCTCACCATTGATATAAAATGTATATAGAATTATATATAATGTTCATAGAATGTGCATAGAATGTAAACATAGACCATAAATGACATAACAAGACAAACTTGGCTTTCACAACAAGATTTTTTTCCTCACAATTCCACAAAACGTTGGTGAGAGTTCTCTTGGAATACTAGATGTAATAACCTTTGGATGAAACCAATACCGTAGACCACTTGAATTATACTGAAGGAATGTACAGCAATATCTATGATAGTACAACATCTTTTACTAACACAGATCAGAGTCACAGAAATCCAAAGTTTTAATTTTTGACTTTATTAGTATACATCAAGACTGATCTACCTTTTACGGGAAGTGAAGTCTCTTTATGAGCATTTATATAGTGAAGACAAAGACATAGAAGATGCATATTTAGATGAAATTTCGAAAAATTACCACATTCCAAAATTTAGTAAGGTATAATCTGATAGCTTGGAAGGTCTCATTACTCTTAAGGAAGCTTCTGATACTCTAAAAAACATGTAAAACAATAAAAGTCCAGGTTCAGATAGGTTTACAGTGGAATCTAAAAAAAATTTTGGAAAGATTTGGGGAACATTGTAGTTAGGTCTTTAAATCATGGTTTTAGAAACGATCAATTGTCTGTCACTCAGAGACGGGGTATGATAACTTGTTTACCTGAGGGGGATAAACCCAGGCATTTTATAAAGAATTGGCATCCAATTTCTCTTCTAAATACTGTCTATAAAATAGCTTCTGGTTCCATTGCTAACAGAGTTAAACCATAACTAGGAAAATTAACAAGAGGCCCAGAGGGCCTGTATCACTCACCTGGATCTTTATGACCAACATTACTATATCTGTGCATATATTCCACGTTTAACGCATTTGACCCCAGTGACCTTGACTGGGTCAAGGTCATTTCTTTTACTTTCTTGGACTCCATAAAAGGAACATACTGGCCAAATATAATGATTCTAGGCTTTCCGATATTTCAGAAGATATTGTTTAAACGTTTTAACACATTAGACTCCTGTGACCTTGAAGATTGGTCAAGGTAATTTATTTTGGCAAACTTTGTAGGACACCATAAGAGGAACATAGTAGCCTAATATAAAGTTTCTAGGCCTTCCGGTATTTTGAAAGAAATCGCTATAAATTTTTTAACATATTTTACCTCTGTGACCTTGAATATGGGTCAAGATTTTTTTTTTTTTTTGCAAACTCTGTTGGGCTTCATCATAGGAACCTTCCAGCCAAATATAATGATTCTAGGCCTTCCAGTATTTTGGAAGATATTGTTTAAACGTTTTAACACATTAGACTCCTGTGACCTTGAAGATTGGTCAAGGTAATTTATTTTGGCAAACTTTGTAGGACACCATAAGAGGAACATAGTAGCCTAATATAAAGTTTCTAGGCCTTCCGGTATTTTGAAAGAAATCGCTATAAATTTTTTAACATATTTTACCTCTGTGACCTTGAATATGGGTCAAGATTTTTTTTTTTTTTTTTTTTGCAAACTCTGTTGGGCTTCATCATAGGAACCTTCCAGCCAAATATAATGATTCTAGGCCTTCCAGTATTTTGGAAGAAGTTGTTTAAAGGTTTTAACACATTTGACCTCTGTGACCTTGAATATGGGTCAATGTCGTTTCTTTTTGCAAACTTTGTTGGTCTTCATCAAAGGAACCTTCCAGCTATAAATAATGATTCTAGGCCTTCTGGTATTTTGGAAGAAGTCGTTAAAATGTTTTAACACATTTGACCTCTGTGACCTTGAGAAGGGTCACGGTAATTTTTTTGCAAACTTTGTTGGGCTTCATCATAGGAACCTTCCAGCCAAATATAATGATTCTAGGCCTTCTCGTATTTTGGAAGAAGTCGTTTAAAGGTTTTAACACATTTGACCTCTGTGACCTTGACTATGGGTCAAGGTCATTTCTTTTTGCAAACTTTGTTGGGCTTCATCAAAGGAACCTTCCAGCAAAATATAATGAGTCCAGGCCTTCCAGTATTTTGGAAGAAATCGTTTAAAGGTTTTAACACATTTGACCTCTGTGACCTTGAATATGGGTCAGTAAAATTAAAGGGTGCGAAACATCGTGATGTAACCCGAGATTGGACCGATATGACAGTATATTAATGCCAGATTATCGCTCTCTGTCAAAATCTAGGGCCGAATGTGAAATGATGGCATTGCTTTTTTGACGTTTCACTCTTTGAAATATACCAAATATGTGATAGCATAGGTGTATAAGCTTAACAAGAACGCGCATATAAATATAATTGTATGAGACAGTTCATGTTCCGATTTAGCAAAGCTACTTTAACAGTCACGGTAAAAAAAATGACAACAAGATTTTTGTTCTTACTTGGAAATTTTAGCGGGACTCTAAACGTGGAACTCTTCATTTTGAGGAGATACGATAATGGCGGCTGAAGAAAATGGCTGCGAAAACAGATATTGTTCGGATTTCTTACAATGAATTAGAAAATATTGTACACAAGAAAACAGAGAAATCGTTAGCACATCAAGGAATTCAAGTAAAAGAAGGTATGTATGCCAAAGCAGTTACACTGCAAACTTTCTCGAAAAATTGTAATGGAAATAGAAAAATATAAAAACTTTCTTTGGTCCATAAGTAACTGTAAATTTTCAAAATATTTTGAGTATTTCCATATAAAGGATATGTCAAAGCGTGAACATAACATCAAACTGCTATCTTGATTCTGCCTTAAAGCAAAGTTGTGGACGAATAAAGATAGTCTGTTTGGATTTTCATGATCTGTCAGATTGTCACCAACGTAGATAATTTCGTTATATTGTTATAATAACATCTCCCCATTCAAAGCTTAATATTTTCTAACTCAGCGTTTTTGAAATTCAATGGTAACGTTATCGAAGCAAACGTTTCGAACTGAAATATTCCCAAACATAAATTATGCAATTCTAGTTGTCGATGAAACAAATAACAATAGTGAAGTCGACTCATGCTGCTTTGATGCAGAACAAAACTTGAATTTTGCAGCAATTTTTGCTCGCATTACTGTGATATCAAGTCACCAACAAGAGACAATGTTCTCAATTAAATATGTTTGTATCAAAATATAAAATATATCATATAGGATTTACAAAACACATCCATGTAAATATTACATTTCCTTCATGTGAGATGGCATAAAATATATCAAGAAAAATAGATGAAGACACCAAAATGATATTGTAAACATACAAAAGTGTTAATTTGAAAATGGTTGGATGCCTGAAATAATTGAGTCTATTATTAGGAATGCCAGTGAATGATGAAATATGTATTGGAACAGGAAGATAATGCAAACTAATTGTTTTCACAATTGTTAAATATTAACATTAGAAAAATTGCTAAATTTTATCAGTTCTCTGTTGACGAGTGGTATGTCCAATTTACTCTATGAATAGAATTTTGTCAGCGAAACAATCAAGGAAGTATATAGTGTTTTCAAGGTTTTACACCTGTACAGTTCACCATGACACTGATAAACCTATCTCCAGAGGGTCTGAAGTCCCCATTCAGATGTTTTTTACACCTCATTTGCGTGAAGCAACAAAGATCACTGCCATACCTGTAATATTGTAGTGAAATTTGGTCATATAGCCTTGTCAGTCCTTTTAACCAACATTTTAAGTACTTACTGTTAGGTGTTTATGGACATTATGACATATGGTTTATATAAATATCGGATGACATTTTCCCTTAGACATTCGAAGCATCACATTGACAATGGGTGCATAGTGATGGTCATATTGACACACTTTTTGAGAAATTCTTTGGCGATCTCAATAAAAGAGATGTTGTATGATCAATCAAATTTTTGTTGACTTTAACTTACATTTAACATGGTTATGGGCCTTATACATATAGCAAAGGCCATCATTGTAGCAGATGAAATCCTATGATGATATTTCAATTATAGATAGTAATTTAAGAACAATTCTATTTTCTGAAAATTTTGAAATATGAGTGGATATCTATCTATCTTTGTGTTTCCACAACATGCCTTTTCCAATGACACCTTTCAAGATATTTTCACAATTTGAATTCATAATCAGAAGAATAGGTGTAGAAGTTGATCTTATTTGTTAAATTAACCTTTCCTTTGCGGTTTAGTTCTGGTATTAGGGGGTGGGGATGAAATGGAACCATTGTGGATTGTGGGTACATGCATCATTCTGTCCATATTGGTAAAACATTACTGATATTCTAGTGTACATATGGGGACTGACTCCTTAAAGTTTAATACCATATGTTATGGATATGAAAACTATTTGAATATTCGAATGATGAATCGACAGATATTCAAATGACAATTTTTGTTGAATTGACATCCTTATTCACCAGATTTGGTTCTAAGCTCAAAGCTCTGTGGATGTTCGGTTTTCTTGTACAGTCATTACTAAAGTAAGTTGTTCCTCCTAACCACAATTATGTATAGTCAGACTTTTAGGTAATATTTAAGTCTGTGATGAGGCTTAATTATTTAAATCAAAATAACATTACAACTGATAATCAGTTCGAACTTCAAATTTGTTATAAATAGATAAAAAAGATAAATCCTGGTATCACTGATGGTAGTTGTAACTAAATACCGGTTATCATGCATGCACATTGATTTCAGCATATTATCTTAATTTGATTAACTGTTGATATTAGACTTTGTTGATAACTGTTAGGATTGTGTCTTTAGAAAATAATGAAATAAGTGACCCACACTAGGGCCTGGGTCAGCATTCAAATGATAATTATAGGAAAAAATGACATTTTCCTATGTAATCCACTCACAGATTGAAAGGTCTGTTCTTATCTACAAGCTGAAACAAACATAAAGTTAAACTACATTTTCTGTACCCAGCCATATTGGGATAGAAATTAGGACAGGAGGTCTTCAAAGAGATTTGTTAAGAATTTGCAATATCCAGCACATTTTTCAGAAGTCATGACAGATATTAAAATAAATCAGATGAAAATAAACACATACTCTCATTTATATCTCACTTATAAAAATGAATTACCTCATTGTCAAAATTGTGATATAAGGAATTGCTCAATTATACAAAGGCACAGAAGTGAATAAGAGAGAGTAAAGAGTTGTTGTCTGAATCTTTGCAGGAAGAAAGATTAATATGGCAAGATTATGTAGGCATGTGAGGAGACGAGATGTGGCTATATGACTAATGTGTGTTAACCGAAACAAAATTAAGTTCTGTGAATGTATGGGTGTTATTGAGCATATATCCTTTTTGAAATAATGATATGTCCTAAATATGTACAACATTTACTGAGGACAGTTACATTCAGTGTTAATTGTCCTGCATGTAATGCAATTTCCAAACTTGTGTTTGATCTGTGGCATGATCTGTTTCATTTTTTTTTTTCAGATGAACGAGCCAATAGATTGGACAAAAAGGAAAAGAGACCGAAACGCCCAACAAGAGGAGTGTACCAACCACCAAGTATTTTAAGGCACAAACAACAGCTTGAACAAGCAGGAGGAGGGAATTGGAATGGAGAGGCAGAAGGTGAAGGAGAATGTTGGGAGGAGGAATTAGATGTAGAAAGCCATGGGTCAGCAACTAACAGCAGCAAGGAGAACAGTGTCGAAAAAGAGGTATCATATTTTATCATTTGTGTATTAAAAAGTGTTGAGTATTTATTCTTTGTGTAGAAAACGAGGTAAAGTTTTGAATTGTTTGTGTAGTAAAAGGTAGAAAAAAGTAAACTATTGATTGTTTGACACCTGCTGGTAATTTAGAGGCTGTAATAGCTCAGTAGATTGTCGATCTTTGATCCGTTAGGTGAGGACGTGTGTAGCTCAGCAAACCATGCGTAGTGCTGTTTGTATTTTCAGCTAAATTGAACCATTCTGTACCGTTGCATTTGTTTTCTTGAGCAAGATACTTAATACCAATTGCTGTTGCTGTCAACAGCAGAAAATTGACCTCCTGTATATTGTTCAGAGTGGTAGCCACCAGCTACTATAAAGAAATCCTGCCTCAAAATGACTCTTACTGTGATAAGTGATAAAGCAGGCAAATGAATTTAAACAAACAATACTATTATTTCATAATTTGGAATTATTTCTATATGTCTAAAAGTACAGTCTAGTGTATTAACATACATGATCATATAAGGATATAAAATTGATGGATGGACAGTAAATGGAAATGCTAAACATGTGTCGGTTTATCAATAAATTTAAGTGACCAGCTCTTTAAAGAAATATCAATGAGAATCTGTCAGATTGATAAATCCTGGAGTCCTGTCAGTATTCTGATGTATAAATCTTCACATGAATTGTAACCAGGCAGTACATGTATTTCAAAATAAGATGAATATTATAATGCAGCTTTGCTAACGTTAAAATATATATATTATTAATTGTATAAGAAAATATTGAAAGAAAAAAAAATGATTAAAGAATTATAGAATTTAAATGCCATAAATATGTTTGAACAATGAATAGATATAGTCTATGTATGTATGAAATGTAAAAAATGTTATGAAGGATAAGATAATAAAAGATAACAAAGTGTTTAGTTTACTCGAGTTTACAAGAGGATAGGCTAGTAAACTTGTACATTCAAAGGATGAATTAGAACCAGTGAATTGAATATGACAGGAAATGAAATGATTTGAGAATTTATATCATGTTCATTCATTAACACTAACTTGGAATAAGGTCACAATATAAAGTGTATTTCTTTTTCTGTAAACAACAGATTGATGAGGTCCTCACAAACATTCGTAATCTGCAAGTGCAGTCTGAAGATGGACTGGTCAGTACTGGAGACGCCAAGAAAAGATCCAAGTCAGGGAAAAGACCAGAGATTCAGCGATATATTCCAAAGGGAAAACTGATAGAGCAAAGTCAAAAAGACTCTGAGTCAGAGGAGCTTGATGATCCCGCAAGAATTCCATCAAATGTTGCCTCTCCTCTGTTTGATGACAATACCTCTCTGCGTAAAATAGATTTTGGGAAATGTTCACCCATGGATGTCAAAATCACATTTGTGAATCAAACTTCCTCACCTCAGGGATCAAAGCCTGATGAGGCCTCAAATACACCTCAGAGAGCTGGAAGTGAGTCAAGGTTAAGTGGTGGTCAAGGAGAATCTCAAACTGGTGGTCAAAGATTGAGGTCAGCTGGAGTTCAAGAGGAGTGTCATTATCAAGATAAGAACAGAACTGACAACCACAGTCAGAAATTTGCAAGAGATAAACGACAAAATCAGAGAGGACAATTTATGGGGGACAGAGGAGGTAAACGTGGAGGAGGGTTTGGGAGGGGACAGAATCGAGAGGAAGGATATGGCACATGGCCAAGAGAAAAAGGAGGAGGTAGAGGAAATGTCCAAAAGGAAAACAGTCCACCTAGTGGCGAAAATTGGGATGTGGAATTACGGATTGTGGAAAAGGATGATATTGAACAGAAAGAAGACAAACAGAATCGAAATAATGTCAGTACCTCTCAAGCCAATCCTGTTACTGGATCAGAACCGCCAAAACCACAAAGAATTAATCAGCGGCGTCCACGTGATCGTCCCGTAAAACAGACAACTGTGTCAATTATTGATGCTCCGGACGAAGGTGAAGATGGCAATGGTAACCACATACCAACCATGATCTTTGAACGAAGGAACAGTAATTCATCAGTAACAGGCAGCGGGCAAGGTGGTAATGGAAATCTGAAACAAAAGCCTCCCAAAGGTCAACCTATGACCAAGGGACCCCCTAAAAGGTACTCACTTTCAACCATGCGTCGACAAAGGACTGGCAGTGTCAGCAGTGACGTAAGTACTGCCAGTGACTTGAGCATTGATGATGAAACAACAACCAGGATTCTGGATTGGGATAAGGAAGTAGAGAGAGAAATGGCCAAACAAGTCCAGGATGAAACAATGAAGTTAAAGGAATTTCTGGAAAGACAAGGGGATTTCCCTGGGATGGACTTTGGAATGGGTTCTTCTGATCAGAAACAACCAGACAGAATGTCAGAATCAGGTAGTGAATATGGTATATATCGTGAGAAAACTAGTGAGAGACAATACAGACCCTCAAGAGCCAAAGAAAATCAATACAACGAGAATAAAAATCGTAACTCAGGTTCCCGCGATAGACATGATGGCAGTGATCAGTGGTACAATGAGTTACCCAGGAGTAGACGGAGAAATAGACGGAGTTCCCTAAATGGTCGACACAGTAGAGACTCTAGTGTGTCCAGTGTCCAGAGTGTTCAGAGTTACCATGGAGATGAAGGAGAGAAGATGTACCACAGTCTAAGTCTGCCACGAAAAGGAAGGCGACGTAGGAGGAGTAGTAATGCTAGTCTCAAGGATATTAGTTCTAGTCGTGAAGCTCTCAACAATCCAGAAAATCTCAACCTCAAGATAACTTTTGCTCAAGATCACAATGAGAAACGCCAAGTCACAATGCAAGGACCTAGTCAAGGTCATCAGCAAGGTCATGGTCAAATTCACCAGCAAGGTCATAGTCAAGGTCACCAACAAAGTCATGGACAGGGTCACTATCAAGGTAACCAACAAGGACATGGTCAAATTCACCAGCAAGGTCATAGTCAAGGTCACCAACAAAGTCATGGACAGGGTCACTATCAGGGTAACCAACAAGGACATCAACAAGGACAAAAAGGTCAGGGACAAGGGTCAACATCTCGTGGAAGAGGACGGGGCAGAGCTCGGAGTGCTGAGAGGAGCAAAGATAAGCAGGGATCAAGGGGCCGTCCTGAGGAATACAGAGGACCAGCAGGAAAGGACAAAGACTACGATAAAATAGGAGTAGGGAGAGGGCAGGACCGTAGAAGTGTAGGCAGAGGGCAGGACACAAGAGGCAGTCGAGGACAAGATACAAGGGTTGGAAGCAGAGACAACAGAGGACAAGGACATGACATGAGGCATGATTCCAGGGGTCAGAGTCAGGACATCAGGGGACATGGTCATGATAAAAGAGGTCAAGGACAAGACATTCATAATCCTAGTTTTAGGGGACAAAGTCATGATTCACGAGGCCATGGGAAGGATCAACATTATAGTTATGACCGTCATGAACGTCGACTCTCAGGGCGCGATGAAACCATGCATGAGACAGGAACCTCCCCCAGAGGTGGACTGCTGAAACTTCCATCTGGTGCACTTCATAGTGAGACACAGAGCTATCGTGATGAAGGTCAAAGTCAAAGGTCTAAAGGTCCTCAAGTTCACAGTGGTACCTCTGGAAACACGTCTAGAGGTGGGGCAGGACAAAGAAGACTCTTTGACCCCAATAATCCAAACAAACCCATAATGATTCAGGATGGAAACAAGTCACAAAACTTACATGAAGATAGCAAACCTCTACAGTTTCAGGATGTTGATAATCCTACCACTCCTACCTCACCTCATGGGCCACCTTCTTTCCATCAGGCCTACCCGCCCATGGGTCCAGCTGCACCCTACTTTCAAAACTATGATCCTAGGTTTGTGGATGGTGGCCATGGCTTTCCTCAACGACATTCTGGTCCTCACCCAGTACCTATTTCTGGACACCCTGGGACACCTGGAGGCTACTATTTCCCGTACCCTGTGCCTTATAGGGACATGGCGATGTATCCAGAGGAAATGTACCAGAGGGAACCGTACTATCAAGGGTAAGTACCCAGAACATTAGCTGTTGTAGACTTGGTAACAAAAACAGTGGTCACATGTTGTGTCTTTTCACTACTTTTAGTAATCATCTTAATGAAAGAGATTCTAGGTTGTACATGTATTTAGAACTTTGGAAAAGAAAGGAAGATGGTTATTAGTGTTTAATCAAACTTGAATTACAATATTTTAGAATGAATGATAATATTATTTTGTGTATGTTATTTTTAATAATAAGAATATATTGACAGTTGTGTTGAATGATTGGGTTCATGTTGTTATGAATAAAGTTTAGAAAACACTCTACAGATATGGATAGTAATGATTTAAGCAATTTTTTTTCTTCAGGGGAGAGTATGACCAGGAATTGGCAGTATCTGGGCGATCTCGGACACAATGTCGCGCCATGGCGGAGCGAATGATTCAAGAGTCCCTATCATTAGACAGCCAGTTGAGTGATCTTGTGTCGAGGCGGTTATCTAGCAAGGATTTCACCACCCTCTCTCAGATCAGGTATGAAACCAGGATTTCAGCACCCTTACTGAGATCAGATATAAAAACTAGGATTTCACCACCCTCACAGAGATCAGGTATTAAATCTAGGATTTCGCTACCCTTACTGAGATCAGATATAAAAACTAGGATTTCACCACCCTCACAGAGATCAGATATAAAAACTAGGATTTCACTACCCTTACTGAGATCAGATATAAAAACTAGGATTTAAGCAGTTTTTAGGGTATTAGCCACAATGTAAAATACATTCGTTATTAGTGAAAACACTATCAAGTGTCTCTGTTTCTATTTTTAGACAAGACCTACAGTGTAAGTGTGAACAGGTGATACTCTTGGACTTGGATGTAGCCAACAAACATAATGCAGAACAGCTCCTGTGGAAGTCGGTATATTACCAAGTAATAGAGGTGTTTAGGAAAAACTTGTCCGAGGAAAAGGATGAAGAAACCAAAAGCCAGCTCACTCATATACTCAATCAGGTTTGTCACTGAATCTCAGCTCCTTTATATTAATAGTTGTCATCTTCGAACTCAATTTCCTGTTACCAGGTACCAAGATAAAATCCTGCTCTTTATTCACTGGAGACATGTAAATGTTAGCTTGTATATTTTAGCAGTGATATGAATATGCTTATTGCAGTTTCTGTACTGGATATGCTTATATAGCCATTATTGTGAATACATAAAGCCATCACTTCATTAACTTGCCAAAAAGTGATATTGTGCTAAAACTTCATAGCACCAAAAATAAGTACATTTACAGTATGCAAACTGTAAAGTAGAATTATGCTTTATTTTAAAAGTAGTAATGTTCAGTGTCTTTAATGTGTTTACAGGGAACTGAATTTTACGAGCGCCTTCTTCAGAAACTGCAGCAGACATTTAATTTCCAACTTGAGGCTTTTTTGGACACCAGTGTCTTGCCCCCAGAGAATATCTCCCGAACAGTCAAACTGGCTCTGCTCAGTACCCAGAGAACTCTGATCTGTCTCGGTGACATTGCTCGATACAGAGAGCAGAGCAATGATACCGGAAAGGTCAACTATGGAAGAGCAAGAAAGTAAGGTTCTTAATGACCTAACTGGAGATATGGAATGACTGCAAAGACGTCTTTTGAAAATAGATACAAAGAAGGGCTTAATATTTTTCAATTCTCCCTTCATCTTCTCTGAATCTATATTTTTATTATTGAATATTCTATTGCTATATTGAGAAACAATTTTTTACTGTATAATACAAGCACTTATATGTGTACATTTACTATATACATTGTATAACTTTTCAAGTGACCATTTACTGAAATCAATAATCTTTTTTGTAATACTGTTTTTATTAAGAATTATTATGTCTCTGCTGTCAGTCTTTGTAGGAGAAATTCCAGTATACTTTTCCATTGGTTGAAACTGTAAACTGAATGAAATAAATCATATTGTACTGTTACAGCTGGTACTCCAAGGCGCAGCAAATAGCTCCGAAGAATGGCCGTCCCTACAACCAACTGGCTATCTTGGCTCTATACACGGTAAGTGTTGTCAGCATAAATAAAGGCCATATTCATGATATATGATGTCAGTATCAGTAATGGCCCTATTCATGAAAATGACGTCCGTATCAGTAATGGCTCTATTCATGATAAGTGACGTCATTATCAAGGCTGAATCATTTCACTGTAAGTGATGTCCGTATTGATACTGGCCCTCTACACAGTGTGTTGTCCATATCAAAACTAGGTTTCTACACAACTAGTGTTGCAATATCTGTAGTGGAGGTGATAAAAATAGAAATCATTCAAATGAGTTTTAGTTATTGCACTTGAGGATGTGTTGAAGGAGGATTGCTGGGTTATAAGTATTGTATTTCTCTGGCACAGTGGTTTGTCAGCTTTAAAATCTCAGCAATTAAGTCATTGTGTTTTTATTGTATTATATTGTTTGTTAACCCTGACAGAGAAGGAAGCTTGATGCTGTCTACTACTATATGAGAAGTTTGGCGGCAAGTAATCCGTTCCTAACAGCACGGGAAAGTCTGATATCATTGTTTGACGAGGCAAGGAAGAAGGTAGGTGGAACAGCATTACAACAAAGAATATCATTCTACAGAAATATCAAATACGATAAAGTAGCATTACACAGAGTAATGGCACTTTATAGAATTACTATATACAGCAAAGAAGCATTACACAAAATGATGACACTGTATAGAATTACATGGAGTTGTAAATCAGATATGCGCTAATGCTTGATTTTGAAACTAGTTTAATCAGCACAATATTGAGCTTGAGCAAAAATAAAGTTTTCTGTAGGGAGTGAAAAAACCGGGACAGAGGTTTTACTGTACATAGTACGTATAACAATAGTTCGTTTCTGAATTTACTTCCTGTCTCCTCCTTGTTTGTCAGACTGGACTTAGAGAATTCTAACATTTTACTCAAATGTCGATGAAAACATTTATTTACTTAGGCTTAATTGGAAAATTGATCTTTTGTTCATCAGGCCCAGAACTCCGAGAAGAAGCGAGAACAAGAAAAAGAAAGGTCTCAGCAGCTGAGAAAGCAAAAGAAACAGCAGGGTGAAAGAATTGAGGTGTGGGTATCAGCAGATGGTACAAGTACTGAGGACAACGGAGATGAGGGGGCTCATCAGGACTTGTCCAAACTGGATGCTGTTGAGGTTAGGGTCAAATTATAGTTTGTTTGTTAGCTATGTTTATCACCCTATGAACTGACAGGTTCATTTTGAGTGAGAATCTCCTTGTAGTAGATGAGGACTATCTCACAGAACAACATATCAAAATAAATGATGGGAATATACTAAGGCTCATATGGTATGTTCATCCATCCTTTTGTCCAGCAGACCTTTTCTAGACATAACCAGATCTATTTGTCAGTGTATTTGCTTTAGAATGTAAATATGTTTACATTTAAATTGTCATTGCATCTTAAATGAAAGTTGAAGTTTAAATCATGAAGTGTTTTTACCAAAAATCTTAAGGGGGAAGTTTTGGTTACGCTTTGAGTTTAGCTCTATTTCCTTGGGACATACAATATTGGTTTCAAACAATCTGTGATTCATTATCATGAATTGGCATATATCTCTGCTTTAAACAAAACAAATTGAATTCCAAAATAATAAGTCTAAATTCCAACTTACAGTTTTGCAATATTATTTAAATGGATATCATCTTCCTGTTAATGTAAGACTGTGTAAGTTTGCTATGTTGGTGTTTGTTTTGTATCAATAAGTTTGCTACGTTGCTAAGGTTCATGTTGTATCAGTAAGTTTGCTACCTTGCTAAAGTTCGTGTTGTATCAGTAAGTTTGCTACCTTGCTAAGGTTTGTGTTGTATCAGTAAGTTTGCTACCTTGCTAAAGTTCGTGTTGTATCAGTAAGTTTGCTACCTTGCTAAGGTTTGTGTTGTATCAGTAAGTTTGCTACCTTGCTAAAGTTCGTGTTGTATCAGTAAGTTTGCTACCTTGCAAAAGTTCGTGTTGTATCAGTAAGTTTGCTACCTTGCTAAAGTTCGTGTTGTATAAGTAAGTTTGCTACCTTGCTAAGGTTCGTGTTGTATCAGTAAGTTTGCTACCTTGCTAAGGTTTGTGTTGTATCAGTAAGTTTGCTACCTTGCTAAAGTTCGTGTTGTATAAGTAAGTTTGCTACCTTGCTAAGGTTTGTGTTGTATCAGTAAGTTTGCTACCTTGCTAAAGTTCGTGTTGTATCAGTAAGTTTGCTACCTTGCAAAAGTTCGTGTTGTATCAGTAAGTTTGCTACCTTGCTAAAGTTCGTGTTGTATAAATAAGTTTGCTACCTTTCTAAGGTTTGTGTTGTATCAGTAAGTTTGCTACCTTGCTAAAGTTCGTGTTGTATAAGTAAGTTTGCTACCTTGCTGTTTGATTTGTATAAATAAGTTTGCTATGTTGTGCTTATGTATGTTTCATTTATGTTTTCCAGCTGAATAAAAGATTTGTTCTCAGTTTTCTCAATGTTCATGGAAAGTTATTCACTAAAGTCGGGTAAGTTGATTTTCTTAACTTATCATTTTATTCAAGATCTAAAAAGAAAACCTATTTATGTTCAATTTTTACATTTCTAATGCACCTATTTAGATCAATAAATGAAAGGAACAAACAAAAGGAGAAAATGATTCATCAAAAACAAAACCTTTTATGCGTGTAAAGAACAATTGATTAGGTTATTTTGGGTTCATGATTAATAGTTTCTTCTAGAACCAGAGTATTGTCTGGTTCAGGATTAATGGATTCCCCTAGAACCAGAGTATTGTCTGGTTCAGGATTAATGGATTCCTCTAGAACCAGGGTATTGTTTGATTCAGGATTAATGGATTCCTCTAGAACCAGGGTATTGTCTGGTTCAGGATTAATGGATTCCTCTAGAACCAGGGTATTGTTTGGTTCAGGATTAATGGATTCCTCTAGAACCAGGGTATTGTCTGGTTCAGTATTAATGGATTCCTCTAGAACCAGGGTATTGTCTGGTTCAGGATTAATGGATTCCTCTAGAACCAGATTATTGTCTGGTTCAGGATTAATGGATTCCTCTAGAACCAGGGTATTGTTTGGTTCAGGATTAATGGATTCCTCTAGAACCAGATTATTGTCTGGTTCAGGATTAATGGATTCCTCTAGAACCAGATAATTGTCTGGTTCAGGATTAATGGATTCCTCTAGAACCAGGGTATTGTTTTGTTCAGGATTAATGGATTCCTCTAGAACCAGGGTATTGTTTGGTTCAGGATTAATGGATTCCTCTAGAACCAGGGTATTGTCTGGTTCAGGATTAATGGATTCCTCTAGAACCAGATTATTGTCTGGTTCAGGATTAATTAATTCCTCTAGAACCAGGGTATTTTCTGGTCCAGAATTTTTTGGATTACCCTGTACCAGACTCGTGTGTTTATCTTGATGAAATATATGTTTAATCAAATTTCCTTTTTAGGAGGGAAACATTCCCTGTTTGTTGTGCCCAGATGCTGAAAGAGTTTGATGCACTTCTTAGACGAGGGGCAATAGGCCCCACAAGACTGCTTCAACTTATGGCTATCAACATGTTTGCTATTGATAACACAGCTCTGAAGACTCCTTGTAAGTTAGCATGTTGTGTGAACTGTTCTGTGTTAAACACTTTGATATGTTGCAGATCATCAGTCACCAAGTACGTTTTTGTTGCTTGGTTGTTTTCTGTTATCAGTTAATGATTTATTTTGGTGACTTGCACGATTAACAGCTGGCTGCTTAGTAAGTGGAAAAGAGCCTAGATGTGCTCTTGCTAAAAATCAACTAGATGCCTTGTAAGATATTTATATTATATTTTTTTATATGTTTACATATAAAATTCACTCTGATAAGGTTGTGTATACAGATGTATATAAAACATAAGGATGGGTGAGGTTGTGTTCACAAGGACACTCTTCACAACTTCAAGGACATCAGAGATAATAGAGGTCATCACGAAGAGTAATTTTTTCACAGACCTCTGATATTTTTTCGTTTGATATTTTTTGTTTACACATTCTGTAAAGCTTCTGACACACATATTCACATGTTCCCCTCCAGGTCAACCTGTTGATGGGACAATTATTCTTCAATAAATCAAGATATTTTCATTTTCTTTCAACAGTATCACCATCAGATCCTGGTTCTGATCTTCTGAGGTCAGAACTCCAGGAACAGGCAGTACAACTTGGCTTGGATATGTTTGGTATCCTGGTACGTCGGTGTTCAGAACAGCTGAAGGAACACCTGGTGTCTAATGACTACCCCGCCCACATGTTTAGTCGTGAGCTAGAGGAGCAGGTACCTGGTATTAAGGTGTGGACGGACTGGATGTACTGTAATCCAAACCTATGGAACCCGCCACCAAACATTCACGAATTTACTCTTGGGTAAGTAACCTCTTGAACTTGCCTCCATACATACACAAGCTTTGTTTCAAGTAAGTGACATCAGGAGCCAGCCCCCCCCAATACAAAAATGAGGTTTTTGCGAATTTAGCAATCCTTTCAAAATTACGAAAAAAGTAAATTGCAAAATTTGCAGGTGTTCTTCTTTTCATTGTAAATGCGGGAATAATACATCTATACAGCTGATGTGCCAATATGCACCAGAGCACTCTCTAGTCATGAACACTTCTATAAGAAATGATGTTTTCTCTTATCTAGTTTGTCTGGTCGATTTGATCTCCAGTTGATGGAAAAATATCCTGATATACAGCATTTAATGTTGTAGACCAAATGTTAATATCTCATTGTTATTAAGATAATTTTATGTTGTAGACATTATGTTATTAAGATAATTTTATGCTGAAGACAGTGTTATATTATTTAGATAATTTTATGTTGTAGACATTATGTTATTAAGATAATTTTATGCTGAAGACAGTGTTATATTATTTAGATAATTTTATGTTGTAGATATTATGTTATATTATTAAGATAATTTTATGTTGTAGACATTATGTTATTAAGATAATTTTATGCTGAAGACAGTGTTATATTATTTAGATAATTTTATGTTGTAGATATTATGTTATATTATTAAGATAATTATATGTTATAGATATTATGTTTTCTTATTAAGATAATTTTATGCTGAAGACAGTGTTATATTATTTAGGTTATTTTATATTGTGGACATCATGTTATATTAAAAAGGTAATTTTTTGTTGTAGACCTGATGTTGATGTTTGGCAGTCGTGTGCTGATCTGTGTAACATACTAAGGAATGTAGACACATCTCATGTGAAACTATACAAAGACAAAAAAGAAGGTATTGTATTTACATACTGTCCAGCCTGCCTTAGTGACCTGGTATATAATGACTCCTGTCTATAACAATGGTTATAAATTTCTTGGTATTATTTAAACACTATTCTGTAAAGCTATTTTGATATTGTCAAAGATGGAATGAAATCACAGAAAGTTAGTTACCATATGTAGAGGAAACCGTCGTACGTGATCTGACTGTGAGAAAAAACATTTATAATGGAAACAATCATCCATTGTCAGACTGTGAGTAAAATACATTTGTAGAGTAAACCATGGTCTGTTGTCTGACTTATAGTAATACATTTATAGGTAAACCATGGTCTGTTTTCTGACTTATAGTAATACATTTATAGGTAAACCATTGTTTGTTGTCTGACTTATAGTAATACATTTATAGGTAAACCATGGTCTGTTTTCTGACTTATAGTAATACATTTATAGGTAAACCATGGTCTGTTTTCTGACTTATAGTAATACATTTATAGGTAAACCATGGTCTGTTGTCTGACTTATAGTAATACATTTATAGGTAAACCATGGTCTGTTTTCTGACTTATAGTAATACATTTATAGGTAAACCATGGTCTGTTGTCTGACTTATAGTAATACATTTATAGGTAAACCATGGTCTGTTTTCTGACTTATAGTAATACATTTATAGGTAAACCATGGTCTGTTTTCTGACTTATAGTAATACATTTATAGGTAAACCATGGTCAGTTTTCTGACTTATAGTAATACATTTATAGGTAAACCATGGTCTGTTTTCTGACTTATAGTAATACATTTATAGGTAAACCATGGTCTGTTGTCTGACTTATAGTAATACATTTATAGGTAAACCATGGTCTGTTGTCTGACTTATAGTAATACATTTATAGGTAAACCATGGTCTGTTTTCTGACTTATAGTAATACATTTATAGGTAAACCATGGTCTGTTGTCTGACTTATAGTAATACATTTATAGGTAAACCATGGTCTGTTGTCTGACTTATAGTAATACATTTATAGGTAAACCATGGTCTGTTGTCTGACTTATAGTAATACATTTATAGGTAAACCATGGTCTGTTTTCTGACTTATAGTAATACATTTATAGGTAAACCATGGTCTGTTTTCTGACTTATAGTAATACATTTATAGGTAAACCATGGTCTGTTTTCTGACTTATAGTAATACATTTATAGGTAAACCATGGTCTGTTTTCTGACTTATAGTAATACATTTATAGGTAAACCATAGTCTGTTTTCTGACTTATAGTAATACATTTATAGGTAAACCATAGTCTGTTTTCTGACTTATAGTAATACATTTATAGGTAAACCATGGTCTGTTTTCTGACTTATAGTAATACATTTATAGGTAAACCATTGTTTGTTGTCTGACTTATAGTAATACATTTATAGGTAAACCATTGTTTGTTGTCTGACTTATAGTAATACATTTATAGGTAAACCATGGTCTGTTTTCTGACTTATAGTAATACATTTATAGGTAAACCATTGTTTGTTGTCTGACTTATAGTAATACATTTATAGGTAAACCATGGTCTGTTTTCTGACTTATAGTAATACATTTATAGGTAAACCATTGTTTGTTGTCTGACTAAGGTAAACACATTCATAGGTAAACCATCATCCATTCTCTGATAAATATATTTATAGAGGACGCTGTACATGTTGTTTGTTGCAAGAAATTGAACCATGAAAACAATCAAAGTTTGTAGTCATGACACTACATTTAATGACCACCTATACAAGATTGCTGACAGAAGTCGATTTTAGTTCCAAAAATGATCTGTTGAAAATAAAATAGAGGTGATAGATTTTATTATTTTCTGATTTGATTGATATGTATTTTTTTAAATACAGGCTGTGACCCTGTAATCCTACATGAAGATAATATGCTGGCTGGATTTGTGCCTCTGCTAAGTTTACCAATCAAATTCCACTATGTACATAGTACTGTAACCAAGGTGAGACTCCAGTATAGTTGTGTGGTTTCTGTAGACAAATATACAAGTAAGGGTTGATAAAAGACATTGGTTGTTGTAGACCAATATAACACAAGTAACAGTAGTGATTTTTTGAAAAAAATGTTGGTTTCTGTAGACCAAAAAACAAATGGCAAATGATTAAGAAATATTATTCTTTGTAGCCCAAAATGCATGTATCAATTTATTGAAAATACATCTGCCTCTGTAGACCAGAATTCAACTAACAAATGATATATAGACCAAAACACAACTTTTAGTTGATTCGAAAGCATTATTTTCTGTAGCCCAAATTTTAAGTATTGATTGTTCAAAAACATTCATCTGTTTAGACCTTAATACGAGTATTGATTGGTAAAAAACATTCATCTGTTTAGACCTTAATACGAGTATTGATTGGTCAAAAACATTCATCTGTTTAGACCTTAATACGAGTATTGATTGGTCAAAAACATTCATCTGTTTAGACCTTAATACGTGTATTGATTGGTAAAAAATAATGATCTTTTTATGCCAAAATACAGGTGTAATTGATTGTTGAAAACCTTTGGTTTCTTGAGTCCTGACAATTTCCTGAAATAATGTCGTGTCACAACCATTCATCTAAAGTCAGTGTTACGTTGGTAAACCACATTGTTTGTGCAGGAGATAGCCCAGGACTGCTGTAGGATTGAGAAACTGCAGGACTTCGGTGATTATTTGTGTGGTATTCCTACTCCAATGTTGTCTTTTGATGTGGAGCAAAAACAGTACTTTTCTATAGCGCCACCTACAGGATTCTCTGACGAAGAGAAAGATGATGATCAGTCCGAGGGCCACATTTCTGGTGTAAGAAATTCAAATTTATAAAAATTATACCTTCAATATTTCAGTTAATATCCAACTTTAAATACCGGTAGAACTGAATTATTACAATTTCAAGTCAATATTCCTTTCATATATATATATATATATATATATATTTGTTTTGTTTGAAAAGGCAAGTTACATTGATAAGTAGCTACAGAATACAAATTTGTCTTGTCTGTTCAGGAAGAAGATGTGATCGTCGAGAGTGAATCGGAGGAGATGACAGGTGAGGATGATGAACATGTACGTCATCTACGCGAGAAAAAAGAGGAGTTGAAGCGCATCAAGGAAGAACAACGTAAACAGAAGGAGACATTCCAGAAGATCGTGGATAAAAACCGACACCACTTGATACAACTGGAGATTCACCCTATCTTCTTGGTTCCTGACACTAACTGTTTTATAGATCACCTGAGCAGTGTACAGAGACTCATACAGCACCAGAAATACACCATCACCATCCCCCTGATAGGTAAGTAAGATGTGTCCCTGTTGTATACAGAAATATACCATCACCATCCCCCTGATAGGTAAGTAAGATGTCCCTGTTGTATACAGAAATACACCATCACCATCCCCCTGATAGGTAAGTAAGATGTCCCTGTTGTATACAGAAATATACCATCACCATCCCCCTGATAGGTAAGTAAGATGTCCCTGTTGTATACAGAAATATACCATCACCATCCCCCTGATAGGTAAGTAAGATGTGTCCCTGTTGTATACAGAAATATACCATCACCATCCCCCTGATAGGTAAGTAAGATGTGTCCCTGTTGTATACAGAAGCTGATAAAGCACCAGAAATATACCATCAACATCCTTGTCATAGATCAATCAAAATATTTGAGGTAGGTGAAAAAGAGAATCTATGGAAATATTCTACAGTATTTCAAGTAATATTTTGTACATTCAAATCGCTTTGTGTCTGTGGTCCGTCCATCCATTGTCCATATGTTCATGTTAGTAAACAATTTTTGATATCACTGTTGCTAGAGAAGTCCTGGATAGATCTTTCTCAAATTGTATATGTAGGTTTCCCTCAGTCCCTAGTTGTGCTGGTTGATTTTGGGACCCACCTAAAAAGCAGAATGGTCAGTCAGCCATCTTGAATTTTTTCAATGAAGTTGGTTATTGCTATTTTTTTTTTTTTTTGAAAAGCAGGAATGGATCTCTCTCAAACTTCATGTAGGTTCCCCCTGGTCTCTAGTTGTGCCCATGTAATTTTGAGACTGATCAGAAAAACAAAATGGCTGAAAGGTGGACATCTTGGATTTTGACCATGAAAGTTTGTTATTGCTAACTTGAGAAGGACTGGATGGGTCTTTCATAGATTACATGTGTAGGTTCCCTTTGTTCCCTAGTTGTGCCCGTTTGATTTTGGGACTGATAAAAGAAACAAAATGGCTGACAGGCAGCCATCTTGTATTTTGACTTTGTAAGTTTGTGATCACTGTTTGTTGAGAACTAATGCATAGATCTTTCTAAAATTTCATGTATAAGGTTCTTAAGGTCCCTTAGTTGTGCCTATTTGAGTTTGGGACTGTTCAGAAAATCAAAATGGCCAACAAGCAACCATCTTGGATTTTGTCTAATTCAGATTGTTATTGCCATTTCTGACGAAGTACTGAATGGATATCTCTTAGATTTCATATGTATTTTCCCTTTGTTCTCATTTGCTTTTGAGACTGATCAGAAGAAACAAAATGGCTTCCAGGTGGCCATTTTGGATTTGGCAGGTAAAGATTATCATTTATTTCTGCAAAGGAATGTTCAAATTCTTAGCATTAAGAGCAAAAACAGAGAAAGACGAGAAAAGATCCAACTTTCAAAGAACATATAAAGATCAGGCAATGGTGGGCACCAAGACCCCTCTGGGATCTCTTGCTATGACTAACAAGGAAAGGAAAGTTTGTCCTAAAAAATCTTGGCTACATTTACATAACCCAAGTGAAATGCTTGATTCCTTGATAAACAAACACCACTGTACAGAATGGTTATGATGAAGGTAAAGCTCAAAATACACAGTTTTAGAATTTTCTTTCAGACATAACAACAAACGAAAAATAGTATATGTTCAATTTTAACCGATACCGAACATCATAACATTTCTGTAAATGCACCAACCTGTTCTACGCAGAAATTCTGAAAACTAACGACATTCAGCCAGTTTTTGACAGTATGGTTGGCCCCACAAACCAGTTTAGCTGGTCCAAACATTTCAGCCACTTCTGTGAAAGCAACCCTAGAAAAAATGTATGTAGTAACAGTACAGTACCAGAGATGTCACTGATTTTGTGAATTGTATTATCATTGACTTCAGTGATAAATGAGTTGGATGGTTTGGCGAAGGGCAGTAGAATGGGACAGTATGATAGTCAGGAGCATGCCAACAAAGTGAAGAAGAGTGCTGAGGAGACCATCAGGTACCTGGAGGCCGAGTTCCAGAAGAAAAACAATCATCTCCGAGCTCAGACCTCCAAAGGCAATATCATGGAAACAATCTCATTCAGAAGCGAGGACACGGAGACAGATTCTGTAAGGAAACAAAAAATATACATTTGGTACTTTATAAGGATTGACCGTCAATGTATGTTAAGATATGTAAAGAAAGTTGAAATTTGCATATTTTCCGTTTTATAAGCTGCACCTGTATATAAGCCCCAGAACTGATTTTTTATCAATTTTTCGATTTGATCCACATATTAGCCGCACCAGAATATAAGCCTCATCCTTTCATATGAATTAGTAATGGTTACGTTGACCAAATTTCGTTGATATAACAGACATCGGAGTGCAATTTATCAGATTTTCAGTGAAACATTTGGCAAAGTTTGCAAATGAAATATACACTGTTAATCCTTTATTTTATTGATGTATTTCCAAAATAGTAAAAAAAACATACTGAAACTGAAAGTCCAGAAGATAACATTAAGATTCATATTAAAAGGTTGAATTAAACCCATGAGAATGATATTTTACTTTCAATCTTCAAATCATTCTCTATACAAATGCAAATGGTGGTTCTCAGCAATCTGTTTTAGTCACAAACACGTGACAGGCAGGTACTTGTAAAAACAATCAGTACTGCCTCATACTGATGTACTGGTATTGCTCCTGTTTTTTTTCTTTTTTTTTTTTCTGCAGTTTTTTTATTGACCAGATAAAAGCTGTGCTAGTATATAAGCTGCACACCTGACTCACGAGGAAAAAGAAGTGGCTTATAATCTGAAAAATACGGTACATGTATATTTGTTAATGAGTTAAGGAAGGACGTACTACTGTTAGACCAGGGTTTTTTGTTAATGAGTTAAGGAATGACTTGCTACTGTAAAACCAGGCTTGTTTGTTAATGAGTTAAGTTTTTGCATTACAGGGCAACAATGATGACCTGATATTGTCCTGTTGTCTCCACTATTGTAAGGACAAGGCCAGAGATTTTATGACGAAGGACAAAGGTAAGTACAAATTATTAAACCTGAGTATGTCTTGTAGTTCACAGGACGTCTTGTCAGTCTGTCCATCTGTCTGACCCTCCATACTTTTGTCACATGTTTATACTTACATTCATTATCTATATACCTGAAAGTATTGGTGAAAATTGCATTCAGTTTTGCACAAATTGACCTTATTGCTGTGTAGTAGAACATCTAGCAATCTTTTTTCTCCTGATTTGGTGATCGAGGAAAACGACTGTAAAATGTAATGAGAAAAATCCTTCAAAACATTTACATTTAACATTCTTGTTCCAACAGATGCACCTATCCGACTCTATAGGGATGTTGTGCTGCTGACTGATGACCGAAATCTACGGCTCAAGGCACACACTTACAATGTACCTGTCAAGGATGTGCCTTCGTTCATGCAATGGAGTAAGGTCACCTGATGTCAGAGGTCAGCAATGTGATGTCAGAGGTCATGGAGGTCAAGGTCATCAAACATGGCCTGCTAGCTCCCTCCCTCAGGCTGTGATGGTTTGTGATGAAATAGAATGAAATAATCAGTCAAGCATGATGGGAGGTGAAGTGAAGCAAGACCAAGTTATTTCCCCGTAATGGACAAAGAATGTTTCTAGATTATCTTGTCTGTATATGGGGATACCAAAATTGCTATGCGTGTACTTACCCTCAACAATGAAAATGGTGTGTTTGTTACTTAAACATAGTCAACATTCATTCAAATAAATGTCAGTATACCTTAGAATAAGGAAAGTATCATACAGCAAATAATTTCCAGTCTGATTCGTCCGAAGTAACGTCATGTTTCCCGGCTTATCGACTGACGTTTATATATTTCTCTGCCAGAAAGGGCATCTGAGAACCAGTGTTCAGTGCTGATGTATAGCATATTGATGTCATAAGCTACAGAGGCTTTTTCCTCAGCTTTACTTTGGAATGTTGGAAAACTGATGGAGTGTGTTAATTATAGACCCCCGTCAGCATTGTAACAGGATATTCAACTCTCTGTTTACATATATAAGTGTGATGTTTTTGTGTGAATTAAACTTTGTTTTTATGAAACTGGACTGACATGGACAGTGAGCTTTTGTTTAATTTTACCCTTGATTTGTCTTATAGAATTGTCTGCAGTGACACTGTTTTAAAGGTTGTATCTAGTAAAACCTCTCACATAGAAAGCAGGAGAGAGTCATTCTTTTAAAACATTTATGGAACAGCAGATATGTGTCACATTTGATAAGGAGATTGATTAGTTTTGTGTTATTAGGATTTTGTTTAATGAAATACAAGACAATATTGTATTGGGAAAGAGGCGCTGGAAATATATAGGAAAGGATTTGTGATCTCAGGAAAAATAAAGGATAGGGTCAATGGTAATTAAAAGAAGGGTCACCCATTTGAAAGATGACCTCAGCAGCTATGACCAGGACAAAATTGTGGAAATGGTGAGAGAAGATGAAACATGAACCTAAAAATGTTCGGGAAGATGTTGAATGAATTCTATGCAACAAACCTCAGGAAGCAGTTGGGAAAAGATCAGAGATTAATTGTAAGCAGCCTTCTGGATTTGGCTGGAAAGTGTGTTCAACCTTCTAGGTTTGGCTGGAAAGTGTGTAATCATCCTTCTAGATTTGGCTGGAAAGTGTGTTATCAACCTTTTAGATTTGGCTGGAAAGTGTGTTATCAACCTTCTAGATTTATTTGGCTGGAAAGTGTGTTATCAACCTTCTAGATTTGGCTGGAAAGTGCATGATCAACCTTCTAGGTTTGGCTGGAAAGTGTGTAATCATCCTTCTAGATTTGGCTGGAAAGTGTGTTATCAACCTTCTAGATTTGGCTGGAAAGTGTGTTATCAACCTTCTAGATTTGGCCAAAGAGAACAATTTTGTGATGACAGAAACTGAAAACTGATATATTGTGTAGAACTGACAGAATTTTACAGATATTCTGTTTTAAAAGTCTGAAAGAAGCATTAACCCATTATTCATATAGTATGTATTAATCATCCACTTGATTTAATGACATGAGCTTTAGAGCTTTTTAAACAATTTTGTACATTATAGCACACTGAAAGTGATTGAATGTATTAGAGATGCATATTTGTTGATTTCCTGTCATAATAATATTTAACTGTAAACCAAGTTTTTGATGGCAGCACTATAGTTCAGAATACAGACATACTGTATATTGGGGAAAGTTTTGTTGCTAAAAGTTTTGTTGCTATCTGATTTTTGTGAATTTAGCAACCCTTTCAAAATTGCAAAAGAATTGAAATAGCAAAATTTGTAGGTTTTCTTCTTTTTATTGTAAACACAGAAGCAATACATCTGTAGAGTTGATATGCCTTCATGCAGACGTATCTTCATGCGCCTAGCCTAGTGGTGAATACTAATGGAGCATGACTGGTTCGTTCGATCTTCAGTTGATGTTAGAGTCTACACTGGTATTTATCTAAGTTATGTCTGTTCTGAAGTATTCAGTCTTCAAAAAAAGCCTTTCAAATTTCTGTGACAACGAAACGAAACGAAAAAAGGAAATGCACAAAAATTGCCAAAGGTACATTTTGAGGATTTTGTAAAAATATCCAGCTATATGGTGAATTGTCTTATCAGGGCCTAGAGCCTCGCGTTTCATTTAGAGGAGATTTTATAAGTATTTGGCTATTTTTCGTTGATTTTTTTCAAATTAAAACAAGATATTTTTTATAAACTGAATACCTGTAATCAAACTGTTACATAAACAAAACCAGAAGCGGCTGTTTACGAATTAGTTCAAATCGTATGCAATATATATATATATATTCAAATACAAACCCTGATATGGTTCAGAAACCAATTCTCATAAACACAGTATGGATAAATACAGGAAAGTTTTAGAGTTTTTGTCGCCTATATTCCTTCACATCCTGCTCTCACCAACACATATATGTTATACCATCATCAGTATCTAATCAACCCTTTGTATATCTCAACTCATTGATCTCTGTTTATGTGTATGGCATGTAATTATTCTCACTGTACAGGATGAATTTATAATTTATATGTACAGGATGTGAGATCATTTTAAGAATATATATTATATAAATTTTTGATGTATAGACTGATGTGTATGCTCTACTCCCTCAGAAAAAAAGTCCGAATATATCACAGGTAGATGAAAATGCTCACAGTTTTGATTGTCAGTTTTATTGGTGTACAAATAAGTAGTACAAGTTAGGAATAAAGTGCTTTTTCGATGTGATACAGATTACAAGTATATAAAGAATTGTTCCTATCGTCTTGTAAAATTATGTTTTTTTTTTATTAGTTTTATTATTTATTATTCAAATTTTAAATAATTGTCCGTTAATTCATTTGGTTGTTCCCAGATATGAATATGTAAAGGGACATCACATGAAGTAGTCTCTTAGCCTCGTAAAATTGTATAAGGGTGTTTGATTAGATGGAAGTGCTAAATCTTTGTAAAGTTCTAATTATTTGCACATTTGTGAAGGATAATTCACAACCTAAATAGTTGGTAAGATATACTTTGATGTTAAATTTTATAATAAGAAATATATAAAAAAAAACTGTTTATGAAATCATTTGGAAAAAAAGAGTGCTTTTTAATTTACCCCATAACATGTGCTTACGCAAACATTTGTATGAAGCAGAGCAAATAGAACGAAAATTGTAAAAAGGTTTTTTTGAACTGAAAAGCATTGATAATAAGTGCTTTTGATCAGATTGATGGCTTTCCATGTTTATCATGGAAGACAGCTGCACCAAAATCTGCCAAACAACTGGTGAGACATATTTACAACACGTTGGTACTGGACAGGGTGTTATACAACTTTAAATACAGGTCTTTTATTAGTATTTTATTTTAACATCATTTAAAGAGAATTTTCAAAAGTACTCGGGTGTCTTATATGGCAGGTGTCTACTACATTATTTTTATGTTCTATAGGAACCTGTTGTCTTCTAAGCTGTCGAACTTCTGATTATTCGAATTGTCAGTCAACTGGAATAAAAATCTACCAATGATTGATGTGTTTTAAAAAAAGACACATATAAGAATATTACTGTATTCAAACTAATGGGAACACTTGCCAGAATGTAATATTTTGCTGAAATTATCACAAAAAAAAAACAAACACCAGCACCACTACGTGAGTTTGTTTGAGTCCCCAAAAATGAACATCAAGATATCAGATTTCACGAAAACTGATCAATTACTGTAAGATTGACTGAAGTTAATAACAGTTTGTTGCGTTTCTAAAATGCGGCAAAGGCCGTTGATTGTCCATGAACTGCAGGCGAGTATACTTAAGTGTTGAACATACATGTAGTAATGTTGTACAAAAGTCATTATAGTGGTTGAATTTTCATCTTAAAAAAAATGATTGTATCATTTATTGGTTGTTAATCCAATTATACATCTTGTTAATAAGTGCCTTCATTTACATAAAAAATAAAGTCAGGAATTGCTTTCTCCTTTTCTAAACTTATTTCATAGTTTTTCTAAGGAGTGAACTGTGTAATTGTAAGAAGGTATAATAACTACCATGTCTTAATATATACAATTTTCATACTACAATTTTTCTCATTTGTCTGCCACATTAGATCTGTTTAACACAAAGGAAGAAAGATTTAGGCAAAGGCAGGAGATGATCTGTTAATTTGATAAATAACTACTCAGCACAAACCAAGTTAAGTATACCATAGTAGATTTATCTTATTTCATTGTCTTTAAGGAATTACTGTATTACCCTGGTAAATACAACACATGCTTAGTTTGGTATGGTAATGTCACTCAGGTAAACTAGTATATGTTAAAGCAAGAATTTCCTAAAATTGCAATAACCTTTGTAATTGAAGGTAAAAGAAGTTTTCACAAATACTATCCTGGCCATATAATACAACCATACACTTATTTTCAAGGTGTGGCTCCTTTGTAGACACTTATGACATTGAATAGTGTGTATACTTGATCAGCTTCATGTTTAAAAATGTATCAACACTGAATCATTTCATATCTCCTATTTCATATGCGTGTCATTCTTATCAAATGTATTGATTAACCAATGTTTTGAATTTAAAGTGTCATGATCAACTGATGTTTTGAATTTTTAATGTTGTAATCAACTGATCTTTTGAATATTGCCATTTTATATGCATATCAACTAAATGTGAAACACCATAGGGAAATTTGACTTCAGGAATTTAGCAATGACAAAATATGATAAAAAATACCAAGGGAAATTTAACTTAAGGAATTCAGCTAGGATATATGTACATTATCAATAAGAAATGTGATATTTTTAAATGGAATATTTTGTATTTTCAATTCAGCTGGTGTGATAGTATATTAGTACTGATTAAGATTTCAGTGATTACCTCCCCTTATTAAAATGCTCCCAAACAAATGTAAATCTAGTTGTACATCAAATTGATTAGGATATTGAATACATTATAGCACAAAAAATATTTTATATACTGTTAATGTACATATTTTAGTGGTAATCCTATTTTAGCATGATGTCATGTTGAAAATGATGTGCAGAAATATGTTTTGTTGTTTGGTATGTATTAAATTAAATTTTATTTTAAAGTCACTTCATTTGCACAATTTTGGTCCATCACTGAAAATAATGAAAAAGTTAAGCCCTGTTTAGATTTTGAGTAACTTGACAAAATACCTGTTACACATATGATTTAAGAAGTATCTTTGCTGCAATCCTGTGTAAAAACCCCTCCAGAGTGATAACCTTCAGAGTAGTTTGATGAAATGTCTGATGCATTTATAAATAAGAACTCTCTTTTTTTGTAAATCAGGGAAAAATAAGGCTTTAAACATGTACAGGATATATACCAGGTGAGTGTCTAGGGTGACCACATTCAGGATATAGTGTATTTCTGGTGTTTACACATTCAGGATATACAATGTATTTCTGGTGTTTACACATTCAGGATATACAGTGTATTTCTGGTGTTTACACATTCAGGATATACAGTGTATTTCTGGTGTTTACACATTCAGGATATACAGTGTATTTCTGGTGTTTACACATTCAGGATATACAGTGCATTTCTGGTGTTTACACATTCAGGATATACAGTGTATTTCTGGTGTTTACACATTCAGGATATACAGTGTATTTCTGGTGTTTACACATTCAGGATATACAGTGTATTTCTGGTGTTTACACATTCAGGATATAGTGTATTTCTGGTGTTTACACATTCAGGATATACAGTGTATTTCTGGTGTTTACACATTCAGGATATACAGTGTATTTCTGGTGTTTACACATTCAGGATATACAGTGTATTTCTGGTGTTTACACATTCAGGATATAGTGTATTTCTGGTGTTTACACATTCAGGATATACAGTGTATTTCTGGTGTTTACACATTCAGGATATACAGTGTATTTCTGGTGTTTACACATTCAGGATATACGGTGTATTTCTGGTGTTTACACATTCAGGATATACGGTGTATTTCTGGTGTTTACACATTCAGGATATACGGTGTATTTCTGGTGTTTACACATTCAGGATATACGGTGTATTTCTGGTGTTTACACATTCAGGATATACGGTGTATTTCTGGTGTTTACACATTCAGGATATACGGTGTATTTCTGGTGTTTACACATTCAGGATATACGGTGTATTTCTGGTGTTTACACATTCAGGATATACGGTGTATTTCTGGTGTTTACACATTCAGGATATACGGTGTATTTCTGGTGTTTACACATTCAGGATATACGGTGTATTTCTGGTGTTAACACATATAGGATATACGGTGTATTTCTGGTGTTTACACATTCAGGATATACGGTGTATTTCTGGTGTTAACACATATAGGATATACGGTGTATTTCTAGGGTTAACACATTCAGGATATACGGTGTAATTCTAGTGTTAACACATTCAGGATATACGGTGTATTTCTAGGGTTAACACATTCAGGATATACAGTGTATTTCTAGGGTTAACACATTCAGGATATACAGTGTATTTCTAGGGTTAACACATTCAGGATATACAGTGTATTTCTAGGGTTAACACATATAGGATATACAGTGTATTTCTAGTGTTAACACATTTAGGATATATTGTGTATTTCTAGTGTTTACACGCTCAGGATTTCTAGAGAAAAATTAATTTCCTTTGTATTTAAATTATTCCCTTCAGCGTTAACCAGTTTCTGTTGTTTATTGGTGGTTTCCTGTTGTGTGAGATTTTTCCATCAAATTAATATTTAAATGTAAAATAGTTTTTCACATTTATTTGATAATAAAGTAACATATGCTTAATTACATTTCTAATAACATAACTGAGCTATATTCAGAAATTAATTTTTTACAATCATTGATTGACTGTTTTATCATATGATGTTTTTAAATAAATTACACAATTTCTCATGTAAAAGTCTTCCTTTTTTATGTATGAATCTATGTTATTATAAAAGAGAAGAGGTATGTATGAAGTATATGTGTGGTTCTCTTTCAAGGCAGCAAGGTCATGATTTTTGCTCTCAATCATCTTTACATCAAGATGACATATAAACAGTAAACCAGCTAATGTATACATCAAGTAATGTTTTGATTCAAACAATTTCATGAAGGTTTTATTAAATTTTTCTACAATTGTTACACAAGTTATCCAACTTATCCTAATAATGCATGTTGGCTTGGATCAAAGCTCACAAAGGATCTTACTGTAAGAGGAAACCGGAATACCCGAGGAAAATCCACCTGGTTGGGCAGGTGACTCCCTACCTTTTCATATCTGTTCTGAGATTCCAACCCTAGACATCTAGGTGAAAGGCAACTGAGTTACCATTGCGCCAACTACCACCTAAGTATTATATAATGGACTGCAAAAGTTAACTACTATGAACTTGTGATGCAACAATCATGTAATGTTGTAAAATATAGTTTAAGAAGTTAGTTTACAGTATCTCAACCACCAAGGTCAAAGTTATCACTACAGTGATGATCTCAAATGTATACATAGTCAAAGTTATCACTATAGTGAGTCTCACATGTGTACAGGGTAAAAGTTGTCTCCACAGTGAATAACAGGTGTATGTACAAGGTCACAGTTGTCTCTACAGTAAAGGTCAATTGAATGTACAAGGTCACAGTTTCCTCTACAGTAAAGGTCAATTGAATGTACAAGGTCACAGTTTCCTCTACAGTAAAGGTCAATTGAATGTACAAGGTCACAGTTTCCTCTACAGTAAAGGTCAAGTGTATGTACAAGGTCACAGTTTCCTCTACAGTAAAGGTCAAGTGTATGTAAAAGGTCACAGTTTCCTCTACAGTAAAGGTCAAATGTATGTACAAGGTCACAGTTGTCTTTACAGTAAAGGTCAATTGAATGTACAAGGTCACAGTTGTCTCTACAGTAAAGGTCAAGTGTATGTACAAGGTCACAGTTGTCTCTACAGTAAAGGTAAATTGAATGTACAAGGTCACAGTTTCCTCTACAGTGAAAGTCAATTGAATGTATGAGGTCACAGTTGCCTCTACAGTAAAGGTAAATTGAATGTACAAGGTCACAGTTGCCTCTACAGTAAAGGTCAATTGAATGTATGAGGTCACAGTTGCCTCTACAGTAAAGGTAAATTGAATGTACAAGGTCACAGTTTCCTCTACAGTGAAAGTCAATTGAATGTATGAGGTCACAGTTGCCTCTACAGTAAAGGTAAATTGAATGTACAAGGTCACAGTTGCCTCTACAGTAAAGGTAAATTGAATGTACAAGGTCACAGTTTCCTCTACAGTGAAAGTCAATTGAATGTATGAGGTCAAGTTGCCTCTACAGTAAAGGTCAATTGAATGTATGAGGTCACAGTTGCCTCTACAGTAAAGGTAAATTGAATGTACAAGGTCACAGTTGCCTCTACAGTAAAGGTCAATTGAATGTATGAGGTCACAGTTTCCTCTACAGTGAAAGTCAAATGTATGTGCAAGGTCACAGTTGCCTCTACAGTAAAGGTCAATTGAATGTACAAGGTCACAGTTTCCTCTACAGTAAAGGTCAATTGAATGTATGAGGTCACAGTTTCCTCTACAGTGAAAGTCAAATGTATGTGCAAGGTCACAGTTGCCTCTACAGTAAAGGTCAATTGAATGTACAAGGTCACAGTTTCCTCTACAGTGAAAGTCAATTGAATGTACAAGGTCACAGTTTCCTCTACAGTAAAGATCACAGCCACAATGTCAAAGTTGTCACTACAGTGAAGGTCACACCTGTGCACAATGTCAGACTTGTCTCTTTAGTTAATGTCATACCTATGTACAAGGTTCTAGTTGTATCTTCAGTGATTTAACACCTTTGTGTAAGGTCACAGTTGTCTCCTAATTAAAGATCACACCACTACACAAATTGATAATTGTCTCTACATTTTAGATAATGCCTCTTTAAAAGGTCACATTTTATGTTTACGTCGCCAGAACACTGACGTAAGTCGGTGAGATGAAACTCGAACTCAAGAGGAGTCAAGGAGACGAAAAACCTGTTAACCAACCAATATTTATGTTTATAGTCAGACCTATGAACAAGGTCACATATAGCTATTGACAATGTGAGTGGCATCTATTCACAAGGTCACAGTTGTGTCTTCCGTGAAGATCAGGCCTCGTAAATATCAATATCTGTGTACATTATGTTTTGCCAAAAGATTTGTTCATCTTCAAAAGGATTAAATGAGATTGTTCTTAATGCCTGCGTCAAGAGATTTATTTATTCTATTATTAAGTAACGATTTCGTTTCACACATGTGAGTCTGTTTTTCGTTTTGTAAATATCCGGATATTTTATCCGTTTTCGACTTCTAAATTAGTATTGTCAAGATGGCGGCCTCCATGAAAAGTCACCGTGAGTATATACTTGCAGATATATATTTGAGATTGGCTCGTTAACTGACTATTTAATGATTGACAGCACATTTCTCCCTTTCACCAAATCTCATCAAAACTGTTGAAAGATGGTTTTATGCATAAAGTTTAAAGTTTTGACACAACGTAAAAGATTGTTAATTACGTAAAGTTCATCGGTCGTCAAAAAGTCAGGAAAGTTACACTTGGCACATCACTGACTACTTTACTACCGGGTATTAAAGAAACTGTGTCGTGGCAGGTTAGGCCTTTACGGTGAAAAATGTACTCTCCAAACTTATAAAAAATCTGTGGATAAGCAATTCGGTATGCACAATAAACACCAGGTTATTTACATATTTTACACCACACAATCACATGAAACAGGTGTTGTACTTAAGAAAAAAGTTATGTATATTTAATGCATTGACCTGTTCACACATGGTCGTTTTAAGAAATGCAATGTTTTTGTCATACATAACGACCATAAATATTTAACAAGACATTCCAGTTCTGTAATTTTCACTCCATGTGCATGGTGCTATCTCATGCCAACAATAAATTGATTTCAGAAAAAAATAAATAAATTATTCATTATTAGCAATGTAATCTGTCAAGTTGAAGATCCATTTTGACAGTAAGCTGTCACTATTTTCATACACACATTGATATTACTATGACTACTCACTTTATGTCATTTTATTTTACCTTAAATCACACTTCTGTCAATATATGAGCAAACTCATTTAGAGCGTTTGCTGCTGTGGAATGTACATGGATAGCAGGCCTAAAATACACAGCAAGCATTACTGTGTTGAGGCTTCAGACACTGTATGGATTACTGAAGGCCATCTTGAAAGCTTGTGTGATGCCAGATGGTAGAGCATTCGTGGTGATGATCGCTCATGAATGTTCGTGTCAACCCTGCTGGATATCTGTCTTCTGATGAAGATGGAGGTCCAGTTTGGTCCTGTTAGTGTTATGACTCACATCAATTTATTATTCAGTAAAGCATGATGACACACACCTGGTCTTATTTAGATTCTAGAGATTCTCATCCAAGATCCCAAATCAGTTTGATAACACAACCAGCATCATTACTGTAGAAGCACTTACAAATCTAGCAGTTTGGTTTGTACAATCTTGTTTTGATGGAATGAATGCTGAGAATAAAGGCTCCATATAAAAGATTCATACTCTGGTGTTGGTTGTGCTAGAGATGTATACCTGTGCCTTAACATATAGTGGGAAGCCTTGTAGATTAGCAGGAAGCCAAAGAATCTCGATCCCTTGCCAAATGTCTACTCTGTATGTGTGTGCAAAAAAAGGTCTTTGTTGAATCGGATGCCAATTGATGTTTTTAATGCATGGGATATTTAGAGCAAATGGCTCTCTTTATGTCTTTCTGTTTTTGTAGTTTTACACTTAATACTCATTCTGGAGTATTTTTGTGTCCTCTGGTCCTTTTATCTTCAGCAAATAATTGTCTGTGAAAAGTTTGACTTATGATTGTACAACTTTCAAAAGATTGAGGATGAAGGACAGACCTTGTGGTGCACCAGACATAACATTTACCTCTGTTGAAGTGGCTCACCCTGTTAGGACCTGTTGGTGCCAGTCCTTTAGGGACTCTGTAATGTCTCAGAAGCCATGATTGCTGCACTAGCTACTGTATTGATAGGAATAAACAAGTTGACCATTTGCTACAGTAAGGGGATTGAATCTTACACTTGAACACATGGTGATGTCTGTTGGGTTTGGTGTCAATATGTCGGTACAGTGATCTTTAAGTGTTTTTTTTTTTCCATCATAGCCAGGAGCTTGTGTAGGTGCATTCTCCGTATTTCATTATTGACCAGGAATATCAAAGAGTACTTTTACATTTATGTTCATACAATTATTATGTTTTACAAAATAATCTAAATTTCTGTTTTTCTCTTGTTTTAGGTATACCGATAACTTTTCAGAGATGGCGCTGGTTGTGGCAAAGACATTCTCTGCGACCTCTGACCTCTCATTCTGTTAACTGTGATTCAGACTCTGTTTGCTATGATGTCATTGTTGTTGGTGGTGGACATGCCGGGACCGAGGCAGCATGTGCTTCAGCAAGACTCGGCAGCCGGACATTACTGGTCACTCACAAGATAGAAACTATAGGTAACACACAGGTTCATAATGAATACCTGTGTACTAGTCTTTTCCAAAAGTTTGAAAATACTTTTATAAAAGTGGGACATTCTCAACTAAATTAAAATCTAACTATTCACACTTAGTTTCAGTCCTGAAATTGGACTGTCAGTGTTAACTCTTGACATTTAATGATACGACACTGTTGTAGGTGAGATGTCATGTAATCCTTCCTTTGGAGGAATAGGTAAAGGACACCTTATGACAGAAGTTGATGCCCTCGGAGGAGTTTGTGCTCGTATCTGTGGTAAATATATATTGTTGATTCTGTTTGGAATGGCATTGTAATACCAATAAGATTTAAATGCACCTGTAAATACAGGTTTACACATTTCAATAATTAACTCTTTAAGGTGACCTGAAACAAAGTCTCCAGTGACAACTTACCACTCCTAAGTCCTCATGTGTCATTCCATAATTGTGCACTGTCTGTCATCCATTTGACATATTCAACTTCTCAAAACCCCCCCAACCAATTTTCATGATATTTTGCTGGAATCTTTCACAGTCAAACATAAACCAAAATTGTGAATTATGTAGTCCCCTATCCCAAGGGACCTGAGGGGCAGGGCAAAAAGGGTCAAATTGATTCCAATTTCAAAAATCTTCTTCTCAAGATCCAGATGTGATAGAATCAAATACTCTTCATGGATGGAGGTTCTTTAGGTGCTTTACCAAAATTGTGAATTTCATGACTCCTAGGTTTTCACATTTCTCCCTGGGGAGGGGTAAATTTGAGTGTATTTTATTTAAAGAAAAATAATTTTTGTGCATGATTTGTTTAATTTCTATTTGAAATAACTCGGTATAGGAGGACAGTTTGGTGGTATGTGCATATTGACCATATCTGACCCTGCCTGGCAAATATCAAATAAAGATCATACAATGGTTGGTGTCAGAATCCCTGTAGAATTTCTTGTTTTTCTGTTAAATAATAATTTATTATTGTTTTACCTTACAGATATATCTGGAATCCATTATAAAGTTTTGAACAGGAGCAAAGGACCAGCTGTCTGGGTAGGTGTGTGTGAGTTTTAAAACCAAAGTAAACAGTCCAGGGACTTTTGCAGTTGATCTACATCATTTTGTCTGTCATAGAGTGTACCTTGTTCACTTACCTACAATTGCCATTGTTTGTTACTGGTAATACTGAACTGAAATTATGTTCTAAACTTACCTTTGTGTCCTTTTATTTATTATTTCATTTAACAGACTTTACTTTGGCTATAACAACTCCCAACTTTTCAGCAGACAAGCCCATGCATCACATTATTGCTCTGTATCTGAAGTCTTTCTCATAATGAGCTCCAGTAGAGGATTTGTTAACACATTTATAATGTTGACAAGCTATGTGGATTGTTCCTTTATGAACTAATACTTTAAGTCACTCATACTCTGCATGCAATTTATTATTGCATTAATATGTGAGGTGAGTCATCTGGATGACATCTATTTTGGCTCGTTTAAGGATATTGGATTTCAACAGAGTTGAGGTCTTAAATAGCTCATCATTCAAAGTCATTCCTAAATCAGTGTTCGCGATATTATGTATTTGCTAACATGTCTGAAGTGGTAAGCATGCAAAATGAAGTATTTGCAAAAGTGTTTTACAGTAATGGACATACTGAGCTTATTTTGCATAATTGTAGTCCTGACAAAGCCACTTTAAGGCCTGTATTCATAATTGTAAGTCTGTCCCAATATAATCTTGAAATTTTACATTTGAAGTACTAACAAACATGTTTGTCTCCATAAGTGAGTGGGCTCCAGGTCATTGTAGCACGATTACAACCAGTATTTCTGTTAAATCCAGTGGGTAATTTCATTGTTTTTTTTTCATGGCATTGAGAAGAATTGTTCCTAAGTAAAGAAAACCTGTTGTCATGTTACAGGGTGTACGTGCTCAGATAGACAGAGACCTGTACAAGAAAAACTTACAGGAAGATGTCATGGCAACAGAAAATCTCACCGTGGTTGCCTCCCCTGTTGAGGATTTGATCCTAGGAGAACCATTCAACCCTCAACATAATCTCACCAAACAGGCCTGTATAGGAGTTGTGCTGGGTAAGGTCACAGGGGTCAAGGCCTTTTAAGTGTGTTTTAAGTAAGACAAAGAGTTTTTTACATAAGTTTTTCTAACAGAATATAGATTTTATTCACTGAATTTGATCTACATTTCACGCTTCACTGACTTCAGCCTTTATCTCTGAGGTTACATGTGTTCATGATTTATAGATAAAATCCTTCCAGATAGTTCTGATGCCTTATTGCTTTACCATTATTTACTATATGATTACCCAATCTTTTATTTACCAATAACCTTATCTATACATCAGAAATAGTTTTAGAGACTGTGATATTTGTTAAAATTTTATAAATTGTCAGATTAAATTTCATGGAAATGTGATGTGTCGAAGTTTTATTAGAGTGAAATGAATATGCATGTAAAAAATCTTGTGTAACAATATTAAACCTCACGTGTTTATTAAAAACTTAAGTAATTGTTTATCCATTTAAAAAGGAAATGGAGCGAGTGTTTACAGTAAGGCAGTGGTGCTGACCACGGGAACCTTTTTACGGGGTAGTATCAACATTGGACTGACCACCTGGCCTGCAGGAAGAATGGATGATAAACCATCAGTAGGTCTGGCCAAGAGTATTGAGAATGCTGGCTTCACTTTAGGGAGACTGAAAACCGGTTAGTAAATGTACAGTTATGTGTTTGGATTTATAGACCAAGGGGTTGGTACAGTATCGCAGGCAATCCAGTAACACTTAATAATGTGTTAGGATAATTTGTCTGCAATCCTGTACTAACTCCTAGGACCATTAATCACAACATAAAAATTATTAATTGTTATGCTTTAACACTCATTCGCGGAACAGCCAGGACACATAAGTCTCCTTTCTGTTGTCTTGGAACAAAATAATCATAATTCAGAATAAAATTAAAAGATACAGATACAAATTTGGCGAGAAATTTAATTATTGTCTTGTGTTTTGAAAATTTTCAAAGATGTGAGATGGAAATGAAAAAAAAAAAAATGATGTAAAATGCAAAAGTTTTGTTGCTTTATCATGTTTACACTGTAAAGTTATTAGAGAACTCCGACTAAAACAAATATTACTATGTACAAATACTTTGTTTGGTCCCTAGTCTCATGACTTGGAAGTTCCATTATTAGACTATCAAACTTAAAAATAAAACATAATTCACCCTATATTTAACACAGGAACACCTCCCAGACTGGATGCCAAGACTGTTGACTTCTCCAAGACAGGAGTCATGAAGCCAGACGACCCTCCAAGACCTTTCTCCTTCATCAATGACAATGTTTGGATACCTGTGAGTTTTATTTCTTTGAATTTAACTTCATTTATTCAAAACATACAGGAGATGCTGATTGTTCCTGTAAAATATTTGATATAATTGGTTTGTTTATTTTGCTTTGAACTTGATAGATTTGATCGACGGAAAGTCCGAACATTCAGAATCAGATTTTGTTTTAAGTATGTATCTTTGTTTAGATTGATAAAGAAAGCCATAGATTAAATATTTCTGACTTATTTACAGGCTGACAAACAACTTAACTGTCACATGACTCAAACTAACCCAGAAGTTGATCAGATTGTTTTGGAAACCATGGACAAGAATCGCCATGTGAGAGAAGAAATTAACGGTCCAAGGTAAGAATATATTGATAGCTAGATATTCAAATCAAAAATCTTTAATTGTTCACTCCCTTTCCTGAAATTCAGCAACACACTGAAAATATGGTGTACTATGGAATGGCAGAATGGATGACAACAATTTCATATGAAGGGAGATAACTTATAAAGAAATAATGAAATATAGTAATGGCAGTTAATTATAATTCTCAATCTTAATTGAAATCAATATCAACATACCTTTGTCATTGATACTGTTTGTAAATAATGATGAATATTGAAATAATATTTTTGTGACAGTAGGTGGCTGTTGGCCATGATTTGAGAGTTTTCATGGCATAATCCTCAATACTGCAACTACTTAAAAAAAAAATTTTGTTGTATATTTTTTATAGGTATTGTCCCTCTTTAGAGTCAAAGGTCTTGAGGTTTAAAGGTCGTTCACATCAAGTTTGGTTAGAACCTGAAGGTTGGTATAAAGTACAATACAAGTTATATTGATATCTTCAGCAGTTGTCAGTGGTCTTATTTGAGGAAGACAATAGTATAAACTCTGTCACTGTTGAAATGTAATATCCTCAGGATATTGAAAAAAATCATATTTTAATTGAAATGTTGTAAATATATCTGAAAGGAACTTTTAGCTTGAATAAAATTTGATTCAATTTGTCGATTGACCAGTATGGGAACCTCTAAACTCACAGTTATAGTCCCATGTGAAATACAATGTAGAATTAATTGCACAATTTGTCGATGCATGACTTGAAAGGATAGAAGATTGATTTTTCAATATAAATTTTCTGTTGTTGTTCAAATGGCAGGTATCAACAATGAGCTGGTTTACCCAAGTGGTCTCGGAATTACTATGCCTGAAGAGGACCAAATCAGGGTTATACGAAGTATCCAAGGATTGGAGAGGGCAGACATTGTCAAGCCTGGTATGTCCTGGGGATTATTAGAGGGCTGGAGAGGGCAGGCATTGTAAAGCTTGGTATGTCCTGGGGATTATTAGAGGGCTGGAGAGGGCAGAAATTGTAAAGCCTGGTATGTCCAAGCAATTATTAGAGGGCTGGAGAGGGCAGAAATTGTAAAGCCTGGTATGTCCTGGGGATTATTAGAGGGCTGGAGAGGGCAGAAATTGTAAAGCTTGGTATGTCCTGGGGATTATTAGAGGGCTGGAGAGGGCAGGCATTGTAAAGCTTGGTATGTCCTGGGGATTATTAGAGGGCTGGAGAGGGCAGACATTGTATGTCCAAGCAATTATTAGAGGGCTGGAGAGGGCAGAAATTGTAAAGCCTGGTATGTCCTGGGGATTATTAGAGGGCTGGAGAGGGCAGGCATTGTAAAGCTTGGTATGTCCTGGGGATTATTAGAGGGCTGGAGAGGGCAGACATTGTAAGGCCTGGTATGTGCTGGGGAGTGTCAGAGGGCTGGATGGGGCACACATTGTAAGACCTGGTGTGTACTGGTGAGTATGAGAGGGCTGGAGAGGGCAGATATTGGAAGGCCAGCTGATGAGTAATGATCAGTGTTAACGGCCTGAAGATGGCTGATATTGTAAGGTTTGATATGTACTTGGGAATATCTGTGAGCTGGAGAGGGCATACGTAAGGCTTTGTACATCATGGAGAGTTTTAAAATTGAACATTCTGAGGCTTTGAATTGGTTGAGGACATTTTATCATTCTGATGTGTTTATTCCTATAGTTCTTAGATTGGCTCCAATTTATGATGTGCTTTAACAACCTAAGGAAACTAAGACATAATGCTTTGTCTGATATAAATCAGAGTGTTTGGTTGTCTAGATTATGGTGTAACTACACAGCTTGATGTCTTACTGTTTCATTTCCTAGTTACAGTTTAACAGGTTAATATGACTCACTGTTTCCTAGGTTACGGTGTTGAATATGACTACATAGACCCTAGACAACTCAGTAGAACCCTTGAGACCCTGAGGATCCAGAATCTGTTTTTCGCTGGGCAGATCAACGGCACAACAGGTTACGAAGAAGCAGCAGCACAGGTCAGTTTTACGCCAACAATAAAACTCTGTGTCACGTCTGGCGACATTCACCAAGTATAATACAAATACAATGCTAGTCCCTAAATCATCTCTGCAGGCATATGTTTTCTATAATACATCAGGAAAGCTAAAATTTTAAAATGAAATAAATTGTAATGAAAAAGAACACAATGCATCTTCTTCATATCGATTCTTCTGGAAACTGATCACCTCTTGAAACCAGACAAAATATTAATGTACGGAATGAAATCCTCTTTATAATAGTGATACAAAATTATTCAGTACCAATCCCCCTGAATTCCAAATACAAAACCGATTTTGTGTCCAAATTGCTTGAAATATACTGAAAATTACTTCTGAGAACCAACCTTACCTGAGCGATCAAGACCCGATTTCTGATCATCAGACTGTGAAATCAACATCTGTGGTGAGAGTTGTAAGCTTTCTGTCCTAGCAAGTGCTAATTGTATTTAAGTGACTGGATCAACTTTCAGGGTATACTGGCTGGTATTAATGCAGCTCTCAAAGTACAGAAGAAACCGAGTTTAACGGTTGATCGAACAGAGGGCTATATAGGTGTTCTGGTGGATGATTTGACAACCCTTGGAACCAATGAACCATATCGAATGTTCACTAGTCGATCAGAGTATCGACTGAGTTTACGACCAGATAATGCAGACCAGCGTCTAACAGAGAAAGGTATGGGACCTTTTTCATATACAAATACATTTCAATATAATCAATGTAATTCCTTTGTTCCTTATTTGTGAACTCTGTTGGAGTGGGGGAGGGAAACTATTGTTTTCCTCTATATTCTACTTTTTGTCTGTCCATCCATTCTTCTGAGTACATATGAAATATCCAGGTTCCTTACACTATTTTTATCAAAAGCTCAAACACTTACAAAACAACAATAATATCTTGAACAAATTTGAATTTCTTGGTTGTTTGGTCACAGTCAATGTCACTGTAGCTATTTTTAGAAAATAATTGTCAGTACTCTGGTGGCTTCATTCCTTTCTTATAAAGCACCAAAATGTCTTGAAAGTGTTTGAATTTCAGGGTCATTGGGTCAAGGTCAAGGCCAACCTTACTATTTTTAGAAAATTGTCAGCATTCTAACTTCGTTATTCCTTACAGGATTTTGGTCAACCTAACACACTTGCTAACAACTATTATATAATGGGCTGTGGTTTCTGTTTAATTGATAATGTACAGGCTGTGGTTTCTGTTTAATTGATAATGTACAGGCTGTGGTTTCTGTTTAATTGATAAAGTACAGGCTGCGGTTTCTGTTTGATTAATAATGTACAGGCTGTGGTTTCCATTTAATTGATAATGTACAGGTTGTGGTTTCTGTTTAATTGACAAAGTACAGACTGTGGTTTCTGTTTAATTGATAAAGTACAGGCTGCGGTTTCTGTTTGATTGATAAAGTACAGGCTGTGGTTTCTGTTTAATTGATAATGTACAGGCTGCGGTTTCTGTTTGGTTGATAAAGTACAGGCTGTGGTTTCTGTTTAATTGATAATGTACAGATTGTGGTTTCTGTTTGGTTGATAAAGTACAGACTGTGGTTTCTGTTTAATTGATTATATACAGACTGTGGTTTCTGTTTAATTGATAATATACAGACTGTGGTTTCTGTCTGGTTGATAATGTACAGGCTGTTTTGATTGACAGGTTACAAGGCAGGCTGTGTTGATGAGTTTAGATACAACAGAATGCTGGAGATGTATAGAGACTTAGAAGAGAACATATACTTATGCAAATACATCAAAAGAATTTCCTCGGACTGGAATAAACGTCTAGGTTTTCCACATCAAAAGAAAGAAACTTCCAGTAGGTATGTATTGTGTGGAAGCAAACCAGTGTCAGAAACCGATGTTTTGAATAATTTTACTTTCAATAATGTTTCACAGTCATGTTTTCTTTTGTAGGATTGGGAGGGAGGATTATTTATGAAATTACAAATATCATGTATGTTAGCATTGAAAGTTTCATATGTCCTTAATTACACAATTGATTTGTGTGAAAAATGCATTTTATGAAATAGTGAAATATTTAATTTTAAATTTTCTCAGTCGCCTCCTAGGCTTACAAATTTAGGCCTTTGGCATCACTTACAAGTCCTAGAAGGACAAAACAGCTGTATGAAGTTTATGTTTGGTTCTGCTGTGTATCTAACTCTGTATCATAAGATGCTTTTCATTGGCATGTCTGATGTGCAATATTCTGTCAGTTCTCATTAAACAAAGACTTTATGAAATCTTTTTGAAATCCTTTCAATATTGTACAGCTGGAAAACATAAGGTTAATTTGATTTTTGTGAGTAAGTTTTGTTGATAATAAAAAAAAAAAAACTGGTTTTGTCAGGAGTAAAACTCCTAAACCAATACTACTTTGTGATGTGACAGGCCTCCTGTATGTTGTTCATTAATGTATCCACCAGCAACTACAAGGTGACCACACCTCAAAATTACCTTGGCTGTCTATGGGGGAATAAACCCAGCAAACAGAACTGTTTATTAATACGGCATAGTCAGATCTTCTCATTTAGAGTTCTCTGGTTGTACTTATTGTGCTTTGTGATTTGTGGTTTTCAGTGTCTGGGATTTACTGAAACAAGGTGTTCCTATACAAAAGTTGATAGAGACTGAGTCTGAAGTACTGAAACATTTACAACAGAACTGGAGGCTGGCTGAAAACTTGTTTAATCAGGGTATGTACTTACAACAGAACTAGAGACGGCTGAAAACTTGTTTAATCAGGGTATGTACTTACAACAGAACTAGAGACTGGCTGAAAACTTGTTTAATCAGGGTATGTTTAAGCTGAAAACTTGTTTAATCAGGTTATGTACTCACAACAGAACTAGAGACTGGCTGAAAACTTGTTTAATCAGGGTATGTACTTACAACAGAACTAGAGACTGGCTGAAAACTTGTTTAATCAGGGTATGTACTCACAACAGAACTAGAGACTGGCTGAAAACTTGTTTAATCAGGGTATGTACTCACAACAGAACTAGAGACTGGCTGAAAACTTGTTTAATCAGGGTATGTACTCACAACAGAACTAGAGACTGGCTGAAAACTTGTTTAATCAGGGTATGTACTCACAACAGAACTAGAGACTGGCTGAAAACTTGTTTAATCAGGGTATGTACTCACAACAGAACTAGAGACTGGCTGAAAACTTGTTTAATCAGGGTATGTACTCACAACAGAACTAGAGACTGGCTGAAAACTTGTTTAATCAGGATATGTACTTACAACAGAACTGGAGGCTGGCTGAAAACTTGTTTAATCAGGGTATGTACTTACAACAGAACTAGAGGGTGTGTAATCATATTGTCTCCCTATACTTAATGTGTGATCATATTGTTACCCTGTACCTACTGTGTAATCATAGTGTTACCTTATACTTACTGTGTAATCATATTTTACCCTATACTTACTGTGTAATCATATTTTACCCTATACTTACTGTGTAATCATATTGTTACCCTATACTTACTGTGTAATCATAGTGTTACCCTATACTTACTGTGTAATCATATTTTACCCTATACTTACTGTGTAATCATATTTTACCCTATACTTACTGTGTAATCATATTGTTACCCTATACTTACTGTGTAATCATATTGTTACCCTATACTTACAGTGTAATCATAGTGTTACCCTATACTTACTGTGTAAATTTTTCATACTTACTGTGTAATCATATTGTTACCCTATACTTACTGTGTAATCATATTGTTACCCTATACTTACTGTGTAATCATATTGTTACCCTATACTTACAGTGTAATCATAGTGTTACCCTATACTTACTGTGTAATCATATTGTTACCCTATACTTACTGTGTAATCATATTGTTACCCTATACTTACTGTGTAATCATATTGTTACCCTATACTTACTGTGTAATCATATTGTTACCCTATACTTACTGTGTAATCCTATTTTTACCCTATACTTACTGTGTAATCACATTTCTAGCCCATATTTGAAAACATCTGTTTAATAGTGCATTATGATGATCATATTAACAGTTAAATTTACATTTCAGCTATCTACGAGAGTGTTATTGTAAAACAGCGCCTAGCAATGGAGGAGGTGAGAAAAGATGAGAACCTTCTCATTCCTGAGGATCTAGATTACATGAGGTAATAAGTCTCGTATAGAATATTTTTAATAGTAATCTTATTTAGAATTCATGTTAACCTGTCTATTGTCTGTGGGTGTAAAATTATATACATTTTGTCTTCATAGATTATAATTAAATCTGTTTATAGCATCATTTCTCTCCCCTGACCCTGCCTTTTGATCAGTCAGACTTTCTCTAGAACTAGATTCTTATTTCTGAGAATGATTAATCTTAATTCAAAAATTTGGAAATTCACTGTTTTCTGTCTGAAAGTTTTCCAAGTCTGATACAGAATAATCCTGATTTACTGTTTTTGATGAAAAATAAATTTCTTTTACTGGATTCTATTTCATGTTTTGATTCCAGTTTTAAATCAATACCCAAAAGCTCCAAACACCTACTAGACCAAGCCAGACCATCTACGGTGAGTGGAGCATCAAAAACGCGAACATTATCTGCTTATACATATTGTTTGTATATGGAGAAAACAATTGTTTACAGTAGTTATTACGACGTACATTTCATTATGACAAGAATTCTTTCCATGTATAAGGAAAAAGTTACGGTAAAGTTATAATTTTGGACTTTAACCTGGTGAGTTTTAGATTTGGCCACTTTCACTGAAAAGTCATGTCAACTTTCAACAACTCATTCATTGACAAATGAATTCATGTTCCTGTAAAAATAAACAAGTTAGAATTATCCATTATAACAAGAGGTTAAGTACCTGGCTGAGTTATGCAAGATGAGCAAGAGATGTTTATATATGTCAACAGAGAAATTTAACTGCATAGGTCTTACACACAAAATTTAACTGCATAGGTCTTACACACATAATTTAACTGCATATGTCTTACACACATAATTTAACTGCATAGGTCTTAACTGCGTAGGTCTTACACACATAATTTAACTGCATAGGTCTTAACTGCATAGGTCTTACACACATAATTTAACTGCATATGTCTTACACACATAATTTAACTGCATAGGTACAAACTTAACTGCAAAGATCTTACACACAAAATTAAACTGCATAGATCTTACACACAAAATTAAACTGCATAGATCTTACACACGAAATTAAACTGCATAGATCTTACACACAAAATTAAACTGCATAGATCTTACACACACACATAATTTAACTGCATAGGTCTTACACACATAATTTGACTGTATAGATCTTACACACAATATTAAACTGCATAGATCTTACATACACAAGAAATAATGTACTTTCTTCATGATTAGTAAGAGAATTTATTTGGGAAGTCATATTAATGGAGCTTTAGATGTATTGTATACAACATTGTTGTTGTTGTTTTTCTGTTTATAATCTTGTGGTTTGTTTACAGATAGCAGCGGCCAGTCGAATCCCTGGGTTATCTCCAGCAGACATAGTGTGCCTTCTGAGAAGAGTAAAAGAAACACAGAAAAAGACTTCTTCAGTTCCAGATGGATAAAATGTTACTTCATAGTGTAACATTGTCATATCATGATAAAGATTGTATTTGTGAACTGACAACTATGAGAATTAAAAGCAGAGAGATAGTACGAAAGGAGTAGTGAAAACATCACCAGATCAGCTTAACATTGTCATGCCATCAACCTGTGTTACAGAACCTAACAGGACACTGATTCTATTGTGTCTAAATCAGGTCTAACATTCTATACGAATGTTTGAACCTTTGATTTCCATTTCTATCGTAGTTAGTGCAATAACATAGTTTCAGTCTGGCCACTTTTGGAAATTAATTTTAGCAAATATCCAGCACAGTGTTTTAGGAGTAATCCTGATGTTGTTGGTCAGTGTTTGTTGGATTTCCTTGATCTGTGATGGTCACTACTCATTGATTTCATCCATCAACTTTGTGGGTCAGTATAGATTGGATACACACTTGACCTTGGATGGTCATTATACACTGGACTTAAACTTGACCTTGGGTGGTCAATATACACTGGACATATGCTTGACCTTGGGTGGTCATTATACACTGGACTTACACTTGACCTTGGGTAGTCAATATACACTGGACATACGCTTGACCTTCGATGATGGTCATTATACACAGGATTTATGCTTGACCTTGGATGGTCATTATACACTGGACATACACTTAACCTTGGGTGGTCATTATACACTGGACATACACTTGACCTTGGGTGGTCATTATACACTAGACATACACTTGACCTTGGATGGTCATTATACAAAGGATTTATGCTTGACTTTGGATGGTCATTATACACTGGACTTAAACTTGACCTTCGATGATGGTCATTATACACAGGATTTATGCTTGACCTTGGATGCTCATTATACACAGGATACTTGACCTTGGACATATGACCTTGGATGGTTATTATACACTGGACATACGCTTGACCTTGGATGGTCATTATACACAGGATTTATGCTTGACCTTGGATGGTCATTATACACTGGACTTACGCTTGACCTTGACTTCAAGAAAGATAGAATAATACTCATCATATATTGGGCTTCATTTTCATTCACATGGTAAAAATTCCACAGAGTCATCAGAATTTAAAAATTTGTATGTTTTCCAGAGAAAACTTCCCCCATGATATTATCAGCTGGTGTAAAATGTAGTACTCTCCATTTTGTTGATCTGTTTCTGTTGTACATACAAATATATTTATATTCATTTCTAAATAAAACACTGTTATTTATTGATATCATTTAGTGAATGTAATTTATTTCACCTGGGAGTTGTCAGAAAAATAACCCATTATCTAAATTGTCATTCTCTTCTCAGCTTTCTTATCATTACCTAAAAGTTTGAATTTAAACTCCTGTTCTTTTAGGTGATAGAATTGACTCTTGGAGGTTGATAGAGTTATCTATGAGAGGGTGTTGGAGTTGACTATGAGAGGGTGATGGAGTTGACTATGCGAGGGTGATGGAGTTGACTATGCGAGGGTGATCGAGTTGACTATGAGAAAGTGATGAAGTTGACTATGAGAGGGTGATGGAGTTGACTATGCGAGGGTGATGGAGTTGACTATGCGAGAGCGATCGAGTTGACTATGAGAAAGTGATGGAGTTGTCTATAAGAGGTTGATGGAGTTGACTTTGAGAGATTGATGGAGTTGACTATGAGAGGGTGATGGAGTTGACTATGAGAGAGTGATGGAGTTGACTATGAGGGATGAAGTTGACTATGAGAGGGTGATGGAGTTGACTATGTGGGGGTGATGGAGTTGACTCTGAGTGGCTGATGGAGTTGACTATGAGAGGGTGATGGTGTTGAATATGAACAGGTAATGTAGTTGACTGTCAGAGGTTGAGAAAGTTGATGATTGAACTTATTGTACTTTCCAAGCCGACATGTATGAAATGGTTGATTCGTTTTAATCACCTCTTATAAGTCAAAGTGTTGACTAGGATTTAACAATCTGATAGATTGTGTGCAAACTCAGAGTTATCTCCAGACGTACATGTACCATTGGAGTAGTAAAAAAATCTGACAGGACACACATGATTCTGGAAAGTTTTATTTACCTATGATAATGTGATACAGATAGAAACCTAATTATAGTTACACTTGATAACATCCTAATTAAAGATCAATACATCCACAGAATTTCAGAATATCTAATAATTCAGTAACAGTTGGAACCAAGCAAGCTTAACTAAAGAATGTCGTCCAACATTTCAACAGCCAGTCATATGGATGGAACAGATGCATCATACATGTATTTGGAGTGATTTTTTTATTGGGAAAATACATACATAAGGAATCATTTTTAGTCTGAATGAATCAGAATTTGTCTGATGCTGATAGGTTTGACTGATAGTAAGCTGATAGGGTCTTCATGGGAATACCTACCACACTGGTTTGTTTAAAACATCTAATTAACCATGACTAACAGTCAGCTGATAGGGTCTTCATAGGAATACTTTCCAAACTGGTTTGTTTAAAACATCTAATTGATCTTGACTAACAGTCAGCTAATGGGGTCTTCATAGGAATACCTACCACATTGGTTTGTTTAAAACATGTAATTGATCTTGACTAAACATAATGATTTTTGTTAAAAAATTACTTTCAACATGTTTTCTTTGTTGTCATAGTAACATACCCGCCATGAGGAAATTTTGTTTCCCTGATTCTCCTGAACAGACCTAGCACAACAATTGTACCAGGTGAAAAATGTAATTCTTTATCACAGATTGCTTTTAACGAAAGTAAAACGAAAAAATACATATATGAGAGTAAGTGAGAGCAACAATACAGAAGGGTACCGAAGGATATCTTATAGAAATGTCCTTCTTCCAGCAGTAATGATACAGCTTGACACTTCAATGTTTTTGACAATATTGCTTGTCAGTTGATAATACCACTGGAGAACTCCATATTACCTTACCTAAAACGTAAAATGCTCAGAATTCTTCTAATATGAAAGAACTAAAATTTAGATACCTGTACACACATTTACATTACAAGCTATTGGGTTTGTTTTGGATTCACTGTTTTTCTTGTTAACGTTATGTGACAATGATCATTCGACGCATGCTATCAGCCATTGTCTGCTTCTCCAGGCTCTCTCGCACTCTGTCCAGTGACCTGTTGGAGGCTCTGTCGCTGAGGCGTTGCCATTTGTCCAGAGATTCCATAGAAGTCTTTGGAGAGTCCAGAGATTTAGGTCTGAAGGATTGACCTGGAAATATACAAGTAATCTTGACAGTGTAAAATGTTTTGATATTTATTTGCATTTAGAAAAGGTACAACAAGCATTTGCAATTGGAATATTCGGGAAAATGCTTTTATTTTGGGTAATGAGATTTGGTCAGGAGGAGCCCAAGTGTTATAAATTTACCTCCTATGAATATCAAGGTCACAGTTGTCCAATATAAGAAAAAAAATATGAATATTTCAAAAATTTCCAGAAAAGTCCTGATATTTTGCCAGTGGTGACCGAAGTATCCTCAATGAAGTTACTCTGGTGTATCTCATGAGAATTTTTGCATATAAATAACCTTGAACTATTTTCAAGGTTGCAGGGTCAGATGAAATGAAGACTTTTTCTTCTCAAATTTCATAAGACCAAAGATATGATAGGGTGCTGCAAATTTCCTCATTTCTATCAAATCATCACAACAAACATATCATATCACCATGACAACTACAATCAGATCCCGACGACAACCTCTATCAGATTACCACGATCACCATGGCAATCAAAACAGTTAAGCACTACAACAACAATCATATCACCATGACAATCACAATCACGTCACCACAATCATAATCATGTTACCACGACAATCATAATCATATCACCATGACAACCATAATCATATCAACAAAGAATCATATTCACGATAGTAACACTCATAGAGTAAGAAACATTTAGACATAATAGTGTAAAACAAACTAAAGATTTAGAGTAAATATTGTATAAATCTGTACTTAATACGTGTCTATCAGTATACTTTTGTTGTAAGTAGTTGCTGTAGGTGGATTTAATGGAAATTAAAATCAATTTCAAGAAATAAATCCTTCCAATATCACTTTATAAGAAACATATATACGTCTCTACTTTATATTCCACATCACATTGTATTATACATTTGTTACTTTGTTTATTTTATTTAAGAGTATTTTAATAACTGTATTCAATAAACGATAAATAGCCTGGGTCTTTCCAAAATTGAGACTTTACCACTTTCGGATGAATCGGTGATTTCTTAAAGTTCTCGTTCTTTTCGTACGAAATTAAGATTTTTTTTCCCCGAGATAAATTAAGATTACTTATTAACTTAACACCATGATGGCAAATTCTATGGTATAACTAATATGGTTTTGGACATCCTTATTTACTTATTTACTGAAATCGAGATTTTTCATTTCATTTTCCTCCTCCTTTGTTACTTGCGCTCAACATGGCGGTCAGTTCAAGTTTTTTTTTCTATTAGTCAAACGTCCTATACAAATGAATCCGAGGAGGGACATCGTCAAACGTTTGATGTAAATTAACCCGACAAGGGACATTGTCAAACGTCCGATGTAAATTAATCTGATGACGGACATTGTCAAACGTCCTATATAATTGAATCCGAGGAGGGACATCGTTAAACGTTTGATGTAAATTAATCCGACAAGGGACATTGTCAAATGTTATAAATAAATGAGGCCGACGAGGGACATTGTCAAACGTCCTATATAAATTAATCCGACGGAACGTCTATTCCAAGGGGCACCATAGCAACTAGTGGTGATAAGTGGCGCAATCGTAGTAAGTTCCGAACGGACGTGGGTAATGGTGGCAGATTGGCGTTATCTAAACGTCGTTTTCTCAGAGTGTCTTTTTCTGGATGTTGATAATCGATACGTCGGGGTAGTATGACGTAGCAATGTTATGATCAAACGTAATAGAACTTGACAGGTCGGCAGAGAGTATCGAGTACATCGTGGCTAAGTCCGAAGGAACCGATTAGGTACTATATTTATCACGTATGTCGTTAGCCACGTTTGAGCCACGTTCAACCACGACTCCGGAAAAATGATCTCCTTATATTAGCGTGAATGGACAAAGCCCTATCGTAACAGAACGTAATATTATATGGTGTGTTCCGTTCACACAAAACAACTATATGTATGTCCGGTCGAAGCAGAGCGGCTCAAAACGTTGTAAAGAACTTGCATGAATTCTAAGGAAGCTATTTCTTAGTTTTTATTCCTCTTTGGTAATTTTCTTAATAACAACAACAACAACAACAACAACAACAACACTTTCACGAGAATACAATACCGGCTATTAAAACTTGGTGGTATAAGAACACAAGATTAATTTGACTAAAACCCGTGATGTCTCCTGAAGTTTGCGGTTTTCTTTAGTACGCTGTTTCATGACGAATACAACTCGCTAATACTGTTTGTATTCGACATACCTATATCATAAATTCAAGAATCATAAATACTTCCCTGTCTTTTGTTAAATCTTAAAGACTGCTGCGTAGCGTAATGGTAAGATTTTCTGACGGCTTTCACTAAACCCGATACACAGTGACACCCATAAAACATAGAAATACGTCCCCAAATATTCCAAGGTTTACATATCATCTGATACATGTATTTCAAAACATTATTTGTTTGGTAAAATTGGTAAAAGGAAACCGATAATTGAGAAGATTTTTTTATAATTTTGAAAAGGTAACTAAATTATAAGCAGACACATTGACGATTTATCAATAATTATATACTGAAGTACAAGGCTATGCTGCTTAATGGGTTCCTGGTCTATACAGCAGATATATGTGTCAAGGCCAGTACATTTCTGAGGACCGATAAAGGAGGAGCATACCGCACGAGGGCCAGACGGGGAAGGGTTCATTTAACCGTCAGTAACAGAGACTATATCACCGTCCTAGGGTCAGTGATGCAGGTGTTGACAGTCCGATTGTAGAACCAGTGTCGGAGTTCGACATCTGAAGGTCAGCGACGGAGATTTTAACCATTTGAGAGATATGGAGAGTTTAAACGTCCGATGGTCAGTTAAGGAGGGTTTAATCGTCTGAGAGTCAGTAAGAAAGCTTTACTTTGTATTAGGGTCAGTAAGGGAATATTTAACCGCCTGAAGGTGAAAGGGAGGATTAAACCGTTTGAGAGTTAGTGAGTTTGACCGTCTGATGGGGAGCTGGTGAGGGTTTTACCGTTTGAGGTCCAGTAAGCGAGGGTTTGACCGTCTGATAGGGAGCTGGTGAGGCTTTTACTGTTTGAGGTCCAGTAAGGGAGGGTTTGACCGTTTGATGGGGAGATGGTAAGGGTTTTACCGTTTGAAGTCCAGTAAGGGAGAGTTTGACCGTCTGATGGGGAGCTGGTGAGGGTTTTACCGTTTGAGGTCCAGTAAGGGAGGGTTTGACCGTCTGATGGGGAGCTGGTGAGGGTTTTACCCTTTGAGGTCCAGTAAGGGAGGGTTTGACCGTCTGATGGGGAGCTGGTGAGGGTTTTACCGTTTGAAGTTCAGTAAGGGAGGGTCTGACCGTCTGATGGGGAGCTGGTGAGGGTTTTACCGTTTGAAGTCCAGTAAGGGAGGGTTTGACCATCTGATAGGGAGCTGGTGAGGGTTTTACTGTTAGAGATCCAGTAAGGGAGAGTTTGACCGTCTGATGGGGAGCTGGTGAGGGTTTTACAGTTTGAAGTCCAGTAATCATAGTTATGAATGAAATTGCAGGACAATAACAACAAAATTCAAACAATGGATTGCCACAACATTACCAAAAGTAACCAGATTTTTCGTAGCACGGCTTTTTCCTGAACTTAAAGTGTCACCCGTTAGAATGTACGCTGATCATTCATCAAAGCATTTCGCTTATCAAAAAGTATGATAACACGCACGTGACTTCAACCATGGCAGATATTAAAAAATAGTGAAAATAGTCGTTAAATGGAAATTTATTCAGGTTTACTGATATATGTCAGTTAATCTCAATTCAATAGACACTATAACTATAGTTTACCTCGCAGATAATGTTGAAACTTAAAATGAAATAGTTTTAGGGCCGCAATGTGGTTTGTACGTCGGTCAAAGGCAGTACTTAAAGATCACGACAGTTTGACATTAATAAATTTATCTACATATTGAATGTTCTGTGTGAATGCACCTTTACTGGGTGAAACATCTGAGTTTTAATGACCACAGGTCTATGTGCTTTAAACTTTCTCTAACATTATGAATGCTCAAATTTCTATCCGGGATTGATATGTATACGATAAAAAGTCTGCGATTTTACTTCAATGAATAAGTTTTACAGATTGAAAGTAGAATCTAAACTTTAAATAGATATGAATATTTTAATCATTAAGGGGAGCTTAAATAAATAAATAAATAAATAAATAAATAAATAAATATAGATAAATAAATAAACGTTTTAAATGCGGTGTTTTCGGACAGATTAAATCAATGTTAGATTTTGCTGCTATCTACACCCTCGCGCTGTTGGACGAGATATATTAAACCTTACATTTAATACTAATCAAACCTCGCTGACATATCTGTTATCATTGCCAAAGATAAGTTTACACGTCCCTGATTCTAGATAAGGCAATCAACATTTCAATCTTCAACTCGCATACACGGTGTCAAACACGTCGAGACTATATAGAGAGCTGAGTTAGCTTTATAACGTTTACGAGACGTACTTTTGACACTAAGTTCTGTAGTTCAATAATATTCAATATTTACCTGTGATATTTGCCTAAATCATATTACACTTATATTTACGTATATAAATGAGTAAATTTATGCGTCGTGAGCTAGCATATCTTACATAAGTATTGATGTTCTTAGAAATAAGTAATGATATTCGAGACAAATTATTAAACGTTCGTAAAATATCTCCAGACGAAGCTAATTTCTTTATTGATTTTTACAGTGGATTCTCGATGATTTACAATTCAAAAGATTTAAAACTTTTTTTTTTAAGATCTAAGAAAACGAATAAGTTTTCCTGTCATTGCGAAACCCTGATGTGAAGATATCGTAAACAACATTTCATAATAAAAATAAAATAGGCATGCATTTATCGATATAAATGTAGCGACAACACAGTTCGAGTCTGTGCTATTTATAACGACACCACGCATTCGTAAGTAAATGATTCCTAAACCAACACATAAGATATATGACTTTGGTACGACTTATCATCAATCGGAATTGGATTTTGAAGCTTAAATCACTTTAAATTTGAATCTGGCTGATCTGCTCGATTTTATGTGTGATTTTTGTGCATCATGTATATATATATATATATATATATATAATATATGTTGGGCAGCAGTACATTATTTTGACCTTGTGCATCAAATATAAGCATTTTTTTCGTATATTTTTGATGGTATGTTAGGTAAACAACAATAAATATCTACCTCTACAAAACAACAACAAAATACCTGAACTATACCTATGACACACTTCGACAATAGACAGCTCTCTGTACACTGTCTCCATATACACCTTACAGAACACACAATTAGAGAAAAGATAAAACGTGCTAAGTCTATAACGAGTTACATATTGACATGACATAAACATGTGTTTAGAATGAATTAAAGAGAAGTTAGTTTATGTGAAGTTAATTGAAATGTCCAACACTTCAAATGGTTAACGATTTAATTTCTCTCCTTTTATTTATATATAGATTCGGTGTGACAGTGTCTGTAAGGAAACGAGTTTTTAAGTCCCCGATTATTGGAACACAAAGACATATTTGTCGTTCTGGTCCTAGACAGGGGACATTTTGATATAACATGTATCATTATTGATCTAGGTGCTTATTTTTAAAATAGAACTGTTCTGTGTGTATTGACCAGCGTCCAACGTGCGGTGAAATATTGACTTAAGCCACTAGAATGGTCAATACCACGCTGTGATAATGTGTTTATATATCACCCGGAGAGAAAGATTACAGAAAATTTGCCAAACAAACAAGACGGACCTTTATAATTCACCAATGACCTTGCTATAACGAAAACCTCCATATGTAATTTGAAACTCTTTAGTAACCACAATGGACAGAACAGAAAGCGGAAGAAGACATGATTAATAATTAATTTACTTTACACAGTCTCTTGCTAAAATGTTTACCAACCACACAGCTTGTGTTTCGTCAATATGTGCTTGTGGAAGAGTGTACGATCTTGTCATTATTTATACCAGTTGTAATTCTGCAATGTTTGCTCATATCTTTACATAAACGGTTTAAAACCTGAGAGAATTACATGATATATGCATTACAAAATGTATGTTGTCAATGACGCTCAAGTGGCGCCACCTATTGTTTCTTGTACAATATAGCTGCTTTGTTGAAATCGATTCTGTTCTACCGATTTCTATACTATAATATATTTTTCAAAAATTTTACGAAAATCTGCTGTTATCAACTGTAAACATATCTATTGATTGTTATTATTATTTTTTTTAATTTTCTGTTTCTGCACAGTGTAATATATTATGTGTGTGTGTGTGTGTGTTGTGTGTGTGTGTGTGTGTGTGTGTGTGTGTTACTACATGTTATACCAGGCACAGTAAATAATAATAAATAATGATTCTATCTTTATGTAAATTATTACTATCTTTGTGAAATTGCCTTTTCCTGGAATGCAATCATATTAATATATTTTGCCATAAGTACTGCTGATGAAACTAAATCTTCACACTTACCGCCATCATCGAGGTCCTGCAACAAGCCAGGTGTGTAGCCGTGAGCATGCAACATTTTCACCGTCATCGAGTGCATCTTGACGTCTCGGATTTTTTTCGCTGCATTAATTTTGACAATTAGCTTTTTTTGTTCTTCCTCAAGTTCGTGTGTGTCGCGCTGTTCTCTACCGAGTGCATTGTACATCCGGGACGTCACTTTAATACTTCCCTCGAATACCTTCTTCAGTTTATGAACTTCTTTCTGTACTTCATATCTGTCCTTTTTAATGTCCATCATTTTCTTTGTTATCATTCTAGCGCGGTTTTCTAGTTGTTTGATTTCTTGTTTAATAATCTCAGCCTTTTCCATAATCATGTCAACAGCTTTTTGTGTCGTCGTGTCCTTGTGATGAAGCCGATCAAGGGTTTCAGCAAGGTCCTCTCTTTGCATATCTATTTCGTCGTTTATGAATCCCAGAGTGTCTGAATAGGCCAGTTCTTGTTTTCTACAAACCCTTCTCTCTGTAAGAGCATGCTGGAGCTTTCCGTTGATCAGTTTTGAATTAAACCCGGCTCTCTTCACTTTTCCTTTCCGTTCTTCAGAGTTCATATGGCGCCTCCGAATGGTTTCTGTGATCTCAAGTTTCTGCTGCAGATATTTGTTGGCTTCGTCTAGCAGTTTTCTCGGGTACGCCTCGTCGGCTGTTACCCAATCTTTGATCGGGGTTGTGATTTTGGGAATCACCTCAACGACTTCTGACATCAGGTGCAACACTGTGCTATAACGTTTGATGTATTCCTCGAAATTGGACGCGTCAAAGTCACGGTAGTCGCGAAATCTCTGCTCCAGTAACGAAATGCCATCCAGAATCTCCTCTGTCCACTTGCTGGTGTGGTTCTCGTATTCTTGAGCTGCCAGAATATCTATGAAACGATATGATTAATTCATTTTTTTAATTTGACATTTAAGGTACAGCTAAAAGTGAACATGGTTTTTTTGACGATTTTTTTAAAGGGGAAGTAACCCACTTCGAATTCATATCAGAAAAAGTTTAACATTTTCTTTGTATATTGTAAAATAAATTTTAAGTTTTTGTCTTATAAACTTTTCATAAATAGAACTAGAACTAGATAATTCTCAGCGTTATATTGTCTAAACCAAGACTAAATCGTCTTTATACTGATATCGTAGTTTCAGTATAGACTATAAACTGTCGCTGTGTCAAAATGATCATGTTAATTTTATTGTTCCTTAAAACATTCACGATCATAAATAAATAAATAAATAAAATACACAATTAATGATTAATTTTCTTTTTACCAACTACCTATGGTAAGGAGCGAGACACATGCTCGGGTTTGAATGCGTTATTGGACCAAACCGTCCCTTTATGAAATGTAAGGACAACTGTAGTTGCAGTTGAAGATCTTCCAAAACAAAAAGAACAATTAGGCAGATAAAAGAAAATTCAAAGATGTTACATATTACGGCGGACCGTGGCAGTCTTTTAGTATTAGAGGCCCCACACAGGAGGTTCAGAATGAAATATCTAACTCGTCAGGAGGTCGCTAATCACCTCTTACGACACACTATGAGTAACATTACACATATCACTCTTTTCTCAATCCTCGACCAGCCAAGGTATTTCCCTGCAAGAGGATTAGAAAACTTCCACTATAACTTACATTAATTTCGGACAACCTGTTTTGGAATACATATTGAAAGCTAACAATTAAAAACACGAGAAATTGGAACGTCTCATACTCTATTTGTGAAGATTGTGAAGAGAGATATCATACTTTTACACAATGTTTCACACAAATCCTATTTGTGGAGAGAGAGAGAGAGAGAGAGAGAGAGAGAGAAGAGAGAGAGAGAGAGAGAGAGAGAAGAGAGAGAGAGAGAGAGAGAGAGAGAGAGCACAAATTATATTTGTGAAAAGAGACAACATACATTTTCACAACGTTTCACACGCATCCTATTTGTGACGAGAGACAGCATACATTTTCACAACGTTTCACACGCATCCTATTTGTGACGAGAGACAGCATAAATTTACACGACGTTTCACACACATCCACTTTGTGGAAAGAGACAACATACATTTACACAATGTTTAACACACATCCTATGTGTGAAAAGAGACAACATACCTTTACACAATGTTTCACACACATCCTATGTGTGAAAAGAGACAACATACCTTTACACAATGTTTAACACACATCCTATTTGTGAAAAGAGACAACATACCTTTACACAATGTTTCAAACACATCATATTTGTGAAAAGAGACAACATACCTTTACACAATGTTTCACACACATCCTATTTGTGAAAAGAGACAACATACCTTTACACAATGTTTCACACACATCCTATTTGTGACGAGAGACAACCTACCTTTACACGATGTTTCCTGACAGAAGCTGAGACAATATTTTTGTACATGATCATTGAGAGCGCTTTGTAGTCGTCTTCTGCTCTGTGCTACCAAGGCATCAAATGTTTTAGCACGATTCACGACCCGTTTTAGTTCCCAATATATCTTCTTGTTGGCGTTTGCTATAGATTGTTGCTGGACTTTCTCTATGGTAAAAGCAAATTCTTTGTAATTAGACCACTGTTTTACTCCTATTTTGGCTTTCACAGCCGTGAGATATGCAATCCAGTCATCCACATTATCATCGTTTGCAGTTTTCAACCATTTGTTGTAGAATTTTTCTAGTTCCCGTTCCACCGTATATACTAAACTCATGGCCTTTCTCCTCTCAGACTCCAAGGACAGAGGATGGCCGTCAGCCGAAGAGTAAGACGCTAAACGGAACATGATGAATTTGGTTTGTAGTGTTTCTGTTTAAATCATATTTGAATACACATTTTATACGATATTTTAAATGCTTCTCATAAAAGAAGAGAAGAAAAAAATGAAATTATTGTGTTCACCCTCTATTTCTGGTCAATATTCCACAGATTTCCAAACTAAGGAGCAGGTAGTGTTGTGTATGGTTTACCCTTAAAGTCTGATGTGTTTAACCAAGATAACCCACAGCGATTGCAGCCACATTCAAATGTGAGAAAACATCAATACTTAACTGTCGTCTCTGTGTTTTCGACACATTGAACCTACACAGCGATATTTGATGACAAATATCAAATGAAATATGTAAATATTCACTTTAGTGTGTACATCCGCGCTGTTCGGATTTAACTCCGAGAATAAAATTTTGGTGATAAAACGACATCTCCTCCACAGGAAAGCTCTCCTAGGGATAGTTAAGTCCGCACACCTGAGCTCACCTGTTGCCTTTTTCAGTACAGGTAAATTCCTATCGTAGTAGAGTTATATAGGTATGTGATGTTTACTGATACACCTGTCGATTAGCAATGTACGTTATTTCTTATGCTATAGACGAATAATCGTATGTTCTAAACTGCCAACACTATCTCGTTCCGTGTCATCTGGCTTATGTTCAATGGAGTTGTGTATTTAAAAATGTCCCTTTAAGTTCGGCTGTAGTGTATTCCACTATAAGTAGAGGAGGTATTAAGGTGATATGCCTCGCTCAGCTTTCTTCAATAGGCTCTTCAACACTGTACCAATGATCTCAAGTGACTAGCACATTTCAATATAAGTTTAGAATTAGTTACAGGTTAGCCTGCTGATGAACTTTACTGCATTATACATCAGCTTCGTCCTGATAGGACTCGTCAGTAATGACAAGGAACAGAATTCCGAAAGCATTTTTTGTCTCTGATGTGGACAAAAAAGTACTTTTTTTTTTTTTTTAGTAAAACCGTCGTTTCCGATTATGATTTCAAATGATCTATGTAAAGTATTTGCAAAATTTCCAAATCAAACATATCATTTTGACAGCGATGTAGCTTTAGTCTGAGGGATGCTATCTAAAAACAGAAAAAATGTATCACAGTAGTTCATTTGGGACCGTTTTAATATTACCGGTTTGATTAGTTTGAAAGGAAATCGAAATGACTTTTTTCATGGAGCAAAACAATATGTTATTTGAAAGCTAGCTTATGATACAACCATAGAAAGGGCTTTCCTACCTGTAAATATTGGACCTTATCCAGCCAGCGTTACGGTGGCAAACTATTTTGCTGGTGGACGAAACCAATGAGAATGCTTTTGGTCGCCATCCAACAACACCCCCTCAACAAATGTTTAAACTCCCTGAACGACGTGTTCCAGTGCTCGTTAGCATGCTTACAGAAATGCCACATTTCCGCGAGTATTTCATTACTGCCACGGTTCTCACTTTGTAATCGGGACATGCAAGTGTTGTCGATGATATAAAAACTTTCTGTGCCTATTGCAAATTGCACTAAAGGGTGTTATTTTCGTCTGTATTATCTACAACCTTCCGTATTTGTGGTGTCGTGCCATTGTCTTACATTCCTATGCTCCTTTTGGTCTCCCGGTTTTAAGAGTTGTGTAGAATACGATCTCTCTCATGAATTTTATTGTCGCTATTAGTGCGTGCTGCTTTCGGTTTGACTTTGATATCTACTTTTGTTCTGTGTGCTATCATATTTTGTTACCATTGTTAAATATTGTGCTATTTCGTTTCAAGGCCAAACAAAATTATTACAGTAAGACATTGTAGAATCCAACAACCATATAATCTTTTCTTTAGTTTACTAATAGACATTAGCGAGATAGAATTGTAATGTTATGGTCTTCGAGATATCAGAGAGACCATGAATCACATTTACACACAAACATTCACTCAACGATTTCATATCAAGTAAATTGTTATTTATACATTAATGTAAAATAAATTGACTACGTGACAGTTTCAAACCGAGTATTGTAAGATAAAATCTTCAGTGTTATTACTTCTGCTGTATGTAATATTAGAAGGTGGGACATATAAAGACTATTTCAAATAAGAATGTACATAACACTTCATTAAGTTTTCACAAAGTGAACAAAGTATTAAGTTTACGTAAACAATGTCGCCGCGCAGTTTTGTCAGTCTTTAGTCCAAATACATACACTGGTATATAGTCGTGAGCTATTTTGTGACTTTGGAAAACTGCGTTTAAATATCAACAAATAACAAATACGTGAGCCTTTAGTGGATAACAACTGAATTCAAGTGTATTTGTCGCACCATTGGGTATGTAACAAAGAGGTTCGAAAGGCCTGAATTGTCCCCTCTATATATAACAGTGGTAGGAACAAGTATTGCACTTAACAGTTCAGAATATTTGAAGTAGGACAGTCTGAGTATCAGTCTACTATCTACTTCGTCAGTAGGACAGTCTGTGTATCAGTATACTACATCAGTAGGACAGTCTGTGTATCAGTCTACTTCATCAGCAGGACAGTCTGTGTATCAGTCTACTATCTACTTCATCAGTAGGACAGTCTGTGTATCAGTCTATTATCTACTTCATCAGTAGGACAGTCTGTGTATCAGTCTACTGTCTACTTCATCAGTAGGACAGTCTGTGTATCAGTCTACTATCTACTTCATCAGTAGGACAGTCTGTGTATCAGTCTACTTCATCAGTAGGACAGCCTGTGTATCAGTATACTACATCAGTAGGACAGTCTGTGTATCAGTCTACTATCTACTTCATCTGTAGGACAGTCTGTATATCAATCTACTATCTACTTCATCAGTAGGACAGTCTGTGTATCAGTCTACTTCATCAGTAGGACAGTCTGTGTATCAGTCTACTATCTACTTCATCAGTAGGACAGTCTGTGTATCAGTCTACTTCATCAGTAGGACAGTCTGTGTATCAGTCTACTATCTACTTCATCAGTAGGACAGTCTGTGTATCAGTCTACTATCTACTTCATCTGTAGGACAGTCTGTATATCAATCTACTATCTACTTCATCAGTAGGACAGTCTGTGTATCAGTCTACTTCATCAGTAGGACAGTCTGTGTATCAGTCTACTATCTACTTCATCAGTAGGACAGTCTGTGTATCAGTCGACTTCATCAGTAGGACAGTCTGTGTATCAGTCTACTATCTACTTCATCAGTAGGACAGTCTGTGTATCAGTCTACTATCTACTTCATCAGTAGGACAGTTTGTGTATCAGTCTACTATCTACTTCATCAGTAAGACAGTCTGTGTATCAGTCTACTATCTACTTCATCAGTAAGACAGTCTGTGTATCAGTCTACTATCTACTTCATCAGTAGGACAGTCTGTGTATCAGTCTACTATCTACTTCATCAGTAGGACAGTCTGTGTATCAGTCGACTTCATCAGTAGGACAGTCTGTGTATCAGTCTACTATCTACTTCATCAGTAGGACAGTCTGTGTATCAGTCTACTATCTACTTCATCAGTAGGACAGTTTGTGTATCAGTCTACTATCTACTTCATCAGTAGGACAGTCTGTGTATCAGTCTACTATCTACTTCATCAGTAGGACAGTCTGTGTATCAGTCTACTATCTACTTCATCAGTAGGACAGTCTGTGTATCAGTCTACTATCTACTTCATCAGTAGGACAGTCTTCATCGGTAGGACAGTCTGTGTATCAGTCTACTATCTACTTCATCAGTAGGACAGTCTGTGTATCAGTCTACTATCTACTTCATCAGTAGGACAGTCTGTGTATCAGTCTACTTCATCAGTAGGACAGTCTGTGTATCAGTCTACTACCTCAGTAGGACAGTCTGTGTATCAGACTATTTCATCGGTAGGACAGTCTGTGTATCAGTCTACTATCTACTTCATCAGTAGGACAGTCTGTGTATCAGTCTACTATCTACTTCATCAGTAGGACAGTCTGTGTATCAGTCGACTTCATTAGTAGGACAGTCTGAGTATCAGTCTACTATCTACTTCATCAGTAAGACAGTCTGTGTATCAGTCTACTATCTACTTCATCAGTAGGACAGTTTGTGTATCAGTCTACTATCTACTTCATCAGTAGGACAATTTGTGTATCAGTCTACTATCTACTTCATCAGTAGGACAGTCTGAGTATCAGTCTACTATCTACTTCATCAGTAAGACAGTCTGTGTATCAGTCTACTATCTACTTCATCAGTAAGACAGTCTGTGTATCAGTCTACTATCTACTTCATCAGTAGGACAATTTGTGTATCAGTCTACTATCTACTTCATCAGTAGGACAGTCTGGGTATCAGTCTACTTCATCAGTAGGACAGTCTGTGTATCTGTCTACTTCATCAGTAGGACAGTCTGTGTATCTCTCTACTTCATCAGTAGGACAGTCTGAGTATCTGTCTACTTCATCAGTAGGACAGTTTGTGTATCAGTCTACTATCTACTTCATCAGTAGGACAGTCTGTGTATCAGTATACTTCATCAGTAGGACAGCCTGTGTATCAGTATACTTCATCAGTAGGACAGTCTGTGTATCAGTCTTCTATCTACTTCATCAGTAGGACAGTCTGTGTTCAGTCTACTATCTACTATATCAACACATTTTTTCCATTGGTCTAAAAACGTTTACAGTTACAGAGAATAAACGGTCTAGTGCAGGTATTATGAAAATTTCATACAAAAATGTATATAATATGCTTGCACAGTGTTTGGTACGGAAAAAGTAGATAAACCTCTATATAGAACTTCTGTTTGATACGTGATAGGAAACTACTGTATCTAAATCTTTGGTATTAATGGTTACTAGTCTTTCGTGCGTTTATCATACAAAATATTTAAAATGGTTAACGTCTTTAATTATCTGCTATGATATTGCGATAGGTTAGGAGGTATGTTTCCACAATTCGTCTTTACGGAAATATAGCGTTACGGAAGTTAGCTTCAATTTAAAAATATTTTCTCAGTGTTTCCTAAAATGGGATCGCG